TTAGTATGACAGCTACAACGGCTAACGGCGTGGCGTATTTTCGGCATAAACTGCACGCTGTATGCCAGGACACGCAATATGCTAATAATTTAGGCCGCCGTTCCGCTGATCTTATGTCATCGGCGTAACATATACAGAAATCAAAATGAGGTTAATAATTTACCGGAAATGCACCTTTTGTAAAGAAAAAATTGCTTCTAAATTATTATAAAAATTTCTTCAATATTGTCACGTGTACGATAAATTTAAGATTACAGATACTAGAACATAGGAATATGTTTGCATAAAAATTTCTCAAATTGCAAGTCTCAATCATTCAAATTACTATTTTTAACAACAAACCGGTTCATCGTTTATCTAGATATATGTATATCTCATCACAATTGTAATAATGCATAAAAAATATATTAACGTATATATAAAATTGGGTAAATGTAGAATATTAAGAAAAAATAAATATACGCGTTAGTTATCTTCTATATGTGAATTTGTTTTTCAGAAATCCTCATGGATTTAATAATCTAGTACAAATTATAAAGTATATTAATAAAAATTTATAAAACTCTTAAATCAAAATAAAATATCAATCTTTAAAACTAGAGTGATTTACAATTCGAAACTTTTACTCAATAAACATACACATTTTTAAATGTTATAAATTAATGTAAAATAAAAAAAATTATTCCTACATCATATATATATATATATATATATATATATATATATATGTATTTCGAGTAATAAAAGCAGAGAATATGCGCTTTTATTTTTAGAGAAGCTAAAGCTTTAGTTAAGATTTATAGATATTTTTTTCCTCAAAGCAGGTGTTCTGAAACGCAGGTGTTTCTAATTTAAAGTTTCACAAATCTTTTTTCACGTTTAGATTTTATTGTTCGTTGGCTAAGAAATACGTTGATCATTATTGTCGTTCGTGACTGGATGAATGCAATCGGGCAGGCGCGGTCTTGCAACTTCGGCGAAGCTTAAACCTTGGTTTCACCTACATTCATTGGACCATGGTATAGCCGATACGAGAACGGCAACACCAGTAAACTGTCCAGGGGATATCTTTCACGGTAGTTTCACCCCCATCGGCAAAAAAGACAAGGGCTACAGGATATGAGGGTGCGTGTAATTCATCAACCCCAACGGTTGAGCGTTTTTTGGACGGAAACTCATTCAAAGATTGTACAACAAAACGACTTGTATGTGACTACGCATCTTAATGCGCGATAGTTGTAGGTCGAAACATCCACCTGTCAATGCTTTACCGTAACTTAGCTCAAAGATTTTTCAGATTTTTCTCTGCACAGAAGTCTTTGTGTCACATTATAATAAGATACCATTAAAATGGCTAAAAAGATAGATCTTATAGAAAGAACATTTATTCTTAATATAATATTATTTTAATATCCCTGTTTGATATTCAATCAAAAATGCTCTTTATATGTGAAATCTGATATGTGACTAAAAATTCAATGATCAGATATATATTTAGAACAAACAGTGCGATCCTTTTTCGAATAAGGCCATTGAAATTATTTCGTCGCTGTCTCTGGTGAACCAATTATCAAAATAAAAAAATATAAGAGACACGTATACACAGAGAATATACGAGGATCTACAGAGGATATACGAAACATAATATACAGAGAACAATCAAATACGCATCGTGCAATGTGAATTTACGGAGCGTCGGATAATAGCAGCGAGTGCAAGCACGTAGTCTCTCTAATTCGGATAACACCGGCGCTTCCCGGCGACGTAGAGTATAGACACACCTATTTGCTCTGGCCTACACACACTCCGACACACACACACACACACACACACACGCAATAGAGACGCGTGCGTCGCGAAATCATACGCGTGCAAATGTGTCATTTCTCACGGATACACGAGTACCGCGAGCAGGAGGGAGGATGCACAGAGAGGCATTACGATACGAAAATAACGTCCGACCGGCCGGGCACGTGTGCAAATCCCTGCAAATATTATCTCTACCTGTTTCGCGCGCGTACACAGATATCCCGCGTATTTGCGCGAAAACTCCCGGAGATGCGTACTATGAAACGCGTGCCTGTCGCGCTTGATCTCCATTCCGAGAGAAGGAAGTTTCTCCACGACACGGTTGCACATCGTCGGAGAGATTACTGCTAATTGTGACCATTTCGCATTTCTTTTCTCGCGTATAAAGATTGCCCGGCGAAAAATAATAAATGATACGCGAGTCGCTTCCGATTTCCTTTGCTAACACTTTTATCAAATTTCTGACTGAATTTCATTCTCACGATTCCAGCCGTAATAATAATTGGAGCATATGCGTTCTATTTCAAATTGGATATTATATAATATGCAGCAAATCTATTCTGGATGATGTATAAATGTTTAAAGAAAAATTTATTAGTTTTCGAAAACACAACTGTAGACACACAAGTTTTTTCCCCTGTTCATTTATCTCTTTCGTGCAGAATTTTGTGTCCACTCCGATATATATACAACAGTGTCTTGGTAATTGTTATCGGTAATATCGACTATCGACATACTCATTGCAATTCACTGCGATTCGGCACTTTCGATAGTACATATATAGTACAAACGACATACCTAGATAATTGCACGTCATTCTTTCCACGTCGTTCCTCTTTCGTTTCTCTTTTATCCGAGCAAAAAGCGTCCCCGACGGACCGGAGTGAATCCATGAGATTAGAAGAAAGATCCGTTAATTGGACGACGGGGACAGATCAGACCAGTGGCCGCAAATTGGATTGCCCCATCCTCTCTCGTCACGCTTACTTACTATACCGTGGATATCGATTATAGTCGTAATGGTATGTAATAGCTGTGAAAATCCGCGAATGGACCACGTTTTTGATGAACGAAGAATAAGTAAACGAGTGAACGTTGAGAATGTTATCGAAAAGATATTTTAAAATATATATTACATAGAATTATTCTTTTTGAGTGCGCTATAAAAATTGTATCATGCGCGTGCATTGATAGAATTTAATATCTAAAATGTGTAAGTGTGCGGAAAATAAGAAAAGTAATGCAAAACATTTCGGATTTTAATCCGAATATTAATTTCAATCTTTTATTAAAGTTTTAAAAAATTTGCGAAATTTGTATAAAATTTCTAATTGTAAAATTATATTAAAACCCTGCACATCTAAACTTCTATTATTAGCAGAATACAAATTCGATGAAATAAAATGGAAAAATAAATAATACATAAATAAATATAATAATGTAAAATAGAATAACATACTCGTGAAAGATTACAAATTTCTTTTTTTTCTCTCAAAGCCTCAAGAGATCGACGTATTTAACAAATAATTAAAAAAATCTAGCGTCGTCTTTGTGCAAATATCTGATCACAAATCGAATAACATAAAAAAAATTTATTGAATTCGAATAAGTATTTATTTTAATACTGTCAAATAAATCATTTATTTGAAACTAATAATACTGATTTGATGTGAAAAATATTTATTTGATATAAGAAAATTTTTTTCAACACAAATATTTATTTATTTCAAATAAATGATTTGTTAGGCAATATTGAAATAAATATTTATTAATGTAGTCTTTTTTTTAATGTAGAATTTTTTTTCTATTTTTAATCGACTTTCGAAAAGAAAACTATAAAGTTTTTTCATTGTCACTTGTCCGAGTATTTCTTATAATTCGAAATATGTGTTTCTCATTTGTGAAAAAAATGATTTTACCTTTATCCTTTTAAAGTTTTCTTTCAAAAGTATTGTATAGAATATCTTAGAATGTGATATACTACGAACAGATGTTGCAAGTATGTTTCATATTCGTCTCGCAAGGTGGAATAAAAAAACAAACAATGAAATAAAAAGAAAGCACCATGTGCTTGTAATTTCAAGACTCTCGAATAATTTATATACAAAATGTCCCAAAATTAATAGTATACCTGTCAATGGCTTCCAGATTCCTATGATTATTTGGAGACGATTTTTTTTTAGCAAAAATGTTGGACATCAATCATTTTCGAGTTATAAGCAATTGAAAAAAGAGGTTTTTCGTAAACTAAGCCTTGTGGAAATAAAACATTAACAAAATCATATTCTTTTATTAATTTCATGTAGTGTTTACTTTAATAGAATTTTATAGGAAGCTGCCATTAACAGTTTACTACTAGTTCTGGGGTATCCTGTACATCATATTCTTAACGTTAAAAACAAACTTTCAGATATAAAATTAAAATTAATTACACGCAAAGTTTAGTTAGGTATGTCTATATAATTATATGCTGCTAAAATTAAAATTCTTAGTCCATCGTTATAACTACTGAATTATATAGTAAAAAAACATGTAAATTTTTTTGCAAAATATACAGTGCAAATATATTACGTGCACTAGTGAAAAATATTAAATATTAAAGAAAAAAATATTAAAAAATATTTCTATAGCTTCCATGTCCAATACAATGTCAAACGTGCACAATATGTGACTAAAGAAAATGATTATTTATATTAAAGCTGTACAAAATAAATGATAATTTTGAAAGATAAATGTATTATAAGGATGAAGACAATTATTTTAATAATTAATAATGAAAATAATATAGTTTTTGTTTTTCAAAACTATTTTATCACATATATAATATGAATTTTTCTTTGCAATTAACATTGTGCAATTTTTAATAAATACACAATTCTTTTAGCTGTTATTACTAAAAAGTTTATTAATCTCTCGCTTCACACATGTATGCACTCAACTTTTGAAATTTGTCGCTGCTATTTTGAATGAGAGCAGCATATTAGTTTTCAAAAATAATAACTTCCAACAATGGCCGTTAGAAATTCCGTTCTATTCGCAAATTTATCTTCGTCTTTCTCGAGGGAACGTATACACGAAAGTTCGCATGTGCGTGTACGCTGTCGAGCCCCTGGTCGGGCTGACCCACTACGAAGGGTGGAGCTTAAAATAAGGGTGGTACCTCTCTCAGCTTACCTACTCCATTGGGAAACAGCGTTGGTTGAGATGAGTAAGGAACGGAGGCTGAGAGCTGAGAGAAGCATCGGTCCAGGGTAGCGGCAATAAATTGCTATAAAACCAATGCACGCGTTAGTCGAGATTTCAACGCGAGGAACGCAGGTTCGTCTTTCTCATCGTGTATAGCGACGTTTCATTCGAAACAGATTTATATGTATATAAAAGTGTCAATCGTAAAATTGTTTTCGTAGAAAATTCTGCGCGTAGAAATATCGAATATCGATCGATGCCTTTGATCGCTAATACATATGCAAATTGATATTACGCTGAGTATCAAAATCAGATGATAAAAGGAATGGTTCCCAGTTAGCAGTTTCTTAATATACGCGTGCTTAGAATTGATGATTAAGTAGTTTTAACACCGTTGAAAATACGTGCAAAATTGTGAGCAATCTGCATGGTGTCAGTGTTCAGAAAGTCGCAATAGGGAGAATATATGCAGTATGGCTCCGATGGAAAATCACGGACGCATATCAGCTATCTCAAGAAACGATCCTCATATTCAAAATTGGAGAACGAGAAACAAGAAAGAAAATCCGAAAGGTACTAATCACGTATATAATCTATAATATAAATGCAAGCCAAATTCAAGTGAAATATTCGAAATAATCGAATTATTCGACTATTTAAAGAAGCATTTCAAATTTTAAAAAATAAGACTTATCTAAAAATTAAGATTTTAGTAAGACTTCTCATGAAATAATATAAAAATGCGTATTTAATTTTCAACGGACGAGAAAGAACCAATGCAGATGATAAGTTATGCACAAGACACAAATTTTTCTTGTGTGTGTGTGGTAGGAGATATAAAAAAATTTAATAAATCTTCATTTAGATCTCAAGGAAAATTTATATCTTGTGTACAACTCATCAGTTTCAATAAAAATTAATTTTTCATTGAAACCGACGCACTACCCGCCTCCGCGTCTAACCTTTTCTGCCCCATTTAAAAATTTATTTAAATTTGAAAATGTTGTTAATTTGAGAATTATGCAAATGTATAAGAAATAATTTGTATTATTTTTGGATATGCTTTGCACATTATGAATGTTCATTATAACACATTAAGAATGTTCTTTGCGACGGAAGGAATATCGTTACTTTCATAAGATTATTTTTCCATCGCAAAGAACATGTGCTACAGATTTTGAAAGAGATTTATTTATTTTTATTGTTTGATTATAAAACATAAGAAAAAATAATTATTTCTCAGCTGCTTTTTTATATATAATTATATGATATATAATTTCAATATATTATTTATTATAATTATCTTCCTATTATACGATACTGATCCATCCGGTGAATTTTATAATTAATTGAAGTCCTTTACAAGGTTAAACAATTATTATTGTGGAATGTTAACAATCTTCAACTTTTTAATAATTGAACAATAAAACAATTCGTACGTATGTATGTGTATAAAAAGATAAAGAACTCGTAAGAATATTTCCCATTTTAATCAAAGCCTGTAATTGTAATACTAATATAAATATAAATATTGTTATTTCAACAATTTCCATATTATTATTTAGTATATTTTTAATTATCACGATTCTATACCGTTTTTACTATTTTCTTAATTAGTTACTGACAATTATTGGCTAAGTTGTTCTATATACACGCGAAATGGCGTCTTTGGCTGGGAGCCACCTTTAATTTCCGCTACAATAATTCTCGAACATCTCATGGTTGCAACGTGGGAGTACTGCATTGAAATGGCCAATGAGGAAACAACTTATTCTCGGCGTATAGAATCGTTTTTCCCCCGAACCTGTTCGCTCCTACCACGAACCTGCAATTTTCCTAACGGTGCAACGAGTGTGAATAATGTTTGAACGTGGTTTCCGCGAATGCAGAAATGATGGCAAACGGTGTTAAGTTATACATATTATCTTGGACAAGTAATATTTCTAAGTAGCGTACACAACAATGCACATATAAATTCATCATAATATTGTGTATGCTTTTGCCTGGCTCTTGTCTCAACATTCTCCTTTGTTTTCTTGACCGTCTTAAGATACTCTTATATTTGTTGAGGAGTTTATTTAACATATTAATCAATTTTCAAACAGAGAATTTTAGAAATTCTGACATTTTCTTGCAAATAGCAGTCACAAAGCATCGAATAAAGCTTGTCGCACGACAAATGTAATAGCATTCTAGTAAGTTGATATTTTCATCAAATTATTTATTGCAAAAAGAATATAAATTAAAAATTATTTTAAAAAGATAAAATGAGAAATGACTTTTTTAAAATAAACAAAAAGACACAGAGCACATTCTGTGTATGAAAATCTCTCTTAAAAAAATTGAGAAGCGTGGTGGATCGGTTAGAACAGTCACCGAATGCAAAGCAGCAAAAAAATGCATTATTCAGGCGAATTTCCATCCGAGAGAAGTCCGGGTAGCTCTACGTCGTTAGATTGCTCTCTTGCTGGCGTTTTAATGACGGTTTGCTCCCTTTGCTTTCATTTCTTATAGAACGAGGAGTTTCGACGTCATTATGTAGCATTCGCGCAATATTATTCGCAAATAACGACACTGTCAAAATCTCTTTTGTATTTACTCGCAGTTAGAAAGTACTGAAAGAATTCATTTCGATCCCCAATCGGATTTAATTTATATTTAATTAACTTAATTGCGTAATGAGCAGTAACGAGTTGAAGTATATGCAATACATTTAACTCTCAAGAAAATAACTTGACTACTTTTAATTTTGTTTAATAAACAATTAATTGTATTTCGCATTCTTTGCCAAGCTTTTAGAAGAGGGAGAGATAACTCTCTGTTCTCTTTATTCTTTTTAAAATATTATTATATTATTTCTAAATAAAATATAAAAATTTTTTATGTGCATGTGTACGTGGTTAGAATCATATAAAATAGGAATATTTTAGATATATAGAAATTGCATAGGGTCTCCTCATATTGTTCAACGCTGTGTTAGTACAAGCCGGTTCGATTGCAAATTCTTCACCGATTTATACTTTTGAAATTCGTCACGCGTCCGCAAAGTTATGGAAAATTAAAATAAAATTCGTAGTCCCAGTTATGGATTATACACGATGTGTCCATAGAGACGGTTCTATTTCATCTGGGAAAAAATGTAATTCAGTTTCGAACGTGATTTCGAAATAAAGTCACGACCGCCAATACTGCAAGACAAATAATTGCGCCTGCAAAATTCCGATCTCTACGGTCCAATGACCTTTCCGATCATCCGATGCAATTTTTTGCACGAAGCGTAAAAAAGTGTACGAAATTTTTTATAATAGTCATTTCATATATAAAGCATTATTCTCCTCTCATTATAGAACTAATAAATATTTGCAATATGCAAATAGATATATTTCTTTAGATAATTCGAATTTTATAATCTAGCTGTGTTATAAAAAAATAATATATAAATCAATTATATATATATATATATAATATACATTTTTCAATAATAATATTCAGTAATATGATTGATATTTATACAAAGAAAAAAATAAATGATAAAATGTAGGGAGAAGAGTGTAACAGTTTTAGAATATTCTACAGATATGCCTTAAAGCGAAGGCAAGACAGACAAACAGCTATATTTTCCAACCGATTATCGATATTACCGGGATATCGGGTGTTACGTCGGCATCTCTGTCGACGACATTAACGATGACGAGGAATTGCGATTACGGCGGGCGTGGAACTGGAACTCGTGTAGTCAGCCGTGTCAAGCATAGCGGAGTTAAGTTAATTCACCCCGGTATGCTGATAGCGCGACTATTTTACGCTGTCGCTTGTGCAACACAATTGCGATTTGTGTTATTGCTGCATCGATTTTGCACGCACGCACACAGATCACGTATACCTAATTTCATCATAAACCCTTAATATCGTCTGACGTATTAAATTGTATTTCTTAAGAACTTCTCGTATATACTCGTATAATACATATGTGATAAACGCACAAATCATTGCGGGCTCTCTTTAATTTAAATTTTGTTTATATATTATAGTATTAAAGTTTTGAACATATAATATTAAATTTTGTTACTAAGTTATACATATTAAAATTAATGCATAATTATTAAAATTCATGTTTTAATTTTAATACTTCCAAAGATGTTTTTATTTACAATTTCAAAAATGTAAACCTTTTCTAAGATTCAAAAGACTTTTAAACAATGTAAATAGATGACGAAAGTATATATAATTAATTTGTGATGAATATGTTATGCAATTGATGTGTTACTATTTCAAGCATAATTAATGCAAATTCAAATATGTATTTTTTATTTACAGGCGGCAGCCCACCCTCAGACACACTGGATCTGAGCTCGCAACGTCTGCACTGTCATCATCACAATAATAATAATAATAATTCGATTGGTAATCTCGCCACATCCGGACATCCGCAGGAAATCGTAATGAAAGAGAAAAGTAAAAACGCCGCGCGATCGCGCCGCGTTAAAGAGAATCAAGAATTTCTAGAGCTAGCAAAGCTGCTTCCATTACCGGCTGCCATAACGACACAATTGGATAAGGCCAGCATCATCAGACTTACTACTAGTTATCTCAAAATGAGAGCCGTTTTTCCTCATGGTAATAAAATAAAAATTGTTAATTTCATTGATATCTTCGCTTCTTAATAATTGAGTAAAAATTCGTATTATGAACGGACGGCAATTCGTTATTTCCGTTATGTGTTGCGATAATAAAATCGCTCTTTAGGATATTTTTTATTTATTAATAAAAAAGAAATGATAGATTAAATCACTCACCGGCACCGATGCACAACAGCGAAGTTGTTGAAATCGACGCTACGCGTTGTCTGTAACATACAAATACAAAATTCAAATTATAGTAATGCCGAAGATAATCAATATATCAAGAAATTATTATTAGTGTACATACATGTACACGCCAAATTATATATCCGATGAATAAGATAAAAAGTCAATTATACATGGAATAATTTTATAAAATCTTAAAAGTAACTTTTCTATATATATAAATAAAATTTTATAGAGAAACACTTTTATAAGATATCTATAAGATATTTATTACTTTTATAAGATTTATATAAAAAAGTGTTTTTCTCTGATCTTTTCTCTTTTGTTTAAATCACTCAAATAAATGAACCAAATTAATGAGTGTACGCCATTTATAATAATTTATAAACAAATAACGAATATTTACTTTAAAGTTGCTTCGCTGATGCCCGATGCCTCCTCCTCCTCTCAGATTGGCAGGATCGTCAAGTTGATCTGTAACATAAAATGTAAATTGTTAGCGCCCAAAATAACTAATATTTCAAAAAATTATTGTACATATATTGGGATTTATGTTCAATGGATATAATACTGAGAGGATATACAATGGAACAACTATTTTTTTATAATTCAAACTTTTATAGGATTTATAGAGAAAGTTGATAACAGTATTTCTCTTTAATAATTTTTTGTTTACATAATTCAAATAAATAAATCAAATTAATACGCAATTTATATAACAATTAATATACAAAATAATAAATATTTACCATAGAGTTAATCCGTCTGGTGCCCGATGCCTCTCCTAGGCCTCCTCTGTTATACTGTTAAAAATTGACTAATACTCGCGCGACACTTTTAATGGCACTCCCGCACTTTTACGCGCGATACTTTTAACGGCACTCCCGCACTTTTACGCGCGATACTTTTAACGGCACTCCCGCACTTTTGTGCGCGATACTTTTAACGATACTTTTAACGGCACTCCCGCAATCGTACGCGCGGTATTTTTAACGATACTCTCGAAATCGAGAAATCAAAATATTACGCGAAACGCGACGGTGACGCGAATGCCGATCCGCGCGCGGCACATCAAAAATCGACGACGCGTCTTGGGTACTTAGCTTCCCATTCAGAATAAACCTTTAGGATAAATCTCAAAGGATAAATCTAAAAGGATTAATCATCCAGGTACTAGGGCCTCCCCACCACGTCAAGGTGTACCCACGGGAAGGATTATTGTATTATATAATTCTGTAATAATACAATACATGTATAGAATCGTCAGATCAAAATATTAAAATTATTAAAAAGTAGTGATAACTATTCTTGATTTAATAATTAATTTACATTTCGCATTTTTGGGAAACTTAAATTATTATTAAATTATATTTTTGACTCCAAATATTATTAAAGAAATCATTATTATCCTAATTTTCATAATGTAAATCTCTTTTCATTAAGACTAAATTGATAATGATGGAACACTAAACAAAATTAGTGTTCAAATTGGAAACTTAATGCCTCTATAATCAAGCTGGTTTTTCAATTTTGGCTTCCTCAGATAGGAAGCTTAATGAGCGAAATAGAATGGTGAGGAAGCAATGTACAAGTTTGCAATTTGCACATATTTTTTCATATAAAATAACATCTTTTGTCGCGCATGTATACATGTATTTACTTCTATATGTTTCTTTCGTTACTTATTTAAACCTCCACCAAAATATTATTACGCTATTTAAATTTAATCGCAATAATCGCCGCGAATTAATGCAACTAGTAACCTTTTTGTTTTTCCCTGCAAGAGTTGATATGAATTTAGCCACCGGACTCTTAGGCGCAAAGGGCAAATAGTATCGGATGAGATGGATGTGATTGCGCACTTAATGCATTGTTAGTCCTCGGCGCTTTGTAAGCAAAGCATGGGGGCCGTTATAGTGTTACAAAGGCCTTCCCCAGTTCGATTCTCCCTCTTACGACATCGACGAATTGAATTTCAAGTGGCTGCATCCCTCTAGAACGACCGTCCCGTCTTTATTCTCGGGAAAAAGAGACACGGCGTCCTCACGACGACGCTTTTAGGGATGCTTCCTCGAACACTTTGTTAAAAAGAGAGCGTAAAATTTTTCAAGAGGCTGATTGCCATCGATTATTACCACAAGATTAACCCTTTACAATCTAAAAAAATTGTCAACAGTAAATCAATATTAAATGCAATGTGTTATAAATATTATTTAAAATTTTTAAAAGTATGTAATTTATTAATTATATAACAGCAGCTCTCTCTCTCTCTCTTTCTCTCTTCTCAACGATTAACATAACAAAGATTCGAAGATAACATCGATGTATATGACAAATCTTGATAAAATTTATTAAAATAAAATTTATTTTTCATAACTCCCAAACTTGTTACATCAGATTCCAATGATATAAATTTTCGATGTAACGTCGTGATAGAAAAGAACTTTGAATCGAGGTTGTTTCCTTCTTTTGAGGTGGATCGGGCTGTCTGTCAAATGTACACTATTGTATACTGATCACCAAAAAGATCTGACACGTGTTGTGTATTAAAATAGATTGACGTCCAAGAAGTGTAACGATTGATAATCAAACTCGAAAGAAATATGCTCCAAAACATACGATATTTATATTACACTTATATAAACGTAATACGATATGAACGAGTCTCAAAATATTTCTGAATATCAATTTCACAAGAAAATTTATAAATAAAATAAATTATTAGCAAATTATTTAATTAAACATTGACTGTCAATTTATAATTATAAAATATGTTATGTAAAATAAACTAAAGTTGTATGTTAAGAAACTTAAAAAAAGAAACAATCCGTCAGCAAAAAGATGACTAAATCAACCTATTTCTTGCAGTCTTACGTGTGACAAAAGAAAATGCTTTCGTTGCATATATGCACAGAAAAGAAACACATGTGATCGTAGATTTAATTACACATTGTACATGAAACATAATTATATGTATATACATATCGGATGAAGGATAAAAAAGAGATGAAATAAATTATGATATTTTGTCTATTTGTGCAAGTGATATCTTCATTAGAATAAACATTGGAAAATTCCAAAGAAAGATAAATTATACTAACAAATTATAAAAAAGATAAATATCATTAAATTATGATAAATTACTTACAAAATTTTATTTATAGTATGCTAATAATTTATAGAAATACTGTTACTCTCACACATATTTAAAATATAAAATCTGTGTGTGATAATAGTTATTTTAAATGCCATAAGAATGTATCAAGCACAATGCGTTGTTTAATATTTTTGCCTTAAAAATATATTTTCAAATAGATATATGCATTACTTGCACTCGATATTACAAGAAAAGAAACTGATTTTTTAATTGAATCTAAATTTTAGGTCTCGGAGACGAATGGGGCGCTGCACCACCGCCTAACAATCCTTTAGAGGCAGCTATCAAGGAACTGGGCTCCCATCTTTTACAAGTGCGTGATTTGCGCAAAGTGCGTCATTTATATTCCTATCGATTGATAGTATTGACATTAATTTAGAATTTTCACGTTAAAAATACGCGGTAAATATTTTTTATTCGCAAAATTTTAACAATTTAATATTCAATGAGATTATATTTTACTTATTATATATTCGCATACAAGTTGTGAATTAAAACTATGATAACAGATGATTTCTGACTGCAGACACTGGATGGGTTTATATTCGTCGTGGCGCCTGACGGGAAAATTATGTACATTAGCGAAACAGCTAGCGTGCATTTAGGTTTGTCCCAGGTGGGAGATATCCTCTCATTTAATTAATTAATTAGTAAAATATTATTTTGACAATTTCGAGAAAAAAGAATTCGACAATCCACGAAACTATGTTTAATTAATTGCATGCAATTCTCAATCAATTTTGCAATCAAAATATTTTGCATGCAATTCTCAATCAATTTTTTTTGTAAAGTTATATTATTATGCGATATATGCGTATACGTCATATTATAATACATATATAATTTGCATATTACATTGCTACGTCCAACAATTTATATTAATTCAGAAACCATTGACGATAATTGTTCGTGTATACAGGTGGAATTAACAGGGAACAGTATATTCGAGTACATTTATCCAGACGATCGCAACGAAATGATTTCTGTGCTAAGTCTTCCGCAGAATCCCGCGGATCTCGCGGGTTTCACATTCCCGCCGCCGAATTCACGAGGCGAAATCGAGCTGGAACGTGCCTTTCTCCTTAGAATGAAATGCATTTTGGCGAAAAGAAACGCGGGTCTTGTCACGGAAGGATACAAGGTAAATAAAAATGAGAAAAAAATTTTTCATACAAAATATGTTAGCATGTGCTAAGCGTTCTCCAAAATCACGTTTCTCATAATTCAGAAAATGTTAATACATTTGATTATATTTAATTGAAATTTGAACTTTATATTAGCTTTAAAAATGTATGTATCCAAGAATTGTAATATTCTAATTTTGATTAATGTAGCAAAAATGATAAGTATTAAGCAGACATCGGGGAAATATTTTATGAACTTTATTTTGATTAGATATCAAAAATTTTTAAAAAACTGATAAAGTTAAATCAATAATTTTTAAAAATTTAGAAAAGTATAATAAAAGTATGATATTTCTGTAAAAGCAAGACAGTAAAAAGTAATTACAAGTTTTTCTAGATAGAGAAAAGGATTTTATATATAATGTAAAGTTTATGTAAAGAATTAAAGAAAATAATAAAATGTGCATAGAAATTATAAGAAATCACATAAGAGAAAAATATAAAAATACTAAACAGTAATATTTAATAAGAGTATCATTGATCATACGTGATTCAGAAAAAAAGATAAGCAAATATGTAGATATATTCTACTACTTTTATTTGGTCTATGTCTAAAAAATACTATATTTCCATCAATTATTTTTCTCGATTCTATATACTGATAATACATTACTGATGTAACGCGTAAAATTGAAGTTATTGCTTGTCATAAAAAAATTGAAAGCGATATTTTATATATCACATATTTGAAATTGTTAAAAAAAATATTTATTTTTAATATTAAATAAGTATACATATGTAAGGGTATAAATCATGTCATTATGTTTACATCACATATTTCATTATGTGATATAAAATAATGTGAAAAGCTTAATTTTCATAAAATATTACTTTTTTCGACTGTTTACCTTCTCAGATATTTACCAAATCGATTTTAGCCAATATGTTAGCGCAATTAATCAGATTTACGGGATGTGTGGCGCAAAATGCGAAAAGTCACAGGCCAACATTGATCTCGATTTGTGAAAAGGGAAAGGGATCTTAATTTTCCGAAATCGGGTAAGACTGCGCGAATTAACTTTCCCCGGTCATCGTCAAACTTTCGACATATGCTCTGGCAATAACGGGCAATAACGTTATCGTTCTGATGAAAAACGAAGGGGAATAATCCGCGACATACTTTGCACTTGCTAACCGAGAAGACAAGCTCTTATGACGGAAAATGTTTGGCAAATAGCTCGTTCAAACTATAGTGCTATGATGATCGTAGCCCTCCACAAAATCGCGAAAGATCCCCGCTGAGCAAAGTCATGAATGCAACCCCTATGAACTATTAAACAAGCTGAGCGAGCAGGAGCAGAGAGAGAGAGAGAGAGAGAGAGAGAGAGAGAGAGAGAGAGAGAGAGAGAGAGAGAGAGAGAGAGAGAGAGAGAGAGAGAGAGAGAAGGAAACTTATCCCTACGGCACTTATAGACGTACAAAGACCGGATTATAGTTGGCTTTTCTTTTGTCCGAGCGCAAACGGAACTCGAATTAACGATTGTGTTTAAGCGAGAAAAAAAATCTGCTCTAAATAGAAACGTGTCGAGAAATTTTTAAAGAGTATTAAATTTTTATTTCAATCTTTAGTTATACTAAAATGGTTTCACAGTTTATTCAATAATTTTTTTAACGCGTTTATATTTTTATCTATAATCATTTTTTAGTCTAATTCTCGATAAGTAAAAATTCAGTATTATAAATATATATATTTTTAAATCACATAAACCAATTTTAACACTAATAAAGAATCAAGCTATTAAAAATATTGATAACTTTGATCGCTTTGTCTGGCAAGACATGCGTGAATCCAGGATGAGATCAAGGGTGGTCGCCCTCTTTCAATTCTCTTCGAGTCCCTCTCGCGTTGCAACGCGCGCCGATGCACCGAGATCGCATACGAGGTGGCGTATGCAACACGGGCATAATAAGGGGCCTATTTGCTTCACAAATTTGCCTCGGTACTCGAGACACGAGCGTGACATTCGACGAGGCTTTTTCCGCATCATTCAATTAAGCAGGAATTGTTAATTTGCCGTTGTTCCACGCGAATATCCGTACTTCAACGGCAACACGCGAGGGAGTCACTCAAGTATCGCACTTATGCTCGGCCAAAGGAATAATGTCGCGAACGTTCGTCTGCATTTTTTGAACTGCATGCAACGTGTTACACATGTGTAAAAGAATTAATTTGGATGAATGAGCCGTCAGAAATCGAAGATGGGTGATAAGATTCTATATATGTGTCAAGTTTTTCATCAATTCTCCGCAAGTACTTGATATAAAAATATTGAAAATGGAAGAATATCTGAATCTCAAGGAAATACATATAAAATAATATATAATAGTCTACTGAATTTCTGATTAATCTAAGCAACTCTTTAAAAATTTGTAAATGTTTAAGGAACTTTAAAAACGCGAAGACTAAACGTTATTGTTTTAATTCGATGTTTCAGGTCATACATTGTTCCGGTTATTTAAAATGCATCGTGGAGCTGCCCATCGGGTCTGAATACGAGGATGGTGTTAGTCGTTGTGTCCGTAATGTCGGCCTATTGGCGGTCGGCCATTCGCTGCCGACGAGTTCCATAACCGAAATCAAATTGCACCACAACATGTTCATGTTCCGGGCATCGCTCGACCTGAAGCTCATATTTCTCGATGCGCGGTAAGATTTTGGCCATTAAATCTATTCTCCTTTCTTTAAATATTTTTCTACATATTTTTTATAAAGATTTTTCGAGTATTATCATAAACAACAGAGCCTGCATTTTCATATTTCTTTATCATTAATTTCAAAAAGAAGAAATATATATATATATAATATATATATAAATTAATCAATTAATTTTAACTAATAAGAAAATCAGTTCAAGTCAGTAATATGTGTGTAAATAAATAAATTATGCATAAATAACGGCGTAAAATATAATAACAATAATAATTAATTTATATTTAAAATTATTAAAAAATATTTATTACAAAATATATGTATAATATAAAAAAATAATTTCTCGCGAATAAATTTCTTTTTATTGATGGATCTCTTCACGTTGCAAGAGGAAGCGAGCAGCGTTGACTCGAGCACCGGGATTATTATTTCCAATATAATTATAGTTGGGTGTCGTGTTGCGTCGTTAATATTTCGATGGAGGACCCGCGCACGGTGCCCCCAGTCGAGAGGGGTACAGCCATTAAAATCAGTTTCGTGTTACCGTACGCTACCGCGTATATATCCTTTTTTTTCTTTCCATCCGCGGAAAATAAATATCCACCACCATCAAGCAAGCCTGACAAACCCGCGTTACGCACCCGCTCGTTCACTGGGAACGAACACGTGATGCAGGATAAATATAGCGCGGATAGAAGAGCGCGATGAAATTTTATATTATACATACATACGTCGGAATCGGCTAGCGCGCATTGTGCAAACTCGCGACTCTCGCACCGTAAATCCCGACGAAAACAAGCCCGATGCGAAGAACGATCAGCGGATCTGTTGGACTGTGAGTTCTGTTAACATTGCGTATGAATGATATATGGCGCGTTGTGAATTACACGGGAAAACTAACGCGTGGCTTTCTTTTGTACGAAAAAAAAAAAAAAAATATATATATATATATATATATATGCATCTCTATAATAAAAAAAATTAAATTATAATTAGACTTCCAAAGAAATTTCTTTCAGAGAAAATGTAAACTTTTTAAATATATGAGATTAAAGTTGTAATATATTAAATAGATAAAATAAATTCTCTCTCTCTCTCGTAAAAAATTATTTATCAACATATCTTGTGTTATTATAGGGTAGCCCAATTAACAGGATACGATCCACCGGATCTCATTGAGAAGACGTTATATCACTACGTACACGGTTGCGACATTTTGCAGCTGCGACATGCTCATCATGTTTGTAAGTATTTTTATACATTACTTGATATGAAACCTATTTTAAGGGATAGATGAAATAATTTTATTTTTATTTATGCAATTTCTTTTTTAATAGATCGTATGAAGAATATATTTAATATTATCTTTCGCTATTAAATTTGATGTAATATGCACATTATTATACCCAGAAATTCATTACTTTTCTTTAAATAATTTACTTTAATTCGATACTTTAGCTATTTACTGAACAAACTGCATAAACTTAAACTTGTTTAAAACATTTCGTTTATATTAACAAACTCCTATCGAAAGTATTCACTAATAAAATCAACCAGCTGTTTTTAATTTTCCTTTTGCATAATGCACACGCTTATTTATATAAAAAGATGATCGCACACTCTGTTTTGAATATATTATATATTTTCATTGTATATATTTTCCTTGACCAAAGGTCAACGTCTATTTCTAAAGGGACTCAATCATATGCAAAAGAATAACTTTGAAATAAACGTTCGAAAATATTTTCCTCAATATATTTTCTCCGTCGACCGATGCGATGGTCTGACGGAAGTTCTCTCGAGTCGACTCGAGGAGAACAGCTCCTCCTGGACCGAAAGCAGCTGACGCTGCTTAACTCGGCGACGCCTTTACATCACCCTTACGAAATATTCTTTGATCTTTTCTCACGTTTCTTGCGCGTCGCATAGTTACAATATATTTCCACTCCTTTCCACCTTTTTTCCCTCGAAACGCCATCGCGCGCGCTTATTCTAAGGGTGCGTTCCGTTATGCACTGCAAGTACTGGCACTATGACGTCATGCAAGTGTACTGTTGACAGCGTTCCTTTTAATTTTGTGCACTTTGAAGCTACTGCAAAATAGTAAAACGGAACGCACTACAGTACGCTTTCAGCAGACTTGTAACTAACCTTTTTCGCTAATAATCATCGAGTGAAAAATTGGTGAAATGGATAATACCGTTATTGCATTAATTACATATAATTTAATCGAGAATATATATGATTCGAGTGAGTCATCAAGTGAAAGTGATTTGGAAATGGAATTAATAAATGAAATGAGACGACAAATTAAAATACCTAGAATAAAATGTAAAAATTACGTTAAAATATTGTATCATTATATTCAGATATGGAATTTAAAAGTTAGTTCCATCGTACACATGGAGGTAGCCATCTTGATTACTGCGAGTGCTTTACCTCGCCGGTTGCAGTAATCGCAACAGGAAATAACGTCAAAATTAATGACGTCATATACTCATGATAGTACTTTCGCAGTGCACTGCTATCTATATCGGAACGCTATTGGTAGTACTGTCAGTACTTGCAGTGCATAACGGAACGCACCCTAAGTATGTGCGCACGTGGTACACCTAGGGTGTACATTATTGATTGAACAATGCTACCACAGTGCGCCGACGAAAAGAGGAGGCTGCTGGCATGCGCGCGTGTCTATATTTCTCTGGGGTGTGTGTGTGTTTGAGAGAGAAAGAGAGAGGGAATAGAAGTGAGGGAGATTCAGCGAGAGGTGAGAGCGAGGTAGGAGGCTGTTACTGCTATCACTGTTTGAACAGACTCGCAGTTTCACGAGCGCGACTCGAAGGGAACCTGACATAATGCCGCTAATGTCTGCGCCTGCGGATTGCGCGACATCGCCCTGTCTGTCCTGCTCGGTTGTTTTTTTCGCAATTTGACGCCGACATCATGGATGTCTGAAAGATATTTTTCCTAAAAGATCGTATACACAATCTTTTTCTTCTTCTGGATTATTAAAACTTTTTTTCTTCACATTCAAATTCTTTCCTTTCGCTTATTTTCTTAGCATGACTGTTAGAAATAAAGATGTTTTAAGCATAAATCTTATAAAAATGAGATGAATGTACGAAACCAAATTTAATAATAATGTACGTACGTGTGTGTATATACACATATTAGTGTAATTAATATTATACACGGAGAAAGAATTTTCTCTTAGAATTTATCTTAAAAATTATGGAACAATATGGTAAGAATTTTACAAGTGTTTCTGATTAAATATTTATCACAATAAAACTATATTAATATCTATATAACTTTTTATTGTAATAAATATTTAAAAAGAGAAACTTTCATAAAATTCTTATCATATTGTCTCACGACTACTGATTTTCAAGGTAAATTCTAAGAAAAAATTCTCTTTCCGTAGATTATAATCATAAAAATCTTTCTTTATCAAAATATTATAAAAATCTTTTATGACATTAAACTATCTGCTAACGATCACCATTGCCTTGTTGGCAGTATTGCGCAAGGGTCAAGTGACGACGAGATACTACAGGTTTCTGACGAAAAGCGGTGGCTGGGTATGGATGCAGTCGTACGTGACCATTGTGCATAATTCAAGAAGCTCGCGGCCGCACTGTATCGTCTCTGTAAACTATGTATTGACGGCTACCGAAAGTACCGGCCTGATCCTGAATTGCGAGCAAAAATCGTCGTGTTCGAGTCCCGGAAATCCGCCGAGCGCGCCCGTCTCAACACCTACGATTGGCGCAAATGACTTGGACAATCACAGTCCGAGTCCGCCTTCTTATCGCAGTAGGACCAAGGAACCACCCGATACCGAGTACGCCGATAGCTCTGGCTACCCTAATTCGGAATATATGACGGGCTCGACGAATCACAATCATTACTTATCGTCATCGCCGTATGCGTCGCATAATATCAATGGTGCGACTCACGAAGATAGCGCTTATTACAGTCCAGATTTATTCTATCAATACAGTGGTAAGTCTAAAATATTTTTATATGAGTAAATTTCTAAAATTGATTTTAGACTCGATAATAGCATATTCAAATTTCAACATTTCTCTTTTACAAATTATGAGCTATAATAATAATAATAATAATCAAAGATCAAATAAAAATTCAGTCACGCAATTCCATTTTCCCTTATTATTTACCAACTTGTTCAATAAAATCATTATTACAAATAATTATACATGTACCCGATTCTAATCAATATTATTTATTTGTCTTATAATTTCAAGATCTCCACCAAGACCCCGTAAACACTCTACAACAACAACAAGAGCATCATCAGCATCTTTTGCATCATGCCACCTCTCTGACTATCCAACAACAGAGTCCGCAGAATAATCAGAAACGACAGCATCCTCAACATCTGCTACATCAGGCTAACCCTTTGACGTCTCTTGAACAACAACAACAACATAGTCCCCAAAGTGGACAGCAAAAACGACCTTACTCGACGTCCTCGAGTTCTTGCGGTAGCACTGACGGTCTGGATGTGCACTTGACGAATTCTCTGCTGCCGTCCGGATATCATTCGTCGCATCATCATCATCATATGCCGGCGGATTCGACATCGTCGACGACGTTAAACGAGGCGGGTGGCGTCATCATGTATCCGAACTGCGGTTTCAACAACAACGAAAGCTATAGTGCCGCGACGCTTCAACCCCACGAAGGCTACCAACAAGGTCACTCTTGCGGTCAGCCGCACCACAGTAATGGCAACGCAACGGTGAAGCATCTTCATCACCATCATCTGGAGACCTCGTCGACCGGCTACACCAGCGTTATCGTCGATTCTCAACAATACAGCCCTAGCACTGTTTCTCAGGATCTACACGCGCATCAAACGGCGCCGGTCAGCGGTGGAACACCACCGTTGCACCACCAGCCTCATTATGAAACGCATCACCAGTTTGTTCACTGACATCAATTCGAGGTGCCCTGCACGTAGCACTTCAACGCCGCTTGCGACGACAGCGCGTGCGGGCATCATCATCATCGGCATCATCATCATCATCAACAGCAGCAGCGTCATTGCGTAGAGACGGAAGGCAGTGGGGAACAATATGCTGAGACTCAGACGAATAGCAGTTCTTACAATGCTTCGGGACCTCACGTCGCTTATGTCACGCCCTATAAACGACTTTGGAAAATGGAGGAGAGAAACGTCTCTATCTTGAAAGGTAACTCGTAACAAGTAACAAAGACTAAGTATATCGTCAGAGAGATGGCAAAATATTAATATAATCAAATGTGACGAGAAATGAGAATAAGTTCTCATTCTTTATATTAAAATTAATCCGATACGTAGTTTTTAAAAGTTTAGTATTATTATTTGTATATTTACAGTTTTGCGTGTATATGTGTATAAGTTATCAACATTCAAATAATTTTTGAAAGTGTATTTTAGGAGAATGACAAGATATTTAGTATTTATTCCATTGATGACAGATGCTTCGCAAAGTTCCACATAGTGGAAAATGTTGCGCATAGTCAAAATGGCATTTTCTGCTTGTAATTCAACACCGCATATATTTTTCTTTTAACTCATGTTATTATTTCAAAGTAAAATAGCTATATTAATGACCGAGATGCATATTAAAACAATCTCTTTGATTTGAATATTCTTTATCAGCTGTGATAAATACTATTAAAAATGTTATTAGATTAAATACATAATAATAAATATAACCTTGATTATTGTTTTTTTTAATCACTAAATCTAAACATCAATTTAGAAAACTACGAAGACTTGGTGGAATCATTATGATTGTAATATAAACGATAATATATACACAGTATGTTCAATAAATCAGGGGACTTTTTATTTAAATCATGGAACACGTAACGCCATCTATTGAACGTTGATAACATTAGAAAGGTACAGGTCTCACCTTTCAAACGCAGCCAACTTCATGTAAATCGGTTGACAGGTTAAAAGTTACGCGCTTTTTAATGACAGTATGTTTTGTGCTTGTGTCGTAAAAATACAATGGAAATATTAAATTTTGTTTTAAACTTGGAAAAACATTTAGTGAGACGTACGAATTGATGCAAAAAGTGTATGGTGATGATTGTTTAGCTCGTTCAAAAGTTCATAAGTGGTTTAAACGATTTAAAAATGGTCGTGAAGATTTGAATGATGATGAAAGACCTGGTCGTCTAGAAGAAAGTAATCGTGCTGAATTGGTGGAAAAAGTCCGCGAAATCATTGCTGTTGTTGTCAAACTGTTAATAGAGAATACTATTTACAAGTTTTACATCGTTTGTGGTCAAGAATTGTTCGTGTTAGACCTGAATCCAGAGGGGAAACAGCTCTTTTTATTGCATGATAATGCACTACCTCACAAAACCAAAAAAGTTCGTGAATTTTTGATGAAAAAAACAGATTTGTGTCATCGACCACCCTCCGTATTCTCCTAATCTATCACCATGCGACTATTTTCTGTTCCCTAAACTGAAAACTGCCATGAAAGGAGCGTTTTACGATGATATTCCAGCCATTCAAGCAGCCGTGACACAGGTGTTAAAGAACATTCCTTTAGATGACATGAAAGAGTCTATGCATAAATTGGTTGATCGTTCTAAATGTTGTATTGAGTTAAATGGAGACTATTTCGAATAAAAAATAACTTTCAAACATAGTACGATACGTGTTTTATTCTATATCTTAAAAGTCCCTTATTTATTGAACATACTGTGTAAAATGCAACTGACGATCTTAATATCATTTTTCAAACGACAGAGAATACAAGTTGATAACAATGAAGAAAGGCTTTGATATATTAAACGCAGATGTGCTAATTGAATGATATCGAAAATTAGTGCAAATGACACTTAAGAAATCGATGATGATGTTACGTCATAAAAAATATTATGAATAAATAAACTTGTACATTTTTATATATATAAATATGTACCACATATCTCGAAATGTGACAGTAATTATTAGTTTGTGATATATTATAACTTAGACGTATTAAATATTTGACAACCAATATAGATCATTGCAAACATCATAGAAGAAGATGTTAAGAATGTTTTACACGCGCTGGACGCGTTTTCTGAAAACTTTCTGCAAAAAAGTAATTCAACGAAAAATTATTCTAGATGGCATATTAATTAATATTAAAACATTTGAATTTAAAAATGATATATGAAAAGTTGAAAGTATGAGAAAGATTGAAATAACCTGTGCGATAAAAACTTCAAAATAAAATTTCAATTTTTACAAGTTGTTTATTGATTGAAAATATTGTGAAATTAAATATAAAAATTAAAAAATATAAATATAAAAAATCATTAAAATTCTAAATAAATTTTAAAACGTAGGGATTTTCAGAATTTTTTTTCAATATATTTTGAACTTTATATATAAGTATATTTAGAATTATTATTATATATTTTATTATTTAAAAAGTATATACATATATTTATAATATATTAAACTTTATTTATATAATATTATTATTTTACTATATTTTAATATATTATATTATATGTATAATTAAACATATATTACATAACTAAACATATATCAAATTCCAATAAGTTTTAGTAAATGTGAAACAGATCATTTTTATGCTTTCAATTTTTCAATCTTAAGTATTAAAACATGGTGTTCTAGTGTTAAAAAATATGCTGATGAGGCTACTAGCATTGTTGCTGTACATATACTATTAATGCGAGATCTTCTCGAACGTAATATAATGTAAATACTGTGTAGACGTATAAATTATCCTAATTATACATATAATTAAGATATACGCAAAAATACACATAAAATGTATATAGTAGCATTTACATTGATTCGCGAAGACTGACCGGTGCTTATGCCAATCGACCAAAGAAACGCGTTCTTTTTATCAGAAAATTAGCATCATTATATTTATATTTATATATTATATGTGCTTATTTAATAATAATGAGTATCCAATATAGAGATAAAAGAACGAGTATATAATTGTTGTAAATATAAATACGTAGTGCAAGACTCAGTCAGTACACTTTGATTGTCGCGAGATATTTTATTACGAGAGATTCGTAGATCGTTATACATATATATGTATATATATATGTATATATATATATATATATATATATATGTAAATCGGCATGCATGTAAAATCGATATCAAAATAAAAATCAGCTATCAAATATTTTCTTAGTGATTCTCCAAAAATCGCTAAAGAAAAAGTCTTAACTATTTTAATGTCGATTATACACGCACGTGGTGCCAAGTCAGTTATTTATAAATTTATATCATATATATATATATATATATATATATATATATAAAGTGTAAGATTTCGTAGAAAAAAAATCACGGCAAAGCGTGTCCGCGTCAAGTCTTGTAAATATGTAAAACTATAGCGTGCATTGCAAACATATATATACAAGAAAAATATATCTCATATTTTCCTCTGACAAGATATGATATTTTCCACTCGTTGCCTTATTCCTGCTTCTACACGTTAGAATTATTTTGGGTGCAAAGGTATTGTGTGTAAAATAATATATCAATATGCAACGCAATATTTCACAAAAAATTAATAAAACAAAAATTCTTTGCATAGTATTATATAAAATAATTAAATAAGATAATTTTGTACTCAAATAATCTTGGTGCAAAAATATTCTGTAAAATTAATTTATTTCACTCTATTTAACACGAACTTTTAAATGCATCTAAACATTATAAATAAATCTGTCAAAAATATTTTATAAATTCTGTATCTAGCTGAATTCTTCTAGCTGAAATAATTTCAGTGATTCATAACTTGTCCAGGATTAACAATATATTTAAAAGATTATTAACAATAAGTTCAATTGTTAATTTTTTAGATCAAGTGAAATCGGAGTATGATATAAAAATACGTGTTTAATTATCGTGAAATTAATAAAAATACAGTTTTAAATTTTCGAATTTTCAAAAATTTTGACATAATATACGTCCTTAATTTTTTGACTGCAAAAGGTGCATATAAATACACCTTTAGAAAATTATTGACAAAAATAAAAATGCATTCTCATATGTCCTAAGTTTTTAATAATTTAATTTAAGTCAATTTCAGATAAAGAAAGAACTAAAGAAAAATTCATAAAAAATTTTTTACATAATTTTATATATTACAAAATCAAAACTTAGAGTCTACAAATTCATTAAAATATTTTTATAAGATATCAGTTTATATAAAAAAATCTAAAAAAAAACCGTTTACAAGTATATTTAAAGCAATTAAGTTGTGTGCATTTTCGACATTAGTTTACGATTATTTTAAATTTCAGCTTTCTGCGCATATTATATATTATATGTCTATTAGATATTATGTAAAAGAAGTATGATGGAAGATGTATGATAAAAGAAAATAATAAGTCTATAGATTGCATGTGTAAACAATGTCAACACTTTTGAAAAAAGCATTGAAAAGCGATAGTGAACATTTCAGATAATTCAGCTACGCGAGATTCTCACCAAATTAAAAGCGGGATCACTCACAAAAGCGGTCCACATCACACAGCATCCAGCCGAGATCCCCTGTGCCACAAACATGACGAGGCAGCGATCCCGCTTTTTTGTCGCGCAACCCCGATTGTCACTCGACTGGCACAAACAATAAATTAATTGTACGTCGTATGATTCTCCGTCAGTTAGCTTTCGGCGGTCGTGTGCTTATCGACATGACGTCTTTGGAAAGAGACACGTGTCATTTTATAATCGTCATTCAGTCCCCCCTCCCCCTCTCTCTCTCTTTTTCTCGCTCAATTAAAGTAAACGCGCAAAACGGAAGATTCCTAGGAATTATATTAATTTTCTCAAAGTCGATCTACTCCGTTATGACATATTAAGCTTCCGCAATCTTTTTCTTTTTGGGGATGCAATAAAAAAATTAAAACAGATATCTTTAATAAGATATACAATACCTATATATATATATATCACAATTTTGCTATACCATATTCTCCATTTTCTACTACAATGATATAATAGAAATCTGTTTTAAAAATCTTAAAAATCTCAAAAAACGTGACATGTGTTAAAAGCTGTTAGCTTTATAATATTGATTTGAGGCTGTGACCTGAAAAATTTCAGACGTACATGTGTTCGCACGCGCCCTAGGTCGACACTGCGGGCGATATTCGACAATCGGTGCCTTCTGTAACGAGTGATCACCCGATTTCACAGAATCGTGGTCGCGTTTCGTTCGCCGGCCGAAGAATTTAACGAGCCGCACGCGGCTCGCACAACCTCGACATGTCGCACGCGACCTCTAATAACATCCCTTACGGTTATCCCTTCCGCCTCTCATTATATAGTTTCCTATCGTGACTGATATGTTCTTCTGTTCGTTCATTTCTATGTATTATGACAAGAAATATTATAACAGAATTACGCGGAAAAACTAGTTAATTATGTATATAATTGCATATATATCGATAACGTGATTGCAAAAATATTGTGAATCAAGAAACGTTATTTTCGAAATTAATGTTACAAATTATAAATGACAAGATAAAGATATATTGTAGTTATGGCACATATCGTATATTTTTTTAATATATATTAATATAAAATAATAATATCGCGTAATGTTTTTTCAACCTCATCATTAAGATTTTAATATCTTAGAGAGCATCTCAATCGTTTACCCATCAGTTCTATTTCACTAGAAGCAAAGGAATAGAAATTGCGAGATTTATCACGCGATTGTTGTTATCGCAAGTTAAAACGTTTGCTTGCAGACGGCGATTATTTATAGCGCGCAAAAATAGCGCGATAATATACTGAAAGTCGGCTCTCAGAGAAGACTGAATAGGTCGGTTCGAACAGTGTAGACTGTGGATAATTGCCGTGCCACAGCAAGTGGTTTTGTTTCTTCTCGCGCGGGTTGCTCGTAAAAATATGAGACTTGAAAGGGAGGACTTAAATTTTTATACCCGTCTCCGCGCTGCGCGTCTACTCTACCGTAAAAAACGTGCGAGTATTATAAGAGAGCTGGGTCACACACAAGAAAAGTAATGAGGCCGTGCATAATCGGCAGAAAACGATTGCGCAAGCGATATTTTTGTAATTACAAAATTCCTGCCGCAGTCTTTCATTTATTTAATTTTTTTCATTTCTTATTTTTATCATAGCATACATATTTAAAAAGAAATAACAAAATAAGATATGAAAATTAATAAGAGCCAGAGTCAGATTAGGAACAACAAAATTGTTTTTAAATTCTGCTTTCTTTATTTTGACCAGTTTGGTCGTTAGTTAATATCGATTAATAAAAGGTCCAGGGGGATATAGAGATCCGCATTTCCGTTCTACATCTCTAATAAATCCTCACAATGCACAAAAACGAGATCTCAGCTTCGTTCATTGTAAGGACTTATTAAGAATGTAAGACGGAAATGCAGATTTATACATGTAGAGTTTTACTAATTGATATGCTGAAGATAGTCCGAGGAAAGAACCGAAATGTTTAAAATAATTAAAGAATTTATAAACAATTTTGTAATATTTTGCCTGATTCTTATTAGCCCTTTTCATATCTGATTTTGTATTTATATGTATACTAGAGCCTGTTCAATTTGTTATTAAAAAGAGAAGATATTAAAATTATTCTTAATAATTGAATGTTTAAAAACTATTTAAACTATCTACACACATTTAATTATCTTAATGTGTTAATCTATTATCAATATATTTCGATAATACAATTGAGAATGCTTATTTTAATCTATTCTTATTCCCAGAACGTTTATCTTTGACATCAAATCTGAATTTTTGCAAAAGAGCATGATAGATGATTAATTTTTTCTCTGACTATCGGCGAGAAATAATATTGCTCACAATATCGTGGCACTCCCCAAAAAGTAACATATGCATCGGTTATACCGTAGGCACCACAGAAGTAACTATTATCTCCGATGATTAGGGATAAACATAGATCTGTGGGACAGGGGGATTTTAAGTAAACACTTGACAGGTTGCGTGCGCTATAGAAACATTTGTACCACGGGATGTAGTATTTACTTATCGTTAAGATTCGGATTATGGAGATTTATGGGGTTGTAGCATAAACCACGGTTTTTGCAGATAAAAAAGATGAGATTAGATTTGGTCCGCGAAAATACAATATATCTGAGAGCTCTAACGTATTTGTACGAAAGAAATATTTAAAAATGCAGTAAAATAGAGAATTACTGTAAACTAGGTTTCATTACGAGTACGCACGATCATCTCATCTAACTTAATAATTTTTACAAATTACCCACCCCATATGAAAGTTGATTTATAAATATATGTCAGAATGTTACACGTTATAAATAATAAATAACGCCAAAAATTTTTTTATTTTGCTCGAAAAGCATTTCATCGATGGATTACCACGAACGAAGATCGCCGCTGATCGGAGATGATCCTTGGCGTTGCTGGCGGTAAATTTGGCGCGTAGCTATGAGGAAAGGGCAAGGGCGGCGCGTTGGCAAGGGTGTCGGTAGGACATACACATGCACACACACAAATGCACACAGGTTTGTATCGGCGGCGAACTTGCGCGCAATCGGGGACGAAGGGACCGCTTTAGCGGAATCGCCTCCGCGGTAACCAGGACGACGGCACGTAATGCCGCCCACAATCCCGGGCTGTCTTGTCCGATGTGTTTGCTCGATGATTTTATACCAATTACGGCCTATCCCCGTGCCATTGCCTACACACTACCAGCATCGGCCGCTGCCACACCATTGCCATTCCTGCGTGCGATTCCATCACTTCCGGAACGGAAGCGCGGCGACTAAGTACCATCACTATCGGTATATGCAAGTAAGATCACCGCAAGTCGAATAATTTAGTATTGGCATTACTATTGATGAGTATCGAATGTATATCGATGCTTACAAAAAAAGACAGTATTTGCTAGATATTTGTTTAATATCAATTTAAATATCAAAATATCAGAATATATAAATATATTATATTTTTATATAAATATAGTTTTCTTACATGTATCACTTTTTAATGTTAAATGGAGAGTACAATTATTATATTTAAATTTATAGAAATGTTAGAATTTATTCGGAATTTTATAATCGTTTTTTCATGATGCTATAACAATTAATCTTGGGTAAAATAGGATTTTTTGACAAATGAACAAATGAACATGGCATAAGATACACATACACACATTTAATATATACATGTACATATATATTTAATTGTTAATATTAATGAATAATAATATACAAAACATAGAAGAATAATATATTTAATACATAGACTAAAAAATAGTTATTTACATCATAAATACATAAATTTGTGAATATATATTATGTAATTCCGTAAATAAAAATCTCTTGAATTTTTATTTATAATTTAATAATTAGATTTAATTCGCATATAAATTTGATCATCTCATCAAGTTTATTATAAATTTAATTAGGCAAAAGTGCTTCTTTGCGTATTATATGTTATATTTATATTATTTATACTATATTATATAACAAATATTATAAATACTAAACTTGTGAAAATTTTCTACTAAAGTATTAACTTTGTTTACAAATGTATAATTAACTAATTTTCAGTATACATGATGTACTTACAAGCAGACATTATCTCTTTGGTACTGCATTTTAATTATATATTATTATATATTAATTGTATCATAATCTGTGCTGACTAAATCTTTAATGGGCAAGTTATTATCTATTACAAAAGCTATCAAAGTCGACTAGGACGTTCTAACATTTTGCTATTTTATTGCAAATTTTGTCAGAAATATGCACGATAAATGCATAAAGACTTTTCGAATTTTTTCCAGTCTTACAAAAATAAATGCGATAATTTCAGAATATCATATATAATTTCTCTGCGGCGCAAAAGTATATGGAGACATCTGGATATTTTCTAGTAAAGATTCAGTTTTATTGGAAACTCAATAAGTGACCGATAAAGTAGATAGATAACAGTAAAACTTATAAATACCTATTTTTATATATGATAAATAAATGATTTTGTTCATACGTGTACACGATGTTTATTCGTGGCATCGAAATCTGTTTTCTGTTATTCTTCGAGATAACTATATTAATCTCTGCTTCATAATGTCGAAGATGTTGAAAGATGTATATAAATGAAAGTTAAACTAAATTAAAAATTGATGTTCGTAAAATACTGCATTTATAAATAGATTTATTTATAAATAGATTTATTTATAAATAGATCAAATTATAACTTTCACTGTAATTTTACGCCGCAGTGAAATACTGTGAAAATTTTCAGCATGTTTCGGAAATTGTATAATAAATATAATTGCAATAAACTTGATTTTTATACTTTAATATGACAGATATCTAATATTTACACAAAGACATTAAGACAATAAACTATATGTAATTTCACAATAAGTACATAACAGAATACTATACATATTAAGGAAAATTAATAATAATTAGAAACAATTAAATTAAGCTAAGACTTATTAATAAGTTTGATTTAATCTCCATTTGGCTTAATCAATGATCGATTAATTGATATAAATAAACACACAAATGATTCGATTTATAGTTTTATAGGATTGATTCAATATATCAAAATTTTGATCGAGCCTCATAGTAAGTCCCATAGTGATTGTTTTTATTCTTGCCAAAATCTTCATCTGTAGCTCCGCTGTACATGGAAAAGCCACGACGAGAGAGTAATTCTCCTGGCACGATTGTAGGATTGGTATAACAAAAATCTGCCATCATATTCGTCTGCCTGTTTAGTTGGTTAGACCTATAAATCAATTTTCAATTTTACAATCTTGGCGATCATATCTATCTATTATATAACATAATCTTATTCAATAATGAAAGGGATAAGGATCTGATAAAGTTAATTATCGACATCTGTTTAAATTTAATTCGATTCTAGATTGAATTATCACCAAAACATTTCTTGGACCACCAAATATATTCGTAGAGAATATCGAAATAAAGACTGATTATTGAACGTTAATGAGCGCTTAACGAAGAAATTGCAAAACAAAAAGGTAAAAGAGATTCTGATTTTATATTGTAAAAATTTAGAAAAAACCTCGAGAAAAGTTTGAAATATTTTGGAATAATTAGAAAGATAAAATTAATTGATAAAATAAAAAAATAAGTTTCTATATTACAACTAATATAAAATTAAATTAGTAATTATCACATAACCTTTACAGATCTACAAACAACTAAGAAATTACTCACGAATAAAAGCATTTTTTAATCATCATTACCGTTCTACATTCTTGAATGAGATAAGCTAAATAATCGGACAATAAAGATACGCTATCAACGATTCCGTCGACGGAATATGAATGTGAGTCACAAATGAAACTTGAATATTTGATTTTTATTCTTCCACTAGAAATATGAAAATGTCTATTGCCACTGTAGATGTGTCATGCACTTTTTCACTTTCCTTTTGCCGCGTAAGAGCATCGCTGAATGCAGGGAACAATCGTATAATATAGCAAAATACAGATTTAACCTGTTGCGCGTAATAATATTTGATAACGATTTTATATTACAATAATGTGTTTATAATAAAATAATTTTAGATATATATATATATATACATTTTAAATAATCAAAATTAATTATTAATTACGATTAAATTTTTCGATTAATTAAACTTTACTGAAATTGTGCAAGACAAATATGTCGCAAGAATGTGTAGCAATCGATTACCAAACAAATTATGAAAAACGTTCCCTTTACAAAAATGTTTTATGATATTGAAACTTTTAAAACCTAACATTTCGTATGTAACAATCTAGTGAAATAAGTAATGTGTATTTAGGTATGGTATAATTTTACAATGACGGAAATTTTGAAACGTGTTACGTGGATGACGCACGTCATTCTCGACGATCAAACGCACTTTCACCGCAAGTAAAATATTATAATTGATACATTGACATGTAAATGTTAGTCATTAAATTTACATCTAATGATAGATTGATTCAATATGACTGTCTCTATTCATTAAATTACTTTTTTATGAAACAGGTTCCATGCTGATAGCACTTAAAGCCTACAATTGTCACTTCTATTGTCGGTTGGCAAAAGATAAGTAGTACTCACCCATCTCCAGCTAACCGATTTACTTTCACGAATAGCACGATAACCAAAATGAAAAGTAAGATAAGCGCGCCAGCAGTGACACCGCATGCAATGTAAAAATATAGCGTCAAATCTTCGAGAGCTCCCTAAAAAGAAGAGTTTACAATCACTTTTTTAAATTATAACATTGAAAAATTATGAAAATCGAATCCACAAATAAAATGTAAGCGCAGAGAAAATTATTTACTAATACAGAAAAATAGAAACAGATTAATTGCATATCCGTTTTCGCGATAAAGTTTACGTAATATGATTAATCGTGATATCATTTTACGCACGTGTTAATTAAAACAAAGCCAAAATTAAAAAGACAAGGCTATCGGAAACGGAAATGCAAGATTGTGAAAAAGATTTGTACGTCATGCACGATTGATATCCTCTTTCTTGAAAGATTTCGTAAACTGCACTTAATTCCAATATTAAACGTTATAGACGATTGCTAACAAGAAATTTTTTTTTCTTTCTCGAATCACTATTGTGACGCGATCGTATCTTTAATCAGAATTTATCTCATGAATATCTATCTTATGCATCTCATCGGTTCGTTTGCATCCGACCTTGCGTATGCATAGTTGCATCTCTAACAACGAGGTCTGTGAACGGACGTGATCAATTACGATGAGTAATTTACTGGAGAATTTGTAAATATCTCTATTTTATTTTCAGTAAAAATACCAAAAAGCAATCTGAGAGAAGACATTACAATATTAATAGCGGATATGTTGTATGAGTTTTAAATATTAATAATACTAAAAAAATTTTTTTCTTAAATTTCTCGTTTCTATTATCTTTGTAATTCTAAAAATTTATTTATCTCTCTCTCTCTCTCTCTCTCTCTCTCTATATATATATATATATATATATATATATATATATCTTCTCATGTTCATTATGAAACAAGTGTTTCATACTGTTATCGATTGCTAAGAATACTCATTGATATGAAATTATTGACAGCTCTATACAATACACAGTTTTGATTACAATCAAACTGACAGATTCTGAAGAGATAATAAGTTTTTATATATTATTTTTTATAAAACGTATCTTAATATTAATGAACAAATACTCTACAATTATTGTAATATTACTTTTTGAGCCCTTTACAGAAGCATTTTTTGCACACACACATAAATAGTCATTAATTATTATATTGAACATGATAATGAAAAGTTAAATGTACATATCCTATTCACAATTGTTATCCACACAAAGATACAATTTACATTCCATTTTACGCCTTAATTGTCAGATGTGGAAACTTACGATGGATAAAGATATACCAAGTAATACCAGCATTGTCATAAAGCTTACGAGCCGAAGACGTAACTATTTTAATAACGCAAATGACCGATAAAATGATTTACACTATATTTACGATACTCGAGATAATTTCGATAACTCTGTCAAAGGCGCGACAAAACACAAGTAGGAATTTTGCCATAAAAAAAGAAGGAAACGCGTGATTTTATGCGCGTGTATATTTGCGAGAACGAGATTTGCGGTCAGAGACCATACGATCGACCTCGGTAATATTCGAAAGATATGTAAACATTGAAAGTGGGAGAAACTAATATGTACTTACCATCGTGAGTATGAATCAACCAGCTGAGCCCGCCAACGTTGTCTTGTCATGCCTTGCACACGATATCGTTTATAAGATGTCGCACTTTCTCAAGATATCGAAGATCGATATCGGGGCGTTATCGCGATCGTTCGCGTATATCTATCGAAACGCGATAACACTGTAGATTCCAAAATATTGAAACATCTCATCGAGCTATTCGCGGTCCCGATCAGTCGCGAAAAATCGAGCTCGACTCGACGAATCCAGCGCGATAATCGTCGACTTACAATGTCGATGATAATGAAACTGTGATGAAAATGTCCTTTTCCCTCTCTCAGAATAGAAAAAAGAGAAAAGAGGGGAAAACACGCAGGCAGAGAACGCGTATATCAATATTCAGACTCTTGATCGGCTGTTTTCCTTTATATATATATTGGAGCAATCGATCGACGATCTGGGGCGATTTGCGCACCGTACACATTCAACAGGTGCGGGACAGCCGGCTAGTTAAATGAGTACTAAGCGAGACCGACGAGAGCGAGGTAAAGCGACGGTGCCAGCTAAGCAATGCTGAATGCTGATAAGCCCCTCCAGGGACGACCGCGAACACGGGCGTGTATACACGCGCGTGCGACTTGTCTCCGCGCTCTCTCACCTACAAAGAGTACAAAGCCGCGTCTCCGCGCGTTACGTGGGCAGGAATGCTCGGTTGCATAAGGTACATCGATAATTGTATTCGCTAAGTATCGATAATTTTACTAATTCAAATATCGCACGGTAATTATCGACATATGCGATAATAATGAATTATTAATTGTTTCTGCAAGCGAAGAAGATGTGAAAGTTGAATATTGCAGGTACCGATGTTGAACGATATTAAAATTTCGTTAGATTTTAATTATTATAGATTGGTTCTCATAAGTATCAATATATTATTGGGTATTTTACTTCTTACTGAGTGGATGTTAACAGTATAGGATAAAAGATTAGGTGTGCATGTAGCAATAAATTACAATTGCAGTTATAAAGCAGGATGCAGCAATTTTGGATATAAAAATATAAATGTCTTTTTAAACATAAAAATATATCTTTTATTAAAAATAAACATATGAGATTTGTAACTGCACTTGTAATTATTAATTTAACTTGACATTAAATAGTTTTGATTCATTCGTTCATTCACCACATATTAATCAAACCAAACTATGCACATATCATAATTGCATAATTGTATTTCTATAGAGAAGTTAGGAAAGTACTTGTAGATATATTTATAAATATTTGAATAATCTTCCGCTGAAAAAATGGACGGTAAATATGCTGACATAGAAACAAATGCACGTGAGACTCGTTCATAAATTATGTACACAGGTGCTAAAACTTATGTGTAAATTCAATATTACACACGCAGCTATATACGTAATGGCACACATGTGAATATGTTAAACCTGAGTTGTCATCCACAACTTACAAAAATTTTATTCCAACTTTCCCTTTCGCTCACGCGAGCGACGATGTAACTCATCGTTTTGTTGTCATGTGCATATATTATTAGTTATCATGATGTCAAGTATCACACTTCATCACAATTAATTGCATTTAAAATCTTACAGACTGCTATATAAAATATATATATTAAGATTCTCTCATAACACAAAATGCATTACGTATATTAAAAATACGTATTTGTTGCATAAAAATATAAAAAAATTATATATAAAATAAATTAATACAAATTGTCGCTCGTGTATTGAAAACAAAGTGATAAATATAAGGCCAACTTATCGAGCTGAATATTCGAGATGTTCAGTCAACTACCATTTATTACATGTATAAATTATAAAACTACAGTCATTATATTATATTAAAACTAACGCAAATTAACGCAAATTACAATCATTCTATAAACGTTTCGACCGCACGCGGTCTTCTTCAGTATAATTATTGAAAATAAATTCTTACAATTCACATGATATCGAAATTTAATTATAGTTATTCAGAATCGAGAGTTTTTGAGCAATTAACGCGTGTTTCAATCCGTCCTGTCCAACAATGTTCGCCTCGATATGATCTCTGATTTTGTTCAGATCTCGGATGATTTCATCGTTAATATGCGAGAAATTAACCCGTACCGTAGGCGCTGCGATTAATAAGAAATTACCGATCAACGTATGTCCAAATTATAATATATATCCCCTACAATTGGTAGTATGCTTACCTATCATCGTTCTTCTTGACAATTTTGCTACTTATTAACAGTTATTAAGGATGACACTTAACAAACAACAATACAGAAAGACAGCTCATTTTAAACTCTACTTGATCGGAGAGCGTGCGTGTTTATATATGATCTAATATCTATGTGTTTACTCGTTAATGTCCTATTTGTCCTATTATTATTTATTGTTCGCTAATATATCCAAAATATCAAAATACGACTCGCTAAGTAACTCAGTATCTTGTTTAAATTTAGTCCATTTTTTTGTTCCTTGATATGTAGCATCTCAGAAATGAGTCTTTTATAATAATTATTTTCGTTGTCCATGATCTTAACATTGTCCATTATATATAATTTGTACATTATATATAATTTGTAATTACAATTACGTTTTGAAAATATTTTATGTACATTATATTATGTAATAAAATCTTAATTGTAAGTTTAATTATATACAAGTAGATAATATTTAACATTGAAATTTAGAAAAAATTTACAATTGTAAATTATATAATCCTTTTCATTTGTTTTATAAAATGCAGATAGAAAACATTTTCATAATGATATGTATTCTGTAATTTTTAATATTTTTTTCCATAGAAAAATAATATAAAAAACACTAAAATTATGTTTACTTCTCATAGTAAATAAAAATTGTTTTATTATCTTTTTAATGTTTCTTTATATTAATTTTATACGGAACAAATATTAAAAATTATAACTTATATACATATAATAAAAATTATTGACCACACATATTTGAAAAAAACAACTGAAAAGATTTATGATAATCTATAACTGTAAATGTTTTTGTTATGTCAAATAAAATTATGTATGTGATTAAAATTAAAATTAAATTCTATCATATGCAATAGATATCACTTTATATTAATTCTAAAAAAAATTAGAATATCTATTTTTCTCAGAGAACCTAATTTTCACAGTCATTTCTAATTCAAAAATTATAAAAATTTCGCTATATGTATATACATATAAATTTCATTTCAATGTATATTCAAGATCCATATATAGATATATAACTACTATTATTTTTAATTTATGATTAAGCATTAATCGATAATTCTCGTATATGTAGTTGAAAAACGTATTGGGTTTTTGTTTGTACTTTCTGGGTATAATGTTATGTAGCAAGTCTCATACATCGACGAGAGTATAATGGTCAGCACTCTTTTGTGCAAATGTACGCAGGCTCATGAGCCAATATAATATATAAGGAAGGAACATACAAAGACTCACGTATAGATAGTAGGGAATAGGACGGGTAGATCCGAAGGGATAGAACCACAAACCTCTTCTTGTACCATCTCGAATGTGATGACTTAGGAAGGAAGCCAATATTATCCAGGAAGTATGTTCCAATATAGGAGAGTGGAAAGTATTAGATAGGAAAATCAAAACTATCCACAGTATAATAGGAATCGTAGTACAATGCAAGAACGGCCGCTTCTGCAAATGCGTAGCATCCTGAAAAAAAATTAAATTAAATTAATAAAAGCAGAAAAAATAGAAATAGATATGTAAGAACATATTTATATAAATAATGAGCCATATAATTATATAAATAATATATAGTAATGATTAGCAATAAACAACATGATATAATTTAATTGACAATTCTATAAATATTTTAAAATAATTTATATTAGTTAAAAATTTATCATTTTTTAAAGAAACGTCATACTTATTTTGCTTTGCAATTATTTAGTATTTCTGATTTTATTTGCACACAGTTTCAATATATATATAATTACAGGGAATAAAAATCCTCATCATATAATTTTTTTATATTAATATAATAATTAATAAATAAAAAAGAATATATATATATATATATATTGTAAGTATTTATTAGTAGGCAATATTTATTCACGGAGAGGAGTTCAATTTGCCAGTAATTTAATTAATCCGTTTAATAATGCTTGAAGCTATGGTCGTACGAAGTTCATTTAACGAAACTATCACACGTTCGTAATATCGACGCGAAATATATATGTATTTTTTGCATAATAATGTAATAATTAGCCGATATTTTTCTCATTACTTCAGATAATATACGCTTACTTGATAAAAATATTAATTCTGTGTATGTAAGCTTATTAATATATTTAATACCATACCTATGGTCGCACGAAGTTAACTTGACAGAATTGTCCCCTTATCGGAATTTTTCCACTACCGACGCGATATATTTATATCTGTGTATAATCAATGATAATCGCCCGATACTTTCCGACACTCCCGATAATTTTCATGGTATAAACACTATATGCGTTGATTTGTAGACAATATTTATTCTCGGTTAACCAAAAATCGTAACTCAAGGTATGACGAGACACGAATGATTTTTACGATCATATCATTACTATATAATTATACAACTATAACAATTACAACATTATAATTATGAGTATAGCAGTTACAGCAATCTATAAACTAATGTTTGTACTTTAACAATACTTTTGATCGCGATTTATATTCGTATCACAAGCGTCCCGACACGACCGTATGCATCAAATAACGCACTGCAAATGGCGGAAGGCGGGAGAACTAGACTATTTCGCGCGCGCTGCAAAAGTGCGGGAAAACTATTCCGATTCCAGATTTAGTTCGATTCCGAGGTTCCGTAATTCCATGCGAATTAAATATGGCTGTTATGACGTATCGAGCACTACATAATTTCTATTACGCATGACATTAATGCATGCTCAATTAAATATACATATATAAATATTACGATAAATTAAATAGAAACACAAGATATTAAAAAATGTATATTTTTTATTTATATTTATAAATTGTATTCAATTTTTAATTGTAAAATAAATGATAAAAATTATTTTGATGTTTACGAATATCAGAAAATAATTGTTGTTACTCCCATTCTAATTAAAAATGAAACACAATAAACAGCTGACATACAATATAATAAAAAAGCTCATAAATAATTTATTTATTGTCACTCTTGATAGCATTCACTCTATTATATACTCACATGAATATGCCAACTGCGGGCTGCGATAAAGTGATCCAGGTCGATGAAGGACGCCAGTAGGAAGCAGGAGAATATGCTGCCCATGTTCCGGATGAAGAACTTCCGTGACAGAACAACGATTAACGTCCACGTGAGGCCGCCGACTGTCGCGTGCGTCAAATTGTCAAACAGCGCACGCTCCGACTCGTTCTTACCGTACTTGAGTCCAAAGTCGCCGATAACCGAGCAAGCGCCGATCGCGCACGTCAAGGAAGCGCGTAGCCAGAGTTCGCGCCACATAGTCCACGTGTTTCTCTCGAATCGCGATCGGCAAATTAATCAATCAATTAACACGCTCAATGTAATAACACGATCGAAACTTCGGAACTTTGACAATAATAACAGAGACTGTCGAAACACGACTATTGACAATTCGCCATCTTGCTTTGACGTTTCGCAGATCGTCCACTAGCGACATCTACATTCATTGCCGAGGAACTCTAGCGGAAACTTCGAAGAATGGCGGGAGACTGCGATCTTGATTTTTATGCGTCTATGGATGATCCTCCTCCTTTCGTTTCCACCCTTCTCGCCTATCTGTTCGAAATATGTATATGTATTGAAATATGTGATTCCTGTTGCTTCTTTGTAAAAACCGATCTTGACGACAATCGAATAATCAACGTGTTTGCAAAAAAAAAGCACTCGCAAGAATCGCTGCGAAGTTTCTCACGAATGTAAATTACTATCTTCTCTAAAAAGTTTTGATTACAAGTCATTGAAGCGTGATAAGAGACAGGCGTTATTTTGGCTTGACTACGCCTTCATTCGTCCGAGGGATAAAAGCTCCTCTCGACATATACCTCGGAGATCTCTTAGAAGTTCAAAGGAAAGGTCATTTAAAAATTACATTAAAATGGTAATTGTCTTGTTAATTAATTGATTTCTTTAATAATATATTTTTCGAAAGATATTGTTAGATTCGTGTCGAATTTTTAGGGTAAAATTTTGATTTGAGTATCACATGCTATTGTTTTATTTCTGTATAATGTCGATCATTTCGGCCATATTAATATTATATATATTAAATAATTATTTGTACCAAAATATTAAAAAGTTAGCACGTACATTAAATACAAGATCGTTAAAAAACGCAAAATATGTTTTTTCAAAAAGAAAGGTTATTCTTTGTTTGACTCTCAAAAGAGAAATGTGTATCAAATAAAAATTGTTAAAATTGCTCCTGGAAATGAGCAGTGGGTTGCAAATGCCTCTTTTTGTCGTTTAATTTTGGTACAAAATTTAGACATCTTTTCTAATATTTTTTATCAACACAGATTATACGTAAAATTTGAATACTGTAAAGTTTATATGCATTATCTTCAAAAGAAAAAGTTGGAAATGTATAACAGCTACTTATTTCAAATAATTTAATGTATTAGCATTTTTTAAATTTTAGTTTCCTGTCTAGAAATAACATTTAATTTAATTTTGCTTTACAGTCAATCACTGCTAAACGAGAAGAATTTCGCATGTATCTAGAGAGATGCGGCGTCATGGATGTTCTCACAAAAATTCTTGTGTCACTCTATGAAGAAACTGAAAAACCATCTGATGCTTTGGAGTATCCTTTTTAACATGTTTTATAAAATTAAATTCTATAAAATATTTTATATTTAATCATATAGAACATATAAATTTTGTATTACATTATTATATGACGAGTAATAATTTATTTTCTAATGTAAATGTCAATAATTATCCAAAGAAATAGTTATTTCCTTATCCATATTATAGTTTTATACATAAAAGTCTTGGTGGTATCGTAAATAACACTTCAGAAGTCGACAACTTGAAAAAAGAATTGGAAGAATCCAAAGCCAAAATTGCTGAACTGAAATCAAAATTAAGGAAGTATGAACCGAATAGTGATGACGAAGGGATGACTGATTAACCAAAATGGAAAATATATATTCAACCAGAGTTCATGCTAGTCCCATTTGGACACTGACTTTTCTAAAGTCAGTCTACTATATATATGTGCCTTACTACTATTATAAATAACACATTTAAGGAAATTAGAATATAAGGTAAATTACTCAACTTTGTGCAAACATTCCATTATGCATATGTTTATTTCAGTCATCCTTATGTAGGAAAACTTAGTTCTTAATTTTCGCACATTGTTTTTTCTCTAAACAAATTTATTGTGTTAAGTACTTGTTGAAGTTACATGTATATGTAATATGTTTACACGGAATAGATTTCAAAGTACAAATAAATATTTCTTTTACATTTATTATAGGGGATTTCAATTTTTAAATATACACATTTTACTGATAGTTAACAATTTTATTTTAAAACTTAAATTTTATCAAGATTCATAATACATAAATATAAATGCAAATAAAGACAATTTATCAAGACTGAAAGATATATAAAGAATGTCACTATTAGTATTCAAAATTGCAGATCATTTATTTTGGAATCTGAATATATTTTTAGTAATGTATATAGTATGTATAACTATATATCAATTTGACAATTTATAAATGAATAATATTCCAAGTTTTAATTCCAGAATCTTCAATGCTGTGTACTCAAACTTTATTCTTAATATAAATATCCTGAAACAATGATATTAAAAGCATTATAAAACAAAAAATAATAGAACCATCAAAATGTTACATCTATAAAAAAATGTAACAAAAAACAATTTAAATTTGTAGATTACCTCTTGAGTTTTTAGGCGAATTTTATACAGTACGATTGATAATCTCATGTAGGTTTTGCTGCTTGTCTGCGCTTTACTTCCCAATTATAAATACGTGCCATATTCACCTCCATTGTAGTAAACTGATCTCGTACAAAGTCTAGATCATGTTCTACATAGCCTAAATTTTTCTTAGCTGCTTCGATATTTTTGGTCAGCACTTCTTGTGCATCATCTAAAGTATATTCTAGCATCACATTAGCACCCAGCCATAAACATACTTTATCTGTAGGTGGTATTATAGCTTTCGCATATACTTGTTCCGACAATAAAAATTGTGTTTCTAAATCATGGCTGTTGTTTTTTTCAATTTGCAATTTCTCGATCATTTCTAAAGATCTTTCTAAATCTGGTATCTGTGTTTTTAATCGTCTTCTCTTATTAACCAAATTGTATTCCATAAATTTATACTTTCCATGGCTCTCATCAAATTTCCTGAGTACTTTATCTACAGATTCGTTTTCTGGTTTTGCCATAAAGGCTTCAACATCATCCTGTAAAAATAAATGAATGATTGTGTAAAATTATTGTGTAAATCAATTATACAAAATCTTCTGTAGATCAATCAGGAAATATAAAATAAATGATTAACAAAAAAATTAATTTTAATAAGAGAGAAAGGAAACTTTTTAATGGTTGTATAAAGTTCAATCAATTAATCAAAATTTGGCTAATATATATAAAAAGTTATATAAAAGATAAAGAGATTCGAATTCTAATATTTTTTTCTATTAATGTTCCATTTCTTAGTGTAGAGAAAACATTTATAGATTAATCGAACGATTGGTTTGATTGGTTATAAAATGATAAAAGTTACAATTTCAGAGCACAATAATTTCGATGTTATAAATATATCTAATAAATATATGCATAAAACTAAAGATTAATAAATTACACTTACTACAAAATCAGCTTCTGGTATTCCAGCATAAGATTTTTTATCTGCATTCAATTCAATTTCCATTTTATTGTCTTCCATCTTGATTCTGCTCTGAGTCTGTCTTCTATATATAGCAATACAGATGTCTTGCATTCGAGTTAGTCAATGCCCATACTGCCCATGCGCCGAACCGGTGACACGTGACACATGACACTGATTTGTGGCGGAGTCTACTGGCGATTCGTGTAATTACTTTAAATTCTAAATAGATTTGAAATAATTTATCATTATTACACCTGTAGTTGTAATACATTTTTAAATAACAATATTTAGCAAATTTCAATTTAGATACAAAGTTAAGAACTAGAAGAGAGAAAAATATAAGAAGGAAAAATGTGTACGCACATACACACATGTAAATATATAAATAATATGTAAAAAAAATCACAATGTATAATATATGTGTAAAAAGAATCGCCAGATAGAATTTAAAAATAAATAAAGAACAATCTTCTATTGACTAAACTAGCAAAATTTTATTAATTCATTTCACAACGTTTTGATCATGATTTTGGTCCTTGTCCTTATCAAGTGATTTGCGAAATGTAATTGGTCGAGAGAAGATTGTTCTTTATTTATTTTTATATCCCTTATGGAAATTTATCACTAGTAACGCCAATTTATCACTTATTTCGAGTACTTAAATTATACTGTATATCAATATTTTAAGTACTCGAAATAAGTGATTAATTGGCGTTACTATTATAGTGATAAATTTCTACAAGAGATTTTAATTTAAATTTTATTAAATATTAAATTATATTAAAAAATATTTATGTTAAGTCTAATTAATAAAAATATATTATTTAACGTAAAATAAGCTATTGCACTTATATGTGTGTGGTTAGCGCCTGTGCGAATATAAAAAAATATAAAAAATATTTTTTCAATTTTTCAATTACGAATAATTATACAATTAATAACGCAAATGTAATTAAACGAATTGACTATATACTTATATTTTTTTTAATACTTACTTTGACTTATACTACAAACGCAGAGGAGAAGGAGGGATGTGGTCATCTCTTCCAAGTACTGTAAATATTGATATACAGTAATTACTTTCGAAATAAGTGATAAATTGGCGTTACTAGTGATAAATTTCTATAAGGATATGTTTCCTCCACGAGTTATCATGTGAATCACTCATTTTTTAAATAGGTAAAATTGTTATCAAAAAGAAATTTTTATGGCTTGGCGTTGCGATGATACTTGGTATCGCTTGATAATATATATAGAATAGTTTTTAACATAAACATGAGTGTTATTAAAGTTGTTCTTAAAGAATTGCATGCTTAAATATTTTTTGAAAATTATATACAGATCTTCCATGCATTTTGCTTGTATTCCAAATAATATGTACAAATGTGCATTATTTTCGGCAAGATAACGATCATAATTTGCATAAATTTTAAAATTAATAGTAATTTTTTTATAACTTCGATACATAAACATGATACATATAATGTGTCATATAACGAGAGAGCCCTGATGATTACGTTCAATCTAAATTAGTTTTTAACATAAACATGATGAGTGTTTTTAAAGTTATTCTTTTTATATATAAAGAATTGCATACTTAAATATTTTTTGAAACATAAAGATCTGTCACGCGTTTTATTTGTATTTCAATAAATAATATATAAAAAAAATGCGTTATTTTTGACAGGATAATGATCATAATTTACATAAATTTTAAAAATAATAATTTTTTTAAAATCTCGAAATATAAACGTGTGACACATGTATGATCTGTCATATAACGAGACAGCCCTGATGATTACATTCAATCTAAATTAGGAATCCACCCGCACCTCACATGCATTCGTGTGCATTTGCGCCCGAATGGTCCAACGGACACTACATTTATCATTGACTCGGGGTGCATTCCTCCTCTTTCATACACTTTATTGGATCTAATCGAGCCGAATTGTTGGTGTATCGAGTAAAGCAGGGTAGATCTGGACTAGAGTGTTTTGTCTAGACAACTAACTGAAAGCCGTGTTCTATTCATTTTACAATTGTCTTGCATGCAAACCGAATGTCGACAAACTGACATCATTTATGAATCAAACGTCTCTGTTGTGATAATAATCAATTAGCATACTGACTTCTAGTTTTATCACACATGTATACCAAGCTGGAATCTTTGAAAACTTCCAAGCGTAGACATCATTGTAATTATAATATGCTGTATATATTTGACATACGACAGTTCAACAATGATTTTATCGAGTTAAATTTTTTGTTGTAAGGTATTCTTATCACACTATACATATATTGAAAAAAAATATATATTTTAATATATACCCAAAATATATTAGAAACGAAGATGTTGTATATTACATATATTACAGTACAATATTTTATATAAATTTTTACATACGTTTTCCTTGAGAACATTTAAAATAAAGCGCTTGTAATTAAAAATTAAATTTGTCAAGCTATTATATATATATATAATTATCTCTTTTTATATAATTATCTCTTATCTCTTTTTTGAACAAACATAATATTGCAATATCTCTGAAATTAAATATTTATTGAACATTTATTTTGAATTGAACATTTTTTTTGGCAACACTTTTTGAACTTGAAGTGACTATATAATATAAAAGTTAATGCAAATAAAGTATAAAGAATTCTACAAAAATTATTTTAATTGTTATCTCGCTATCAGAGCAATAATTGTTTCGCTTATGCAAATGATCAGTAAAATACACTTATAAGGAGCAGATTCATTTGCTTTAACATAAAATTAAATTTGTTTAAGTCCGTGAAAAAGTACGCGTATACATAAATTCAGCACGAAATTTTAAATTATAAAAGCAATTAAGTATACGCACAATTAAAACTATATTTTTTGAAATCCTTAGTAGACTTTATTTCAATAGAATATATTAATTGATGTTGAGTTCCAAAATCGTTTATTAATAAGCTTTAAATATTAAAATAAGAGAAGTTTTTAATTTTAAATAAAACAAGACTAAATTTTAAATTGCAAATTGAATGAGATAGATGTATATAATTTTTTATGTATCTATTTTAACATGACAAAAGTTTTATATTTTTACAGTACACGGAGAGAATTTTTTCTTAGAATTTATTCTGAAATTTATGGTAAAAATCGTGGGACAAGCTATTGGAAGAATTTTATAAAAGTTTCTCTGATTAAATATTTACTACAATAAAAAATATTAATATATACATAATAAATTTTATTAAGTACATGTGATTGACATTAATATTTTTTATTTGTGGTAAATATTAATTAGTTCGAGAAATTCTTATAAAATTCTTTCAATACCATATTGCCCTACCATGATTTTCAGGGTAAATTCTAAGAGAAAATTCTCTCTGTGTATGAAAATATGAGAGAGATTAGCGATTAGCGTACATCTAGGTTTGAACAATCCAATGATTGCAACGTCAGGCCAGGAAAGATTAATTCCGTCCTTTCCACCGACTCGCTGGAACGCGCGAGGCAGATCGGGAGCGGAGATCAAGCGTTTCAGGGCAATACACGGGCAACGCGAATTCAGAGCGCTGGCATGTTATGAAACGATAGCATAGATCCGTGGCACGTTCAGTTAGAACCTCAATGGTTACAGGTTACCTAGGGCTTCCTGCGGAAATGGCCAATATACACCTCCGACCTCCAACTCACTCAGCCTCTCGCGCGAGCGCGCGCACTCGGATCACGCTCCTGTCAGGCGTGATACTATATACCCCATGTACGATCGCCCTGCTGATGCTGGTTCGCTCGACACGCACTCGTTACGGCTCATCATCATGATCTATGCGCCTACAACAAACGTTACATCCTTAATCCGTTCTAGTTGGGTCGATCCTACGCGCGCGTGCTACGCGAAAAAACTAACGTCATTATCTTTTTCAAGGTTTTGTCGGTTGAAAAAATTCTCTTTTTTTTTAACATATACTTCGATGTCGAAACTTTGTTATTATAATTATTAATTACTCGTTATTATATAGTGGAATTTATTTTTTATGGCTAAAGAAAAATCATGCTGAATTTGCTTATATGCGTATTTTTTCACGCAATGAAAAAAATAAGTTTTACTGATGCATTTGTATAAACGAAACTATTATTGCTTTGATAGCGAGATAAAATCAATTTATTATTATTTATAAATGAAATTCGCAGAATTTAACAAAATTCTTTAGTAAATACAGATTCAACAAATTTCTTTAATAAATAAGATTTAAAAACACGATCTACACTCCATTCCTCTCAGCCAATAGAGCCACACGCGATGTTATTGCGACAATTAAGAAAGAAAGAAAATTTGGAAACTAAGGAATTCGTATCCTATGGTTGGGATCTCAGAAATTCCTCTTGTTCCTCTCCTAACTTCTCCTGTAAAGATAAGATTTAAAGAAGATTTTTTCAGAAATTCTTTTTGCCTTAATAACTGACACAGTTTATTACGACAATATAAAATATGTTATATCAGCAAATGATGCATTGCGGTTACATATCGATCTATGATTTATGCATTACATACATTACATATTGCATTCTTGATTTATGATAAGCGAAACTGATTATTACAAATTGTTATTAAAAAATCCTGCCATTTTTTAATGATAATTTTTAGTATATATGTGAATCAACTATATTAAAATTATTCATTCAAAAATACATTGTCTAAATATAAATAATAATATTTTAGACATATGACATACCTAGACAAAGAATTCGCATTTCTTCGTCTGTTGGAAAGTCAAGCAGCGACTGAGACATTATCACGTTAAGACATTAGGACGTTAATACAGATCTAAACTGGAGTTTCATATGACTAACGCGCATTCGGATCGCATAGTTTCCCTCGTTATGGCAATCAGTCGCAGATTCTAAATTTGGAAATTATTGTATCTTATCCTATCTATATTCCTCAAACATGTATATCTCATGTATTATATTTGATATATTTAATATTAAATATTTGACATTTAATATTACCAAAAGTGCGACGTATGAAGGATTTACTTGAATAGTATTAAGAGAAGGAAAAATATTTTAAACATATAATATATATTGCATATATTGTGAATGCGAATATATATAATATATTGTGAAGAAGAGAATTTGAAGATACGTCGAAGAACAGATCGATCGGTTATTGGATATGCGTGTCCAAGATTTCAGGTCATCGCGAAGAAAGAAGCGTGGTATAGCTAACAATGGCATCACAAATACAGACTGACTCTCGTTATACGCAGATATTATCTGTCGAAATGAGTCACTATTTTAATGGGCTCACGGCTAACAAACGTGTTCACGAGAATAACAGTCAATAGAAGGATTCGCAAAAATAAAAGACGGGCCCTAACAACTCGATGATGCTAATCGATCGTAATTTCTCTTCTTTTAAGCATACATTAAATATCAAGATACCTATATTATTGCAAGTTGAAAAATACAATAATAATAATTTCTCTACATTTTTCTTTTATATTTTAGGAATGCTATATGAATATTTAAGAAATATAAAAAAGCATACATTTTTATCATTAAATTTTTTTCGAGATGGTTGAAGAAATGAATTAAAAGTATGATACAAAGCAAATTTAAACATGAACATGAAACGTGAAACGTGAAAGTTTACATCAAAAATTTGTATGCACATGAACAGAACTTTAATGTTCATATTTAAATTTACTTTGTATCATTCGCGATGTAGACTTAAAAAATAAGTTGATCAATTTGACTTATTGACAGAATACATATGGTATTAAATATTATCTCGAAATATAAATTTTGAAGGAATGCTTTTTCTTCCAGATATATAAAGACATATAAGATAAGAGAACTTTGTTTAATGTTCATGTTTTTTACACGATATCATCCACGATGTAGACCACCTAAAAAATAAAAATTAATTAATTCAAATTACTAATAAAATATATGTGGCATGAAATATTATCTCTAAAATGTCAATATAATACTATGACAAGCATTATATTTTTGTCATAAACAAAAAGAAGTTTTTAATATATTTAAAAAAATATTTTTACTATTTTATCGAAAAATATCAAGATCTCATTGTAAAAAATATATATATAAAAAAAGGAAGTACATATAGGTAATTTTTAGAATGTAACTGTCAAGCTGCATTGAATGTCTCTATAAAACTGATTCAAAAAATTATTTCTTATGAATAAAATTATAATACGTTACTCAAGGTATAACTAAATGCAATTTCACAATAGAAACGAATTAATCATCAAATTATACTACTTTGTATTTGTAATTTCATTTTTTCTTCATAATTTGTTCGAAATGTTCGTTATACTTCCTCGAAGATAACTATCGGCCGTTAGCTAATGGCACGTGCGAATAGATGAATGAAAGTTTACGAGGATAGTAAGAACGGGTCAATCTGCCAATTGACCAGACAGAGTCAATAGTCGGTACCGTATGAACGGACCTCTGGATCATGTTCCTCCCTTGGGTTCGCACCCACACAAAGCGGGCGCTGAGTGTCTTTGCCGAGGAGAATTAGCCACAAACGGAGTGCAACAGATAAGGGTGCTCTTGGCTTGTAGTGGGGGATGGTTAACTCTAGAGTGGCCGTTCGGAGTCAGTTGCTCTTATGCTCGCCAACCATCAACAGTGCGACCGTGTTGCGTGTTGCTCGACTGGAACCGCGCGACCGGAACGGACTGTCAAGAACAACAAGTTCGCATAATCAATTCGGAAGTGTAATAAGAATTTACAGAATAATCGTGACAATTGTAAATTTTGGTGAAAGAAAGAATTGGACAAAAAATTTAGCCGGACTCAGTGACTCTTTATGCTTCGAATCGCAACGAGGAAGTGACGAAGAATGAACGATTCTGTGCATTCTAGATGATTGCAACGTTGAAGTTGAATGTGAAGTTGTATATACATGTCAAGATATTTTGCAGTGCTAAAATTATAATTTAATTGATGAACTTTGTGCAAGAAGAGAGATAGTCGCTCTACGCAGTTCTGAAACAATCGTTGATCATTCGTTTATCACTCGATCGTTTCGTTGGTGCTGGAATATTGAAAGAAACTGCACGTGAAAGAAGATTGATTATATGTAGCATATTAATTCTCTCTTTCTTCGAACCGGATGCATATGCGTCACTTCATCATTAGTTCTCGTCGAGAAAAACATAGTGATTATTTAATTATCAGTGGTTCTATAATTTCTGATCGTGAGAAATATCGCAATCAGTGAGGAAACTATTTTCAAAAATAGCATTAAAAGATAAAGTTATTTCTAGGTTCATGACTTGTGCGCATGAAAAACGACTTTCTCGATAACAGGAAAAATCGACAATATTCACGTGTATAACGATATTCACGTGTATATACGTGGCGCGAATAAGTTTCATTGTTATTTAAATGATTTGACAGCAACGACAAGTTTCTAATTTTTGCAACACTACGCAACGCAAATTCCTCCCGAAATTTTCGCCGAATTCCCAGGTTTTCACCGGAAATATATTTGACAGAAGTGATCAATTTGATCACAATTTCGTCGCAACATGAGGAAGCACCGAACGCTAATCAATTAGCAGAAGATTCTAGAGAAGATTGACAGGCGAAATGATTATTGATAGCTGAGCCGGCGACCAAAGATCGCGTGGTAGCTGATCGAAAACAAGGATCTACGGGGGGGAGGGGTTTATTATGTTAGGAAAAGGACTATGCATTTTGGTGAAGGTGTTGGTGCTGGCGGGGGTGGCTATTGCACTCCTGCCGGAAGGTTTGGAGGACCATGCAGTTCCGACCTGGAAGAGCCTCCAGGAGGAATGCTCTTCCAAGTGCCCGAATCTGGATCTTATGCAGGTAAGAGATTTTTTAATAATAAACAAGCTGGATGTTATTGCAATTTGCTTGTCTAATTAAATTCTTGTATAATATACATTTAAGGGATTTAATGTCAAAAGGAAATTTCTTAGTTGGTTTGAGAAACCAATTTATTCTCTTCCCATTTGTAAGCATAATTGAAACTTAATACAAGTTTTTATAAAAATTAATCTGAAGGAAAATTTTTAGAATTACTTCGATTTATTTTATTCTGTTACATAAAATGTGGAGAAAAAATATCGCATTAAATCATGGTTTATGTATTTTAATCGCAGAGAATTCATTTTATAAAATAAAAATGGAGCAAATACGTATATTTTCACGCGGTCATAATAAGAACTGATATAGATAATAAATGATGATTTGGTTAACGAGATGACACTTTATTTGTGCTTCATAATCTGCGTAGTATGCGTAATACACATAGTAGTATATATAGTATATATATCAAAATCACGTCGTGTTAACGATAGCCCATACCGATAAATCGTAATGTTACGTGATTACGAGTTGATTACGATATTTTTGGATTTTACCGAAACTTTTGCTTATCATCATTATTTATGATTACCTTTAACCGCGTCGTACTACCCTATTATGAAAGTGTACGTTACGTTACTCAAAAGTACGATTAGATTAATTCGGATAAAAATAACGTTAATAAATACAACACGTGATAAACGTATAACTAATTAAATTATTTGTGTTAACAGAAGATGCAATAATTTGATTTATTTTTATATTTACTTAAAATTACAATTAATATATAATTTGCTATTAATTTAGAGAGAGAGAGAGAGAAAGAATCTGTTATACAAAATTTTAATCTTATTAATTATCAAAAGATATTACATACAAAAATTATTAAAAATTTTTGCAGCTAATCTCCTTATAATTAAACTATATATTGCTTAGAAAAAATTCAAACTTAATTTTTTTTTTTTTTAGAAAGATCTTATACACATATCAAAGATCATTATTTTTCATTGCAATTTTTCAATGTTGTAGATATATCTCTTCAGTGTGTAATCACATGCATTCGATGATTTCTATTCGCCGTTTAATTGACTTGTGTATTGAATGTTAATTATTTCGTGCTAATTAATGAGAAATATTTAAAGCACGTGATACGCACGATTTGCGCCATACGCGATCTTCGAAATTCATGTCGGCGCGTCAATTTATCGCGTTGCGGTGGTCCATTAACATTTCTCGTGATGCAGCGCACGTATGCGTATCCTTGCGCATCCGTGATGTAATTTTTCAATTCAAACTATCAATTTATTGAAAGAGCAAAAAACTCGTGTATTTCTAATAAGGGGCTTAATATAGCTTAATAGAATTTTAACACTTTTATTTATTGTTTTTGTTTCAATCCATTAGCTATCACATCATATATAAATATCAATATTACCCAACGTTATTATCAAAATTGATTTTGAGATTTTTTTTATATAGTATCGACGCCCATAATAATTGAATAAAAATATTGCTGTAACAATAAATTAATGAAGTTTTATATAAAGAATAGGCATTATAAAGGCGCACAGAGTATTTCAAAAATATTTACAATTACTTTACTAATGCCTTTCCGGCGTCAATGTAATTGTAATAATTGAAGTAAAGTAATCTGTCGAAAATGTTTAATTTAAAAACTAAGTATTCAATTTGGTATCATGCTAAACATCCTCAGCTGCTAGCTGAGCGGCGGCACGAAAATGAGTGTGCGCGAGGCTGTGCAGCGAAGGACGTATCAATTTAAGTCCACTCTCCAGCCCGACTGTACCATTCATTAATTAACTTAACTACACGACGACGCATCATGGCAACCTATAAGCATAGCGTCGAGGATGAAAGACGAGCACGTAACGGATACAGGGCCATCTAATCCCTTTCTTACAAAGAAGGACGAGAACATTGTTTTATCATGTGTCGTCTTCATCGATTCGGATTTTATTAATTATACATATTATATAAAATATTAATCGCGCATTTGAATATCACAACATTCTACACATAATCTGAAAACTTCTGAAAAATTCTGAAAATATATTTTTTATTATATTTTCCTAAAAATACATAACGATCTTATGGCTCGTAATAAGCTATACATTATTAATATCACATAAAAAGTATAAATAAACGTTTTGGTAAATATTTATATTATTTATATTTCTTGTAATATATATCACATAAATTCTCTAAAATAATACATTTTATAATGTTTTCAAAAAAAAAAATATATACGTGCGTATATTCAAAAAATAATTTTTAATAATTTAATAAGCAGCACTGTTTTATTTTGAGTTATTTTCAAATAGCAAAATAGTAAACTGGTTTAATGCGATAGCGTGCAAAAAACTTCTCCATAAAACAGTTTTAATCAGTGCATTCGAATTGAGGAGAACGAATTGATACTAATTATCAATTTAAGTCTCCTCAAAAAGATCGTCGCCAACGTTTTTTCTGATATCAGATGACGCTCAACCTTGTGTATGATTCTGGAAATCTTCTTAATCATCATATTATCATATGAAATTTATATATATCAATTATTATATAAAAGATTCAAACGAACATTTTTTCAATCATTATAAGTTATAAAATACATAATATTATTTTAAAAATATTTTTATCAAAATAAAGAACAACGCAATTTAATCACTGATAATGTTTAATGTAAAAAGAGAATAACCTTGTAAAAATAATTTTAAAAATTGCAAGCATATCATATTTAATGAGTGTATTTAAAATATATTTAACGTTAGTAGATTAAAGAGCAATTTTATAAACTATTATACAGGGTGTCTGAATTGATAGTAAAAAAGAGAAGCATATTCTACAGATTAAAAGAAAGTAAAATTGTCTTATAAACATGTATCAGGAAACGCACCTATTCTACTACACCCTTAAAACTCTTTGAAATTTTGTTAAATAATTTTTGATAACAAAAATGCACAAGGACAATTTTTATAAAATGCCAATTCTAAGTTTAGACATATATATAAAATTCGAGTTTTTTCAGAAAACTTTGGGGAAGTGTAGCTCAGCGAGCGTGCGTTTCCAGTCACATGTTTATCAGACAATTTTACTTTCTTCTTACCTGTAGAATATGCTTCTCTATTTTTATTATCGATATCCTAGAGGATACCCTGTATATTACAATTTATTTCTCATTTTACTATAAAGAATTGCAGACCGCATGCAAAGAATTAATTTTTATTCCAATTAGATTTATGACTGTTGAGCGATATTATTAAGTCATCGAACTCACTCAACCCTTCTTCATCTGCGCGTGTGCTGTCGATTCAATTATCCCGTCGCAACCAGATAAGAATGGTACAGAAAAATCACTTTGTTCGATCCCTTATCTGTAACGCGTAACTCACTCTTATTAATCTTCCTTTTCCTCTTCGTAAATTTCCAAATGATTGAGAAAAACTTCTTAGAGGCAGCGCAATCTCGATTAAATTATTTTTATCGACACACGAAAAATACACAAAATTAGTTATGAATCGAGTAAAATCTGTATATCGTGATTTTTGAAATCCTTTTAAATTTTTTTTAATGTTTAATGAAAAAGACACAAGCGAGAAGAAATTTACACAAGTCTTTAGGTACACAAAGTGTATTATTAAAATTAACTTAATCTTAATAAATTTTTTATATCACAATATTTTATATATAATATAATCTTTGTTCTAAAAAAATAATAATAATAATATATAATATTAAAATTACACTATGTTTAACGTGATATGTTCTTATTGCTTAACAGTAGAGAGGAATTGTTTTCTGATTTAAATCAGCGTATTTAGCATGTTGTATTTAATTTCTAGGAATATTAATGACTTAATTCTTGAGGCGGACTCTTTCGTCAATTAAAAATGATATGAGAGGCGCCCGTATTATTCACTAAACACGCAAGTATTTAGTAGTAAAGTTCAAATCATATCTTAGATAATGACCTTAGTTAGCTTAGATAATGACCTTAAGCTTGCATAACATCCACAGAGAAATTTTCTTCTGATCTTAGTTTCTTGAACATCGGCCCCGATGTTCTAATCTCAAATCAGTACAGTATCTCTTACTTAATAAATAATTTATCATTCTTCTCAACGACGTGATGTAGTTATTTCTAATGCGTTGTTTTTAAATACATTCAATATCTTCAAAAACAATCAAAATAAAGAATTATAATAAAAAAAATACGAAGTATATGCAATGAATATTATATACATATATTTAGTTACATTTTCATATTTGTTAACAAGAAATAATGATTATTATGTATCTAATTGTTGCATATCACAAAATAATGCAAATTCTTGCGAACAAAGTAATAATATGTCTTATCGGCATTTTATTTTTTATTAAAATGCATCAATATTATTATATAATTTAAATGACGTCTAATGTAAGCGAGAGTAAATATATTTCCGATTCTTCATGACTAACGTACAATTTATGAAACAAAGCATAATTTTATTTATAAAAATATATTTTTTAAGTTAATTAAGTACAATAAAAATATGGAAACCATATCACGAAAAGATAATTTAATAAATAATTTTATTTTAGATTAGATAAATTTATTTTTTATAAATAATTTTTATAAAGAAACGTATACAAAGATTATATTACAGCATAAAAATATTTGTAATATAAAAAAATTTATTACGATTAAGTCAATCTTAATATACTTTGTGTGAATATTAATAAAAAATAAACCGCGTATATATTTAACGATTAAAGTATGAAATATTGAGAGAAATCCCGGATTCTCGCGCTGATGTTACGTCGAATATGCAGGATCGTCCGGTATGCAACATTATATGTGTAGCCATACACAATAAACTTCCTGTCGGCTATATCCTCTCACCTAGAACGTAGCGCAGTAGGGGTTCACCTCGAACATCGATAATCGTGCGAATTTCGCTTTTAATCGCGACGTAAATCTGAAGCATGCTTTTTGCATTATCAGTATTGCATTACAAATTGATTTTTATAGGTAACTAATTTTTTTACATGAGTTATTTCCTGAAATCACCTTTTTAGTCAAGGAAAGTTATGGCATCTACTAAATATTTAAGTGGAAAGATGAACGTCGGTACGGTGGGACGTCTGCCCAATTTTATTAATTATCCCTAAGATCAAAAGTTAAATTAAAAACAGCCGCATCAGCCGCCATTCGTTGCCGGCTGAAAACTGGTCACATTCTCTGTTATACTTATATATGTCAACATATGCACGCGTTTTAATTGGAATGACGTCAGTTGAAAGCGATTAGCACCGCGTTTCCCAGGATTAATTTGTGTTAAAAAATCTAAATGAGAACCAAAAACAATTTGGCAAAAAATCATCAAGTACATGCACATATAGCTTTAACTATAAAAGGATTATATTAACATATGTTTAACACACGTAGAGAGAAAAAAAAATGTTTTAACTTTTAGATCACGATAGTTAAACATTATTCTAATTGAAGAATCTCTTTGTGTTTTTCTCAGAACAGAAATTCAACTTTTATGAGGGTTTCTTTTCTCTGTGATAACTTCACGAAAAATAATATTTGAAAATTAGTCAAATATAGATGTGGGTAGACCCGTATGTAACTGTATTAGCACAAATGCCGAGAAGATTAATTGCGTGTGAGAAATGTCATGGGTTGACACCCTTTTTCTGTGAAATCTACGCAAGGAAGAGTTTGTAATATTTCATTCACAAAAGCATTTCTGTGAGAGATCACGAATACTTATGCATGGAATGAAGAATCGCTGCGTACGACACGATGCGCCAAAAATGCATTTTTACAATTGCATTAGGATAAGCAAATGATGCATTTAAAGTCAACGATAACCCAGATTCTCATCTCGTACGGCTAAACGAGGTCGATCTGTCGTGGCAACGTCATTGTCAATTTTTATTACCCTTTATTCAATTCGCGTCGCGTCAACATTGCAGATTTTATTCACGGGAAATGACTGTCAGGATGATTTTCATCGGGCTGTATTAGTCGCGCCACGACGTGTATACAAATACTTAATTGCTATCACAATACGAATTATTGAATGGATGTCGAGAGAAAAGAGACTAATTCTTTTCATTCTATAGATTATTTGTACCGTGAGACTTAATTTTTTGCTAAAGTATATAGTAATGCCACTGTCTGACTAATAATTTGCAAGACATTTTTTTTTTTATTATATATTTACTTTTGAAGTATTAATAAATTACAATTAACATTATTAATTTAATTCTATAATAAATTACACCAATTTTTTGATATCTCAACTTTAAAATTGCATATTATTTTTTACATACATATACCATATACAAAGATAAGAATATTGATCGATTTAAATTTATATTTCATAAACTTATAAAATTATACTATGCATAAATATTATAAACACATAATATTATAAATAATTATTTCGAATTTTATTACCTGCAACTTGGAAATACGTAAAATTGAATAGCATTAAAAGAAATTAAAATGCACATTGCGATTGCGAAATCGAAGCTAGGAGAACTTCCTGGTCACCACGCTAATAATTACAGCTTCAACCGCGATGCTTATCCTTTCAATTCTCGACGTAATATGAGAATAATTGACGTGGTTCGTGGAAGAAAATGTTTGCGTGCATTCAAATGACACCAACGACGTCTGTTAAATGTAAACACGTGAAGAACATCTAAAAAATCAGAAAATGAGATAATAAAGTGCATACACATATACACAAATAAAAATTATATAATAAAAATTATTTTAAAATGTAGGACGTTTCCAAATTTTTCATATTTTCAAATATTTGTAGCAAATAATTCTTTTTAATAATGACATTTCGTGGCGATCCAATATATTGTTCCAATATATTTTTTTCAGTCTCTCTTTGTACGTTGAATATACTTGACGTGTTGTCTATTTGGCACTATTCTCTTATAACTTCTTTGAATTTAACTATTATTCTTTTTTACAATTATATCACTTGAGAAGGACTAAAATTATAGTGGAAACGTTGTGATTTAAAGTAATAAAGAGGAATTGCCAGTTTGGTCGAGAGGAAGGTGTTTGGAATTTATTTACTCTTATTCTATCTGGCGAGAATTGAAGGGTGACTGCTAATTATAATTTTTGTAATTTTAAAATCGTGATTTTCAATATTTTAACGTGTCCACTGTTTCTCTCTTATGGCATCAGTGATTTTGATCGTTGAGGGCAAAGAGAGCTCGATCCTTTCGACGCTGTTCCAACCGAGTGGGCACCGGCCGGTGTACATCCAACACCGTGCGACCGTCCACGTTGTTGACCACAGGAAAAAATCCGACACCCTTTACCTTAAACTTGAAACAGGCGCCGTTGCAAAGAATGTGTGCAAAATAACAGCGTCATGTCGTATTATTTCGTCGACAACTATCAGGTTTTCCATGTCCGTTTCTCGCTCCTTTCAGCTTCACCGTGGTAACTGCACGCCATGCTGTAGATTTGCTGGAACTTTAAAGAAATCCTCCTCCTCAATCTCAATATTCACTCATAACGTTATATATTTCGTCGTCTCTTATAGGTTTGAAAAATTTTTTATTTTTTATTCGGCTTCAGTCTGCAAATATAAAAAATAATTAAAGCAAGAGCATCTCTTGATTTTAATCATATGATATCATTTGATATGTTAAAACTAGAGATGATGAGAGAAAAAAAGAGGAAAAATATGTATAGTATAAATATAAATGTAAATAAATATATACGTGTAATTGTATTGATAATAGGAAAAAAATAGTTCGAAATTCTTCGAACTTTCCCCACCAAGAATATTTACGACAGAAGCTTCTAACATTGTTTACCGTATAGTGAACCAACATTTCCGTGTAGTAGATCTTTCCGTGTTTGACATCCGCTATTATTTCCATCTTCGAGATTATGCGGTAGGAAGACGCAACAGGTGGCCGATGCTGCCGAGCGTGACGTAGACGTTGACCACGACGGAAGAACGTACAAAAAGACAGGCACCTATGCATTAAGCGATTACCTTAGATCGGATAAGACTGCTCTTTAACAGGTAATTCCCTCTTTTTTCTCTAAGACCGTTGGAACTTAGCGAAAGAAGAAGTCGAGGCGTCTCCTCGAAGAGAAATCAATTAGGAAGATGAAAACTAATTGAAAAAAAGCCGAATTATTTTCGTTTAAATTGCTCTAACACTCGGAAGAAGAGAAGCAAGGCTTTTGAAGAATTGTTTTGCCACAAGCAACGATTGTTTTATTCATTATTGCTTGCGTAAGTTCTTTTCTGATAAAAAAATGTTCTATTTACAAAACAGTATTGCAAAACGATATTATCTACATTAGAAAAAAATATTATAAGATTCTGAAAAAAAAATAATTACAGCACTCTACAGATTACGCAATAATTTATGTATTTTATATGCGTTCTCGCAAAATTATGAATAAGTACAAAGTCTTAAAAATAATCAAGTCAAACTTAAAGAAATGAAAAACATTTTGTACACAAATTTCATCTTGTGATATTTATCTCTATATTTACATCTTACTTCTTCATTAGTCCCGTTTGCTTTCTTCAAACAAATTCAAAATAATTTACGACGAAGTAAACAAAAGTATGTGAGATTATGTCAATTATTTTCGCGTGAACTACGGTTATTTCGCAATTTTCTCGCAATGTCAATATACGCGCGTTGCACAAAAATAAACTTTTGAACAATAAGATACCTACAACAATGTAGTGTTAAAACGCAGAGATAAACGCGGGCACACGTTCCTCATCGACGCACGAAACGGATTGATTAATCGAGTGCAAAGTTAAATGCTTGACGCTTATTGCGGGAAGATATTTCCACACGAGACGAGAGCGGGATAAAAAAATCGTCGTAAAATTGATAGATCCACGAGAGAAGCGAGATAGTATGCGAAAACACTCTGTTACCGTTTCCCTCTCCTCTCTGAGTTTGAAACCTTTATCATTGAACTCGCTTGCTGGCTGTTATAAGCGAGATGAAAACACGCTACGAGCGTATCTGCAATATTCCGTGTCGCAGAATTTCTGAATTATTACCGCTTCCGCGGAAATTTTAGTTCATTGCAGGACGTAATTTGTCGACCGAGCGCATTATCTAATTACGGAAATTCGAAGTTAAACTAAAGTTAGCATCGTCGTATAAAATACTTGTACAACTATTTATATATAGAACACGTACACACGCATCTGTGTGTTCAGCGCAAACGTGAAAAGAATAATTAAGATACTTTATTTTAATAAAGCTTAATCCGCGCACATCGTTCTACTTGTACAATGATATTTTAGATAATCAACTAATTATATGAACAAATATTTATAAAAATTGTACACAGGCATGTAAGAAAAAATAATTACATGCAAATTTATTTACTGCCATGGAAGGGCAGTATTTTAGGAGATGTAATATTTGATCCCCCAACATTTTTTCGAAAATTTCATCATTTCAAAATTATATGGTATATAAGAGCAAGATAAGATTTTATACTGATTTTTCAAAAATTGCTAAACTGATTTACAGAGCGAAATGAGGTTCTCACAGTTTGGTATATATAAATTTGCATTCCGCAGGTGGAACCCCTATTCCGTAATAAATACGTTATGATAATTAGACAATGTTATGATAATCAGACGGTCGAAGAATCGGCTTTCCAAAATTCCCATGGTGGTAACTATGGATATATATTATGGTTCACTTCACACCCTCTCTCCAAGCGATATTTGTACACGACTTTCCCCTTCTGCCGATCTTGTGTCGGGCTCTTTCCAATTACTCTCGCGCGCGTTTCATCGAGAACCGGACACGCACCTGTGTCCCGGAAATGTGTAACGTACAGGTGCAGTCGCTGTAACGAGCGGCAGCGCGTTATCTCGACATTAAAGTGCGGAAAAGACCGGGCACCTTGGGGGAACGATTATATTCGGCGATTCATTCCTGCGCGCTGCGTCAAATACCGGGGGTGTCAATTGAACGGATGGAACAGTTTAACGTCTTTTAAAGACGGCAAGCGATTCAATTTATTTAACCGCCCCTGCACGTAACATAATCGCACACGGTTCGGACGCGCCGTCGTGTTGTTCAACATCTCTATTTTACGTTCAATTGACAACGATCACATGTCGTTGATCACATATCCTGTATGACACATCCTGTTGCATACATCATTTTTGGAAACCGATCATCCGAATATTAAGCAATTATATTAATTCTATCTATCCTTAAAATAATTATATTTGTGTGTTTTTTTTTTATTTAATAAAATACGTATTTGTGTGATTGCAGAATCGAACGGACGACTTGAGTTTCGAGGTGGGATGCGGGGTGAAATGTAAGATCGATCAGGTAAGAAATCTCGTGTGTCTGATCATTAAATTAAATTTATTTAGAACATATGCATGCACAATTCTTTTAATTAAAATTGGAGCAGAAATTTTAGTAGTCTATATACCACATGAAATGGTTCACGCTGATGGAACCGCATCAGTAACAGTATATATTAACATATAATTTATATAATAGAAAAATAAAATAAGTGCATAAAAAATTAAATCGACAGATCTATAGTTTGATCTCCTTGGCTGCTTCAAAGATCGGTCAACTTGTACAATTCTTTTAATTAAAATAGGAGCAGAAGTTTTAGTCATCTGTACCAAATCTGAAATAATTCACGTTGGTAGAATCAGGGATGTTTAATAACATTTATGTATAAATCTATAATTTATATAATAGAAAAGTAAAAAAATTAAGCAAATTAAGAATGACACTGAAGTTTGCATGATAAAATGCAACGATTTAAATTTTTCAAAAAAACTTGTGCAGTCCATAATAGACCAAATTTACTTTCATGTTTATTCCGAGGGTGTAACAATTGTTTCATTATGTTTTTGCGGAATCTCAGCACTAATCATGCAAGTAAATCTTGTCTATTATACTACATAAGTTTGTTTGAGAAATTAAAATCGTTGCATTCCAACGATGCAAACTTCAGTGTCATAATTAAGAGCCATAGATATATAGTTTTATCTCTTCGGCTACTTCAAAGATCGGTCAACTTGCACAATAATTCTTTGAATTAAAATTGGAGCAGAAATAGTCGTCTATACCACATGAAATAGTTTACACTGATAGAATCAGGGTCTTTCATCAATTAACATTATATATTAATTTATAATTTATATAATAGAAAAATAAAATATGAGCAAAAATATGATAAAAAGTGAAGCAAATAAAAAATAAAAAAGGAGCGACAGATAGTTTGATCTTCTCGGCTGCTTGAAGGATCGGTCCACTTACACCCCTCGCACAAATCTAATCGTACAGAATGCTCTAACGGATCTCGGAACAACAATCGACAGTCCTAACGGTATGACCGGTGCGGACGTCGGAGACGAAAATGAAGGGACGACAGTCCCTCGTTACAATGAAAGTACTTCCGCTGGTGTTCCAGGGGACCTCGCCGCTTCTAACTCGCGGCGATCGACGGAGATGGTAAACGGCAAATAAAAAACAACGCGAGGCCGATGAATGGGGCGGACGCGCGTACGCACGAAACGTATTGCGCGCGTATACGAATGAAAGAATGGGCCCGTTCTCTCTCTCTCTCTTTCTCTCTCTAGTACGGCTTCGTGCCTTTAATTGGATCGCGTACAAGTGCGACCGATGGCGGATGTCGCCAAATTACCGTGCGACTCCGGATTCACTCTCTCGCGCTTCGTCCGTCTCGCTGTGTCGCACTCTCCGTTTCTCTCCCAGTTTCCTCCCTGTCGGAAAACGGAAGTGCGAATGAGAAAAAACGGGGAAATTGGGAGCATCTAACGTGTCGTAATTTCGTCATCGCGTATATGATGGGATAAATAAATTCGTTGTCGACGTTTTACTTTCAGTTTTAGAAGGAGACGAAAAACCAGTTAAATTGATGGTAATTGATGATAATGAATACAAATTTGAAAAAGTCAGTGATGAATCAGATATATATTTTGGTGAAGCGGAATACTCCATTATTGTGCCATTCATCAAATTTTATAAAGTAATAAAAAAATGTTATCAATTATATTTTACACGGTATGTGCAAAATAATGATATACAAATGGGAGAGAAGTGTATAATTAAAAAACCGCGATCGTTCTATACTTTTGCCTGCGTTTATCCCGTTTTTTTCTTCTCACTTTCGAATTCCTAATAAATGAGTCATTAACTTTAATACACGTCAAAATAAAAACGCACATTCCAACGAGAGTAAAACACAGAAAGAACTCCCCTACGGGGCCGGAAGGATATCCAGCAACGCGTGTCTCCAGGATAGGAAACGAGCGAGGCAATTAACCCCGCACGAAAAGGACAAAAAGGATCCTGGCGGACCTAATTATCTCCGAAAAAAAAAAAAAAAAAAATACGGTCGTCAATACGTCAAGCGATTCGTGCGCTGCTCGACGCGCGCGAGGATGTCGCACGTGGTTTGGCATTCGTTGCGTGCGTCGTTGAGCGGGACTTGGAAGCGAATTACCGCGCGAATTGCGCTTAAAACGATTTCCTCCCTCGGCTCGTTTCACGGTTCGTAAATCGCCAGTAATGCGTACGAGTAACGGACGTAGGTGGAGGAAGACGCTTCGCGATTCTGGCTGAACATTTACGCGCTTCGGCGCGACCCACTTCTAGCTTTTATTAACTATCGCGCTCTCTTGCCTGGGGAAAAGATGAGTTTGTGTGTGGAAACTTCAATTCTAACACAATAGGAATTTCCGACTTTTATAACTTGTACTGATCATCGAATTGCATCGTTAGTTGGAATCGGTACAAAAATTCAGCTTTTGCTCTCCTTTTGAACACTGGAATTTATTTGTATATTTAATATTAAAAAATTAAAATAACAAAAAATTAAGAAAAAAAAATTAATACATCCTGGAAAAAATCCTGCCGATGCCCATGTTTATAGCGCTTTATTGAAATATTTAATTTAACTTTTCTTATATATATGCTTTAAAAACGGAGAAAATACTTATCATTAATCTATTTCTAAATATCTTCTTGAATAATGAATTTATTCATCTAATTAATGTGAAAGATTAAGAATACATTGCGTCCAGTAATTAGGGTACTCCACAAATATGAGTGGATTGACTTTACTTCTCTTCCGGCAATTTCACAGGTCGATAACGATGAATTAATACTACTGGAATTTCCTTTGTTCGATGCCCTCTTATTTTTTCGATTGCTCTCAAAAATTAATATAGGCTTGCGTGTCCTTTGCTCTTACCTCCGGAAATAACCATCAGACGACTTCCGATCTATACAAAATTTTACCATAATTAATGAACTGCGTAACTGTATAAGAATATGTACGTCAATTAAAATATAAAAATTGTTTCTTGCTAGAATAAAATAGAAAAAACAAAAAGTATCGAGGTAAAGTATATAAATTTAAAAAATAGATACATTAACGCAAAACTTAAATTAAAGATCTGTAAGATTTTCTCTTTCTTTTTCTATACGCGCTCTTTTTCTAAGGTAAATTGTATCATTTTCTACTGTATATATTAAAAGAAACAACTACGAACAAATGATGAACATTTGCTTCCTTATGTCGTATGTTAAGAATCCAGACAGTCAAGTGTGTTTATCTGACAATAAAGTAAAGTGGAGGACTACCAACAGCGAAGTAGCCATACAAATGTCTTTGCTTGATAACGACTATTGCCAGAAGCCACTTTGGCTAGAAAATTACTGCCGTAAATACTAAAGATAAAATGTGTGTAATAAAGAAAAAATGTTAATAATTAATACTTAGATGTGTTTTTTTCCTGTAATTATTCTATATTATAACTTTTTAAATTTTAAAGTATTAAAGAATCAGCATAAATATATATTTATATCTAAAAAGATCTTGTTTTGAACAAATAAATATAAATATAAAATATAATTGTGCATATAATATCTATTTATTTAATATTCCAAACAAGAGAGAATAATTTAAAAAATTGAAATATATTTTTTAACGAGTTATATACAAATGTCAAATGCAATAAAAAATTATACTTTACGCAAACAATATAAACAATCAATTCTAAGATAAAAAGTCGAATATAAACGTCAGAATCTACTAAAATTATGATTGAATTGCTAATCAATTATTCATAAATTAGCAGCTCGTTATAAAGACATTACGGAGCTAATTTGAGTGGTCATGTTCGTTAGATTTTTTTTTCCCGCTCGTCTATGGTCTGTGGAGCCAGACTGAAGCAGTAAATGGGGTTAAAGCAAAACGAAGAGAGGACAGATAGATGTTCCGTGGTAGGATGAAGATCTACGATCTACAGGGAGCCGCGTGTACGAAGGGACAGCCCAGCTGGGGACATAATACACGCTGAGGATTTAATGAGGAAGTGAGAAATTAGCGGCCGCTGTGCGGAGTTACTCTCGGTTCAACCATTTTCAACTGTCTGATAGTTTTGTCAACCCTCATTGTAAACGACTAGAGCGTTTAAAAGCTTACGTTTGATGATGCGTGTCGAATTGAAACACCCAGAGAGATCGTTAAAGTAAAAGCATCAGGATACATGCATCCTTTGCTCCGCGCGCGCAAAAGATTGATATTTATTATATATTCCTTCAAAAAGAATAAAATTATACGATCCGTTAAAAATGAACGATGAATTAATCAAAAGAATGTAGGTCACCGCGACCATAAATTAGATAAGCCATAAATCAACAGTTTTTTTCACACGTAGAGTAGCCGCATGATAAAAATTTTAAGTTTCTGCGTAGTTTCAAATTAGGGAGAAAAGAGAAGAAATAGAAAAAAAGAAAGATAGAGAAAAGGAAAGAGAGAAAAAGAGTCAAATTTTAATTCTAGACACATGGAAATATTTGTATATAATTCAAATTTATGCAAATATTTAAATATATATTGATAAATATGTATATTCAAGACAAAACTTATTTTTAATTACCCAAATATTTCAAATTTTATGACAAGAAAAAGATCTGTATTCAATTTTTGTATTACTAGAAAATAAAATTAATAATTTTTAGGTATAATATAACACTGCAATTAATTGAAAAAAATTATTAGTTAATTATGACAGCAAATTAAGATATTTGAATGATATTGTTATAATACTCGCGTCAATGATTTGCCATAATTGTCATAGAGTTCCAACGTCAAATGTTATTAATAACGTTTATCTGGCGCTGGAGGTCCCTTTATTTTTACGGACTTTTCAGACGAGTTGACCTATGTGATACCCTCGTATATACCACCATACACGCACGCATTATTATACGCTGCGCATCTCGTAGATCACATCCAGAGCTCGTGCTTGAAATATGTATTTTTTTTTAAATCTAAGTATGAAGCAAGTGCCCCTAAAACATTTGTTATATAACCCGATCATCTAACGGACATACTATATTAGGAAAAGAATAAAATATTGAACATAAGATTCTCTATATCAACAAAAATTACCTAAAAATATATTTTTATTTAGAAAAAAATGTGTAATCTTTTAGAATTTTAATTATTTAGCGTGCGTAGCAATTCTCGTTCGAAGAAATTAGATCTCTCGTACGCTGCAATTTGCTTATTATTCTGCAATGTCGAGTGCGGTATTATTTATATACGGCGCCTCTCGAACACACTAACCAGAATGACGATCAATTTGTCAATTGCTAAATAGCATCTCTTGTAACTCCGGACGTTAGAATAGACTTTCCACTATGCACTACTATAAAACTCCATCATACTTATTTATGATTAAGGCTAACAAAACTGTGACAATAAAGCAACGTGAAAAGAATGCATAGATTTAAAAAATGCATTTTTTCCATTACTTCTCGTAAAAAATATTACTTCGCTTGAAATTTATCTAAAGAACGTAGATATTTGAGAATCGCCAGCCAGAATTTAAAAAAGGTAAGAATCTCGTCGAGAGAAGATTCTTACCTTTTTTATCTAAAGAATTGAACATATAATCATCTCAAGAGGCTCGAATACTTACAAAAATGGCAGGGACGATTGAAGTGTTCCAACTGTTTAGAGATGTATCAAAAGTCTGCACTCTCGAAACACTCGAGGCAAGTCGCTTCTGTATATTTATACTTTTTAAATGTATTTGCACGGATGTATTTTCTGTTCCGATGTCTTCTTTAAAATCTTGACGCGACATACGTTCGGTTTATTGTGAAAGAAATTCTTCAGCCTGAAAAAAATAATTGATAACAAAATTAAAGCAGTTCGCAGAGAGAATTTTCTCTTAGAATTTACCTTGAAAATCATGGTAATCGTGGGACAATATGGTATTGAAAGAATTTTATAAGAGTTTCTCAGATTAATATTTATCACAATAAGATATAAATATGTTCGATTAATTTTACTACGTACACATTAACATTTTTTATTGTGGTAAATATTAATCAGAGAAACCTTATAAAATTCTTCCAATATGATATTGAAAGAATTTTATCCTAATTTTCAGAATAAATTCAACGAGAAAATTTTCTCTGTGTGGGATTGAAAATTTTCATCTGTCTAATCATTTTTATTGTAATTAATAATTTTCTTGTCGTTGCATGCATAATAATTTTCTGAAATAATAGTAATACTAACTTTGTTCGAGAATGTAATCTAAATGGACAAAAGAGTCGTGTCTCGCAAGGTAAACAAAGACATGCACTGGCATATAGTGGAAGCTGCGTCCTCGGCTACAGCTGGCTTGTTGTCGACGACAAATGCCCACATCCTCTCGCGCAGTAAGTTAATGCGTTAAACTTTTAGTTCGCAAATCCATGCCCGACAGGCTGCCATGCAACGAGAGTCTTATGAACGTGGGCGTTACTTGAGGCACGTGCCACGCAGACCCAGACGCGATCACGAAAAATTACGAAGCTTTGCCTGCGCGACGACAAAGTGAGCGAGTTATGTCACATCGCTCCAGATAACGTGACCCATTGTTCAACTACTTCCGGAGATGTATTTTAGCGAATCCGTATAGAATACCCGATGTCCTTCGACGGAAGGATGTATCGGACAGACCGTTTATTGCAGATCCGATATATTTATGTTGAAGCGTTCCATTGTTCGATTGGAATACAAAATGTCCACATAAAACAATAATGTAGATATGATTGTCAGGAATGTAATATGCATTCGCGAACAATTTTCATTAAAAATAATGAAATAAAAATATACTGGCAAAATCTGACAAATAAAAATATTACACAAATATCTTATTTAAATTTATCGTACTTAAAAAAATATAACGTACGTTATTAAGATAAATTTATCTTTATTTAGAATTTAAAATACTTTTTTTGTATACATATAGTCTGACGTTTATTTTAGGAATATATGAAATTAAGATATTGCCGTTTTCTTATCATTTTATGCTTGTTATTTTTGCAGTGTACAAAAGGCTGTGAAGCATGGAAACAGGCACTCAACACAAGCTGCCAAGCTGTTTGCGTTAGTATCGCTGCTACTTTTAATTTTATGACATTTATCGGACAAACTTACGTAAAAGTGCAGTACGCTCGTAATGTAATTTTCGCACAGTCTTTTACGTAATATACTCCTAATTTCGGGTATAAACGTATAATGTCAATCGAATGTATTGTTTGCAGAATGGAACGCAAGAGTTGCTACCGCCGAAGGAATTGTATTGCGTTTTGGGCTGCCACGATGCATTAAATCGTTACTTCCAGCAACTCAAAGGTATAATAGCATTTCTTTTTTTTATTGATTTAGAAATTTAAAAAAATATTAAAATTTATATAATTAAATGAGTATAACTAAATACTTTATATATCTCAAAGTAACGAGAGATATTATCAGAGAAAAGAACATTTATTTCTTGCAAACACAAAATATAACATTATCTCTCTCGTTAAGCTTACAGTTAAATCTCATACAGTTGAATATCATTTTTGTGTACATTATATTTGTGAACTTTCACGATGATAATGTATATTATTTAAATTTTTGGAATCTCTCTACATTTTATTTCTTTTACTCTTCACGTTTACCTCTGTTTCTTCTATTTCTTTTTCCTTTTCCTTCTTTTATGTTATTACATGAAATACTGTTTTTAATCAACTTAAATATTATTTATTTTATGATTATTGCTATTATATAAACTAATTATAATTCCGAGCTAAATATACTTACAAACATCATAAATAACATAATCTATATATAATTTCCATATCACCTCTTAATCATTTTTTATATCAATTTGTAATTCACACACACAATCAGCGTTTTTACCTCTAAAAATGTGTAAATTCCTTGCCATATTGATCGAAAGGGGCGATTTCAAGCGGTTCTTCATCATAATGATCGAAGTTGCTTGCATCGCCGTTGTTGCTGCAATGAGGAATGAAGCTCGGTTGCACTTTTTGGTGATAGATCTCGATCCAATCGATGGACTGGAACCAGCGGTGTTTCTTAATGTCCATACTACCGTCTTTTAAATTGCCATATCTTCTTGACAAATCTACTTGCAGAATGTTCTTCAGTATATCCCTCAGCTCCTCGCCAAAGTGATGCGCGAACTTGTACTTGCCCGCTACGATTTTCTCGTAGATCTTCATGGGATCATGCGCGTAGAATGGCGGATATCCCGCGTTCATCTCGTAGACCAACACGCCAAAGCTCCACCAATCGACGGCCTTGCCGTAACCTTTTGATAAAATCACTTCCGGTGCCAGATATTCCGGAGTGCCGCACAAGGTCCACGTGCGGCCGTCTATCATCTTGCAAAACCCGAAATCGGTCACCCTGATGTAGCCGGAATTCTGTATCATGATATTCTCCGGCTTGAGATCTCGGTAAACTAAGCTACAGTGGTGCAGATACTCCAAAGCCAGAGCCACCTGAGCTGCGTAGAATCTCGCCAGCGACTCGTCGAATTTTCCCATACGCCTGAGATGAGTAAACATCTCGCCCCCTTGCGCAAACGGCAACACCATGTACACGTAGGAGTTGTCCTGAAACAGGAATGGAGATGCATGTTAAATGCGTTTATTTTATGAAAATCTAATACATTTTGGGATATTTATTAAATATAACGAAAGAAACAATTAACTTCTTTTTTAAACAAAAATTTGTCGAAAGATCTAATACACTCTGTGTATAAAAAGATAGAGATTTAAAATGTCAGTAGTGTCATTATTCCGATTTTCAAGGCCTTGCCTTAAAGCAGAACTCCATAAAGACCATGAAGGGAAAGTTGATGCATTGCAGGATTCGCTTCTCGTTACGCGTGTGATCCACTTGCTTCATCTTCACGAGTTTCGTTTTGTCGAGAATCTTCATGGCGTAATACGTGGACGTTAGTTTATACTTGACGAGGATAACGCGGCCAAAAGCACCGGTGCCGACAGTTCTGAAACGTTCAAAGTCTTCCAATTTCGCATTATCGTCCACCTTCGTCTTCCACTTCTCCATAAATGCCGTCCTGAGATTGTCTAAGATGTCACTGTATTCTTTGAACATTCGTTCTCTTTCGGTGTCGACCACTCTTACGTGTGACATTTAAAATGCGCGTTTAATTCTTTAAACTTGAATGTTTTAAACTTTAAAGGTTAATATATCATGAGATAACATGATATTTTAATTGTTTTTTACGTACCTTATGTGTGGTGAGATGTGATCGTATGTTGTTTATTTATAATACGTGCATCACCATATTATATTATATTCATATATTTTATTTCATGACTAAAAATAACGCTAACATAAAATAATAAGCACTCATTTACAGGCAGTATTATTTTTCCCTCTTCCCTTACGCACACGAGAGTTTCTGTGTATTTATAGACATGAATAAAACTCAAAATATATAAAATATGAATTAAAAAATACATATACATTAACACTTTTATCGCGACATGAAACATTCTACAAGTCAAATGAGAAAATCATTTAATGAATAGCGGAAATCGGCACTCCACCAGCACCATCATTGGTCCCGGATTCATTGAATTCGACCTCGCTCCGCCTGTTTTGGAAAAGCGCAGGTATAGCTAAACGTGCTGCAGGTATATCATACTTGGTGCAATGGAGATACGAAGAACTAGCTGAGACATGGCAGTACTGCAGGAATCAATCGTGGGGCGAAAACGATCAAATACTAGTCAAGAATCTGCAACCATTTACAAATTATAGGGTATGTAAAGAAAGATGTACGAAAGAGACTCTCTCAGATGGAGTTATCTAAATTATAAATTAATAAATATATTATATCTGCCAACAATTTTTAAATAACGTATGTATGTTAATTTAAGGTTGAATTTAGATTTTAGGCCTGCATTTAAGACTGTTGAATCCTTCCCAGACAGCACCAATAAGTTCCAAATTTAAAATTGGCGCATAAGATATCATTAAGAAATCTTGAAGACAGCTTTAAGAAATCTTATGATATGATATCAAAATGACATCTTAAAGATATCTTATGCGCCAATTTTGGACTGGGCTTTCTTCTCTTATGCAATTTTTCACGGAAAAGAAACCGATGATATTTGCAGTTTCGCATAGCGCTGCTTTTGAAATCGACACAGCACAATCCGGAGCCGATCGTGTCAGCGCCGAGTGTGGTAATAACAACAGAGCCAGACGGACTACCGACATCAGCACCGGTAATTGTAAGAGCGGCAGCGGTAGACAGCTACCGCGTATCTATATCTTGGGAACCAGGCCCATTCACGAACGGGCCACTTTCGTCTTATGTCCTACGACTGCAAGGGGCTGAACATTCCCAGCTTAAGGTATACGCCACGCCAGAACCATATACAGACCAGAGTATCCGATTACTCTGGTACTCACACCGAAGTGTCTCTCGCATACTTCTGTATATATACTCAAGTCTTTTTCTCTTCTCTCTCTAAACTGAAGCACTCTTATATTTTCGTGTATTCGCGCAAAACGCGCGCCATCACGCTTTGCTATAATATTTTTAACTGTTGTTTATATATAAAAATTAATGTGTGCAGCTGGTTCTGCAAGGTACATCCCGTTATCCTGTTCGAGAAAATTCATTGGCGAGCAACCACGTTGAGTTTTGTACGGCGATGTTAAATAATATACCTTGTCATTTTATCTAAAAATAAAGATAAATCTTCTGCATCTATAATTTAAGAGAATCATAAAATGCATAATTAGTATATTCTCTGCTAAAATTTTAATTTAGAGAATATATATTTAGTTTAATTTTCTGCTAAATATATTATATTAGCTTTTATTAAATTCATGAATATGTTAAAAATTAAAGATCGCCAATGACTTTCTTATTTTATATCTTTTTGCTTTTTATGTTGCGTACTAATATTAATTTGAAGAGAATGCACGCTTTTGAAGCATGGCTGTTTTTTTTTAAAACGATGAGACAACCTATTAGATATGCATCTTCATTAATTATGTTATCCAAATAATTCCCAAATTAACATTAATTTAAAACAACTTGCACGAACCAGAGTATCTGCGAAATAAGTTTCTGGTATGGCGTTTCTTTTTTCTAATTGCATCTTTCCTAGCGAGGGATTTACGGTGGAATGATTACGAGCTATAAAATATATGTTATATTTTTTATCAACAGGATATCCCAACCATCGAGAACATGACACATTACATGTTTCAAAATCTTATACCTAATCAGAGCTATTCTGTCAGTGTGACTATGAGAAATGGAGTCGGCGAGGGTCCAGCTGCTATTGTCCATATCTCTACGACTCAAGAACCTACCGGTGTGTTGTGAAAGGATGTATATATTTACATTAACATTAACAAGAATGCAGACATTACACAAACATTTCTATGTAGGTCTGAAAGACCTAATATGAAATGTTGTTAATTCATTAATTATTAATTTTATTTCATCATTATTTAAAATTAGCTTTTCGGACCGCGCTTTACGCGGTTCTCATATAGCCTTTATAAAACTTGATTTAATATAAAAGATTAGTTCTTTTGTTTTAAATATTTAATTTGGCTCCGCGTTTTGCATAAACTTAAATATAGATACTCGAAATACCAATTTCGAGAAAATTGATAAATAAATGTGTAAATGCGTGGATGGGTGCGTGGGTGGGTATATCAATAAAAAACCACATAGTACGATGTTTTTGAACATTCTAAACCCATTCTGAACCCATTAACATAGTTTAAAAAATAATTTTTTTGAGATAACATATAGCCTCCTCTATGAGGAAGAAAAAAATTTTAGAAAACCATATAGTACGATGTTAGTACGATGTTTCTGAACATTCTAAACACATTGGCGTAGAAATAAAAAAAAACGTTTTTTCGCAAAAACATACCCTCCTCTATGAGGAAAAAAATTTTTTAATGAAAAAAAACCACATAACATCCATCCCCGAAAAATTTGCAACATTTTGGTATCAATTCATCAATGGAAGGAGTTCGCGGTCAGACAGACATACAGACAGACGGTGCTTTTTTATTATCATAGATTGCATTATTTATTATTTCAAAGAATTAAAACTAAGCGGCTACCGATTCTCAGACCTTACTAATGCATGTCCATATAATCCCAAAAATAAAATTCACATATTATTAATTAACAAAATAACTAGTTAGAAAATTGATTTTTAGTCAAGGATACACAACAGCCGATTTTCATCCTCGGTGGCGAGCATGTAGTTACGATGCGAGTCGGCAATATGTTCAACGAACCCAGTGTCGTTTACCAAACCGAAAGTATGATCCGCGGAGTGGCGATACACGTGGCATCCGCTCAATTATTCGTTTCCACTTCAACGGGTCACGTGTATCGTACCTCGATTATCGAATCATCGAAAGCGGAAATCATTCTAAATGCTAATCGAACAAACTTTAAACCGTTGAGTCTTTCCGTCGACTGGCTGAATCTTCACTTATACATATTGGGAGAAATAAAACACGCGACGACAGTATGGCAGATAGCCAGATGCAATTTAGATGGCAAAGGTTTGACAGTAGCTATGGCGGGATTCTTGACCCGACCCTCGCATATCGAAGTCGATCCTTACAATGGGTACATCTTCTGGGTCACTAAAGCAGGATTGTTTAGATTGGATTTAGCCGATATTAGCAACGGTGTGAAGCACGAGGTATATATAAAATTCCTTTTTTGTAACTTTATATTACTGAATTTTTTATTTTTTATCATACTGAATGATGCAAAAGTTTAATGAGATATGCATACTAATTTACTATTTCAATATATTATAATTTTAACATATATTTTACTTTCTTTAAATAAAATAGTTTTTTAAACACTTTTACTATAAAGATATTTACAGTTATAAAAATAAAATAAAATGTTATTTATGAAAATATAATTATCTCTTTAAGAATAGATATTATTTTATTTCTTTAGGTTCAACCATATTTAATTCTCGAGGATTCCAATTTGGGTGCTTTCACAGTAGACCATATGAATTTTCGATTACTTGTTCCTCATCACACTAAAAATACAGTGATATCAGTAACACTGGATGGTCGCGAAATTTATGATCTTCGCCCCAACGTACAACAACCCAAACTCAATAACGTTGTTTCTCTAGCTGTGGCAAATGGATTATTTTATTGGATTAATGGGGAAAAAATTTTCATCGAAATATATCATCCTCGGACAAATATATATTTTCACAATTCCTATGATGATAGGTATTCTTACATTTTAATTCTACATTTGGCTTTAAACATTCGTTATTATTTTTTATGTGTATTATCAGATTTGAATGTGTTATAAACAATAAAGTGATGAGTTTTTTTTTAAAAGAAGAAGAGAATTCTTAGACTGAACCATCCGCTTTAATACTTCAAGATACGGTCGCGCGGAATTGTATATAATAATAATAATTTTGCTGAATGCACGTAATAATATATATTATATCCCTTGATATTTTTGCATCCTTGAAAATACTTAAAAAGATATTGTTAAACATATTAATAAAAAAACATATTTAATATAAAGATTTTCTTTCTAATCTTTTAATTTTAACTTACATTTTATATTATTTTATTATTTAATATTATTTTAATGTTTATTAATATATATTATATATAACTAATTATATATAACTTTTTGCTGTAAGAAATTGAATTAAACTTATTACTTATATTAATAGCAGCAATAAATAAAAATTCTCGTCTTCAGGTCCGACACTTCCTTTGTCAGTGTGAATGTATTGATGAATGCAAGCCAACCCGTTCCTGCTCCAGTAAATCCACCAACGGGAGTACAAGCTGTTTTGGGAGCAGAAAGAGCAAAGGTTTCCTGGCAAGCTCCTCATTTACTAGGATATCAAGGAAAGGGCGCTTGGCAAAACTGGTCATATGAGCTTGAAATCATAGACGAATCAACTAATGAAACTATTCATCAGAAAGAAATCGTTGGATTATCACATACTGTTTATTATTTGCGAGAAAAATCGGAATATTCGATCAAAGCTGCGGCGTATACGGATGCTGGTAGAGGACCGTGGTCCTCGGAATTTCGAGGACGAACTTTAAGGTAATATTAATTAATAACTTAATTAATTAATTACTAAATATATAATATAATAATAAATATAACAGATACTTTTTATACATATTCTTTATCTATCTTTTTAATTTTTTGTTAAAGTGGTTTATATATAAGATTTTTCAAAAAATGTCTTTTGCATTATGATTCTTCCTAAACTATTTTATTTATTTACTAAATCAAATTATATATTTAGAAATGGTTCGCATGCGTCCATTCTGTGGTCGTCAAACGAGGGACTTTTAAGAAGCGACGTAACCGGCGAAAATATAGACACGTTCGTTTCTAAAACAAATCTGAAGGAGTCCGAGAGCGATTTTCATATTGTCGACGTTAGTTGGTATAAGAACGTGCTGTACATAGTAGGAAATAATTCCGCGCTATATCGTTATAATGTTAGCAATCATCAGAAGACAAAACTTAACATGCATTCGGTGGGAAGTGTTGCTGTGGACTGGTTATCAAAGAAGTTGTACTGGGCGAATCCAAAGCAACAGATTGTAAATATAATTAAATAAATTTTAACTCGAATTTTTTACACTTATATTATTATGATTTTGACAGCAATGTTTTTAAAATAATTTATACTTCTCATTTTATTTCAAGAATATATTTTATAGACCAATATTATTTTGACTTTTAGATAACAAGAGCAAACTTGGACGGATCTCAACAAGAGCCGATGTCTATTTTAGCAATCGTGAAAGAACTTATGATCGACTCTCTAGAAGCATACTTATATTGGTCTACTGGTCACGCTGTAGAAGTTGCGCGATTAAATGGACAAAATAGGAGACATTATCATTTGGATGAAATTTTTAATGGCAAACAAGTGATGGGACTCACGCTTGACACCGAAAATAGATACGTCTATTGGATCGTTCGAAGCTACGAAAGTGGATCCATCGTTTATCGAGCACCTACGTCCGAAAGAATTCCAATGCATCAAAAATTATCCCAGAAAAGGTTACTTTGTATATTCAATTAATTTTTATGAATATTATTATTTCTAATTTTGGGCACGATACAATTATAGACGTCGCTTCTTTAATTTTATCAAATAATGTATAAAAATATACTATAAAATATAATAATATATATAAACAATACATTTTTATTTTAAGGTTTCTGCTTTAAAAGATCCAAATGTGCAAGGACCTCTGTGTTATTTTTCCGAGCACCTGCTGTGGTTGCAGGATAATACGAATGCAGTGATCGGCGATCTTTCCGGTCAGAACATCGCCGTAATTAATGGAATCACTTTGTCCGGTTTACACATGGTGGCTGTCATGGATCCCGCGCTTCATCAGTACCCGAAGAATTTAACATCGGAAACCGTAATAGTTTCGCCGTACGCTGTCGATTTTAATAGCATAAGAGTCGAAGGGACTTGGAGAAATTTCAACATATCGTGGGATCCAGTTAAAAACGTTAATTACGGCACAGTTTTCTATGAAATAAAGTTCGCGGATTACATTAATACGAATTCGAACCCGGAAATCACAATCGAAACGACAATACCGTACAACAACTCAGACCAGATTCTCCCTTATTCCGACCTGGAAGTTACTATAAAGGCTTTCACTTACTGGGAAACGGCGCATAATTCGCGGAAGATCTTGAAATCACCACAGAGCGTGCCAAGTCAGCCGATGTCTCCTAGGGCGTTCGTGGACAAGGAATTCCGTCATGACTTTAAAACGAACGATCGTCTCGTGATATTTAGGTGAAGAATGTGAAATTTTTGTATTTTTTCATTTTTTATATTTAACGACATATGTACAAGACCTGACTACAGAGATTCACTATAATAATATTAAAATATCTCTCTTATTCTCTTTATAGATGGAATAAGCCTCAATTTATAAACGGAGTAATTCTAGGCTACATGGTCCAATGTTGGTTTATCGAGGATCGAAAACGAAATCAAATTTGCAAGGATCAAAGCATCCCAGCTTCGACATTGGAATACACAGTACATAATCTAAAACGTAACATGACGTATTATTTTCAAGTACGAGCCCACACCAAAATTGGTCCTGGTCCTTACACGGATTTAATCAACGTGACAACCACGTATGAGAATCCGGTGCCTAAATTGTTGGTCGCCACCGCGGATGCTGTAAGGATACTGGACTTGGATCAAGAGATCAATTACACACTCACTAGGCATAGCGCGACGGACGTCAATTATCTGGAAGCTGAAAACGATACTTATTGGATTAGTGAGATGCAGGAGTTAGTAACGTCGAAGATCAGCGGAGCCAACGTCACAAAAATCCTTGCCTTGAATAATACAGCGGGTAGTCTTTGCATCGATTGGGTAGCAAGAAATTTGTACTGGACGGAATATAACAATACCATCAGCAATCTACGAGGCACCAGCAGCATCATGAAACTGGATTTAACAATGTGGAAAGCTGGCATAACTAAATACAATATCATAAAACGAACAAGAAATATTATTCCGATTATAGATGTAGTGCCATCTTTGGGGTACATTGATTTTTATTTTTATTCGTCTAAAATAAAATATTAATTTTATTTTTATCTCTTTTAATTACTTATATATTACTTTATTTTTAATTATTTAATAAAAATATTAAGTTTTTCCGTGTATCTATTAATATCATAAATTGTGCAAAAAGAAATGCGCAAATGATAAAAAATATAAATTCACAAAATTTTATTTTGTTTAAATATTATTTTAAAATAATTAATATATATATATTTTTTTTCTAGATCTTTGTACTGGATGGAAGCGATGAATAACCAAGGTGTAATAATGCGATCGGACTTCAATAGTAACGTGGAACACTTTTTCAAGAATGATACAAAATGTACTTGCCCATCTAATAAACTATCGGTTATGCCTATAATGACGATTGATAAAACCAATATCCAGAAACCAGTGTTATATTGGGTATCGATGGAGGGGCATTTAAACGTAGCTGACATTCACGGCTGCATGTGCAAGATGATATTACGTGCAGGTTTCAAAACAGGGACTCTTACGTCTCTCACGGTTGACAAAGTGAACATTTACTGGTTCAACGTAACAGAAAATCGAATCTATTCTATGAGAAAGGAGGATCCTTTCCTCATGAACAAAGAAAGCATATCGGAGCTAAAGAGCCTCTACCTGCCTAACGTACGTCGCATCACAGCCTTTGGCAAATCCTTGCAAGTCTATCCCTCGACGAATTGTCTGATACCTGATCGCAAAAAGAATTACACCGTCCAGAAACTGGAGGCAACGGACACCAGTATCATTGTTAATCTCCCAGAAATAAGCTCCGAAATCGGTTGCGGGAAGTATAGTCTACCTAGAACACTGTACATTATCCACGGGTATTGTCTGAAAGAATGCAAAGGTTTCAAGCTGCAAACGTACGAGAGACATTACAAGATTGAGAATCTAAAGCCGTTTACGGAGTACAAGCTGCAGTTGACGCTGAGCAATTTTTACATCGAGCAATTTAAACTGCTTCCTCTATCAACCCCTAATGTGACGCTGACGACTAATTCGGGCAAACCCTACGCACCGGAGAACTTTTCAGTTCTGCCGCTAACGCCAAACGTGGCGGAGGTTCATTGGCTGCCGCCCAAAATATTAAATTGTGCGGCTGTGCACTATGAGGTGCACTGGAACTTACTTACCAGGAACGGGATTCGACAGAAAGGCGAACTTCTGATCAAAGAGCCTGAGCGCAAGAAGGATGGCAGATTTTTCAAGATGCTGAAATTACTCCCTGGCGAAGAATATCTGATATGTGTACGCGTATATCCCATCAACTTCAACAATTTATATAACGAGACTTGCGTGGAAACTATCCGCATGTATCCGGAACCAAACAATTTAATTATGAGCGGAGTCAACGTAAATAGTATGAACATTTCTTGGATCTGGAGTATCGATCTGAGTATGTATTGTACGCTGCAAATCAAGGATGTTGCGGAGGCCGTGTGGCAAAACGTAGGTAGCCGTATTGCCTTGCGTCGGGGTAATATAACGTCTCATATAAAAAATTTACAACCGCGTACGTTATATGTTTTTCGCCTGGCACTGAGATATCCCGCGTACGAAGATGACTTTATATGGCCGCCTGATAATAGATTTACGTTTCAAACGCTAGGTAAGTAAATCAAGATGAAGACACAAAATTAAGTATTTAACATATTTATTATAGATATAAAAATATTTTCTCTAGATTCATTATGCAAAGATTAAAGAGAAAACTACAGTAATAAGTTTTGAAATAGAAATATATATATATTTCTATTTTAAATTGCATATTAAAATAAAATAAAATAAAACAAATATATTATTTCTATTATTGTTTAATATAGGTGATATCCCGAGCGCTCCTGGAAAACCTACGGTAACAAAACTTCGAAATTCTGTGTATCAATTAAATTGGGAACCTGCACAAGCTCAAGGTTCACAGATAACTTTGTATGAATTGGAAGGCTTAATTATCGACGATAAATACGAACAAGATAACGACAAGAATCAAAAGTGGAATCTATATTATAATGGAACGGACAATTACTGGATAATTACTGGAGATTTAGATCAAAAATATCGATTTCGAGTACGAGCTAAAAATGCTTATGGTTTTGGCATTTGGAATGAGTCGATCGTCGAACTAACAGACGTGATGAATATAGCAACACAACAGTATTTACCGTTCATGTTAGGCCTCATTGTGATCATCGTTGTTATCATAATGTTGACTTTCTTCTGCTATTTTTTTGCCGTAAGTATATTTAGTAGCTCGAGTTTTTAATTGTGAGCTCATTCAGATATCATACGTAGAATTCTTGAAAAAGAAATAGCGTTGATAAAAAATAATTTATATATGTAAGGTTGTATTTTGACAATATGATATTAGAGTTTATCGTAACGTTATTCAGTTTATCGACAACGCAAAGAAGATAAAAAGGCAGTTTTACCTCCGATAGTATCCGACGTCGAGTTAGCGACTCTTCGCGAAATACCTCGCGGGAACTTCGTTCAATCCAACGCATTATACGTTTCTACGTTGCAAAATGATCCGGATGATTCTGCATTGCCTAAAATCAAACACGAGCAAATCACATTCACAAAATTTCTAGGCAGCGGTGCATTTGGAAAGGTAAAATTTAATTTTCTTTTAACACAGTTCTCCACAATGTATCTCTGCTAAAATATATAAAATTTGCATTTTGAATTATAATTCCAAATATTTTGCAGGTATTTCAGGGAGATGCCAAGGATTTAGAAGGACCAGGCATAACGCCCATTGCCATAAAGATGCTGAGAAAGGATGCTTCTTCGCAAGAGAAGACGGAATTTGTACAAGAGGCCAGACTTATGAGCCATTTTCGACATAAACATGTGTTAAGACTGTTAGGCGTTTGTTTGGATACCGATCCTCCCTTACTCGTATTGGAATTAATGGAAGCGGGTGATCTGCTGAGTTATTTGAGGGAGAGTCGGTCCTTGCAATCCACAGATCCGCACGCTCTGCGTCTGCAAGATTTACTCGCCATGTGCGAAGACGTTGCACGGGGATGCCGTTATCTGGAGGAGTTGCATTTCGTGCACAGAGATCTCGCATGTCGAAATTGTTTGGTGTCGGCGAGGGATCGCGAGAATCGTGTCGTGAAAATCGGCGATTTCGGATTAGCTAGAGATATTTACAAGAATGATTATTATCGCAAGGTAAATATACTATTTTTGGAAAACAATTAGAAAAATTACAAACTATTCATCTATATTTTTACATAAAAAAAATATTATATATCTTTATGCCAGATAAAATACAAAAAAAGAATAACTATTTTTATTGTCTTTATATAAATCAAGAGATGTAATATATGTAAGCTAAAATGATTTTAGCAAATGGTGCATTCTTGTTTAAAAAATTAAGAGCAATTTAGGCAAAAAAAGAAATTAATTAGCGCAAATTATGTTTTAGGAAGGAGAAGGTCTATTACCGGTTCGCTGGATGGCACCGGAATCCTTGGTGGACGGAATATTTACTTCGCAGAGTGACGTTTGGGCATTCGGCGTGTTAATATGGGAAATTACGTCATTGGGTCAGCAACCATATCCTGCCAGGAATAATCTCGAAGTTTTACATTTCGTGCGTGCAGGCGGCAGACTACAAAAACCTCTCAATTGTCCACCGACGTTGCATCAATTAATGATGCGTTGCTGGAGTGCAGCGGATGCTAGACCAAGCTTCAAAATTTGTCTAGAAAATATCGTCGGTTTGAGAAGCAACATAGAAGATGCAGCATTGAGCCCGGTGCATACTGGACATTATTTGACTCGCAGAGGTAAATTAACATTAATTCTTTTTTACTCACATCACTGCATGGAGCAATTAATTTTTGCAACTCGATCGAATGTTGACTGAAAATACACAAGTTTTTGTTTTACTCGCATCTGCAAATCTGCATTACATTAATATTTAATGCGTTCATTAATCATTTATTTTGCTATTATAAAGTGACTACATATACTGATTATTTATATACAATGTAATAGTTGGGTATGTTTCTTTAAAATATAGATATGAGAAATATATTACAAACATGGAACAAGGCACAGAATATCTTACAATGCATACAATAGTTTACAAATTATAAATGGATAGACTACGAGAAAATATTATTTACAAATTAAATATCAAATGCAAGCTGATAATATAAAACTTATTTTTAAACTAATTTTAATTATATATCATATCTTATTGAAAAAAATATAAGCATGTTTTTTTTTCTCATACATTCATTTAATTTGATATTATCAAATCATGTAACGAAATATTATCACATACTTCTTTCCTTAAATTCTTAAATATACTGGAATATTATCGTTTGCTTAAATACATATTTATCATTGCATGGCTCGTGCTTGCAGGCGTGTCTAACATGGCTTACTTTGCTGACGAGAATCAATATCATAATAATTCAGGTGGGTTTTAATAAACATCATCTGCCTATATCATTCGACGCTGAAAAGAAATATTTTTCATTTTTTATTCATTATTGCAAGCTCATATTTCTCCTATCATTATAATTAATTCGAATGCGTATTATAATTTATAATACATTATATATATAATAAATATAACAATATACATATGTAACATACAAAATTAGATCAAGATACTACAGAATTATTTTGTTTTATTATAAAGAAACATATTTTAAGAGAATAATATTTTCTAACACTTTATAAATTGTAATTGATATTTTGTATAGGAAATTCCTGGAAATCCAGCAGCTCTGAAGGAAGCCGGGATATGCAACCATTTCTCCAAACCTCGAATTATGCCATGCTCAACCCGCAATCAGGTGAAGTTCCAAAGTACCTAGAATTATTAGCGGATAACGAGGATGTCGTTTTAAAAGAAAATCCTACGAGTGGTTACGAAGTACCTCGTTCAAGTCACATCTCGGACCAGAATTTAACAAATATCAGTAAGATTAATTGCACGAATCAAGATCGTAAATGCAGTTTGCCTACCGAGACCACACAGGAACATAAAGAACATTCCACGACAGAGCGAAAGCAATCTGATGGAAAATTATGCGAAAAGAGATCGTCGATCACTAGTCTGAATTTGTCAGATCAAAGGGGCACGTTAATTTCGGGCATGCCAGAAAAATACAACACGTTGGACAGCTCGAAATCGATAAACTCAATTGCAAAGACGACACCGAAGAGGGATTCCTTCTCTTCCTTGAACGGACCAAAATACAGGACTGAGTCGAACGATGAACGAAGGGATTCGGAGACCAGCATCGAAGGTAGGAGTTCTAGCTCGCACAGCTTGGCACCTTCCACGCGTCCTAGCTCGTCCTTGATCAATTCGCAGTCGGTTATCCCGTGTCTGAAGAACGTCCTGGCGAACGTCGCGGGAAACAGGGAAGTGCCTTCGAACGAGGGCGCGATGACAAAGTGTGCGTTACCGAAAATCCAAAAGACTCATTCGAACTTGCAAAACGGCAGGCCAAATATACCGCTCATGATAAATAGCACATTGTTGAATCTACTGCGAGATTCGTCCGTAGTCGAGGAGAGCAACATTGTTAATACCTATACAAATATAAATACGGACGCTGTCAGAGTGAACGGATCGTGAATCCTTGATCGTAGCGGCTGGAAAAATAAGATTCCTATGAATTATTTTAAAATTTACGAGTGATATGTAATATTCGATAATTAAATAACCTGACAATGAGTCACGCTCGATTAGATCTGTAGGACTTTGCATAACTATAATTATTACACGACAATAAATTTCTAGATCATTATTTTTCTAGTTACTATTTTTGTAGTGCTTTTTTATAATTCTAAATGATGACATGAAATTATTTTTATCATAGATCTATTCTACTATAAAGATTTACACAGATATATTTGTTGTGTTAATTAAAAAAAAGATAGTTATATATATAGTAAGATTTTGCTCAAAAATTTTTTCTTTTTTTTCTACAACATGGTGCCTTAAATATATATATCAAACTATTTGAGAAAATTTAAAAACTCCTTATATATTAATATTATTAAAATCCAAATATCTTATATGTGAAAATGAAGAGTTGCGAAGTGAAGAGCAAAGTTAAATAGCTTTAAACTGCCATTTTAATGTACATACATAAACTTTTATATACTCAAAACTTATGCAACAAATTATGGCAGATCGTTTTATGACGTATAGATATTGCGCGATAATAATAATCGCGAAATTGTTATTTAAATATAAGAATATGTTGATAGGAAACGATAAATGTGAAGTATAGTTTAAGTTTATAATCGCTACATTTTTAATAACATATTTATTTAATAATTTACGAAATTCCTCATTATTCATTGTACAAATTTCACGTTTGATGATAATTAACAAATACTATAGAAAGCGAAAATTTGTTAAGTTTTTTACATAGTTTTAATAATATAAAAGTGTATATTATAATCTTATTCCGAAAAGATAGGGGTTTTTGAATGTATAAAATCTTGTGAAATTTACATTAATGGACTGATTATTCTTAAAGTTTCTAATTTCAAGTTGCTTTATAAATATAGTCAATCAGTAATAGAATTAATAATTGTAAATAATACATAAATATATATATATATATATATAAATGTTTTAACTAATTTAAGAGAACCTGCAAAAAAGAAATACTTTTTATCTTTAAATTCCTTTAAAATATTTATAAAATAATACAAAAGGGAAATAAATTATTAAATTTTGGATTTTCAATATATTTTTCAGGAACTTTTGAGAGTTGGTATCTTACATCTTCAATATATATAACATTCAATATGCATAGGGTCTCCAGGGGTCCAGAAGCTCGAGGTTTTGTATCTACACACGTACTGGGACTTTTTTCCTTTCATTGATTCTTGTCCTCTTGATTCTTCAGATAAATCAATTTGATTTATGTCATCAGTCTTCATACATATTCATTAATGGATATTTCTCTCTGTCAGAATTAATCCTGAAAATTGAAAAACAGATGTATTTTAATTAATTTAAATGATACGAATGTTTTCAGTGTAAGAGATCAATATAAGAAAAGCAAAATTATTGCTAATATAAAATCTAATTCTCATTATATTTTATAAGAAAAATCAAGCATTTTATCACTATTTTTTTTCTTTTTTCCCAAAGTATTATATAATATTAAATAGTTTCAGATTTTAATGTTGCCTAATTGAATTTATAATATTATGCACTCTATATTACAAATACAATAAGTATAATATAAAATTATTTACCTAAGTTGCATTTGTAAGAGGTACATCATCATCTAATAAGTCATCCTTACTATGTTCATGTAACAGAACATATTCTCTGGTACTGAAGCCAAATCGTACTACATCTTTTTCTAACAATTCATGATATCTTCTTGGTTCTAACTTTACATTATTTACAAATGTCCCATTTGCTGACTCTAAGTCAATAATATATGGTCGTATTCTTCTACCTTCGATTCCTCCCTCTTTTTGATAGGGAACTAAACGATATTGCAGAGCAGCATGTTGTTTGGAACACGAGGGATGATCTAAAGGTATGTCGGCTACTTTACGATCTCTACCCATAAGATATGCTGACTGACGATGAATATATAACGTAGGCAATGCTTTCTCGCCTTTGAAGGGATACAGTCTCCATCTGCGTTTGGGTTTCTTAGCATCTTGCGGCTCAGAATACTTTATAACTACTCCATTGACAGTATTCATGTCCTCTGTTAATTTTCCCGACACTTCAAAGTTGGGTTTCTCTTTCTCAACCTTTACATTCGCTTTACCCCATTCGACAGAAGATTCTCTTTTAATTTTCACATCATCCGAGCTTCTCTTCTGCTTATGCTGATCATTGCGTCTTCTTCCAGTGTCATCTCTTCTGTCTCTACTTCTGCTCCTTTCATTGCGTTCCCTGTGTCTGGAATGACTATTCTCTCTTTTCGGTGGCGATCTCTCATATTTCTTCTTCCCATTCTGCTTCTCGTCGTCTCTTCTGGGATGATCGCGTCTGCTACCTCTGTGATCTCTGTCTCTGCTCCTGTCTCTTTGGGATCTACCTCTGTGAGAATCGTTGCTCCTCTCATGTCTATCTTCTTTATCATTTTTAGACGTATCTCTTCGCTCGGCACCGTTGCTGTGACTTCGCCAGTTTGACATATTTTTCAATTTATTTAGGAGAATAAACAAATCGGAAAATAATTGTCAATGTCGACAATATAACCTGATTTAACCACAAATCCGTTCAATTAGATTGATTAAAGCAAAATCGTGGCAAATCACTATGTTACATATGCAGAAAGATTTTATAACGATATCAATTGTTGTACGCACGTTTTTGTTGCTGTATATTATTGACAAAAATTATCTACAACGATCCTGTATTCTTGTATAGTGTACGCTTATACGTTAGAGAAAGCTTCTGCAAATACGCAGACTCAGGACGCAAAATACCGACTGTAGATTATGTAGAAATTTTCTTTATTATTAACCTAAACTGTTCGAGATCGTTATCCTTGGTACATTTTAAGCGATTATCAATGACAATACCTCAATGAATACGTCATAAATGAATGAAAGCATATGTCGTACATGAATGAAAGTAGACGTATATGAATGATGTTTCATTAATTGCAGTTTATATCGAAATATATAGCTCCATAGTTAAAATGATGTCACTTTGACGTTATACCTGAGTATTATTGTTTTAAAATATATATAAGCTATTGTTTTGAACAACAATGTAATATATTTAAGGTTAATAATGGAAGTAATTATTTGCTATCAAACGTACTGACTGCCATATATAGACACGAGTTGTCATAAAAGAAATAAACTGGTCTGAGATAGGTCGCTCTTATATGTAAATACAATATAAAACAAATTCTGTTTTTTTTTTCATGCTCTTAGCAAAGTGTGCATATAATATAATATCACTTTTAACAGTCATATACGATAGTAAGTTATATGTATAGCTTTACATAAAAGAGCCTCTATATATATGTATTTTGAAATATAATACACATAATTGTAAGAATTAATTATTAAATATAATATATTATTAAATATATTAATATTATTATATTTTATAAGTATACTTTCTCTGTCTTAAATAATTTTTAACATTATATATTATAAGATTAAATATTTTAATGCTGTATATATAATACATACATGAAAACATATAACATATAAAAAGAGCAAAATTTCTTTTCAATGAATTATATGTATATGCGCTTTTAAATATATATAAAATAAGTAAAATTTTAAATATTCCAATATATAAATCCATGATGAATGCATTGCATCTTTACAGAAAATGCATATTAAGTATATTTTGACAATAGATATACTGTAATATTAGCATACGCACACATGAGCTACGAGAAATATACATATACATGTGCAAACATCAAGAGACTGCATTTTATTTTGTATAAAAAAGTACAAAATTATTCTTATGTACATAATAATACATATTTAATATATCTACAAGATACTTATAAGTTTGAAATACATATATAATTATACTCTCGATATACTCTCCCTCTTATTCTGAAAAGAAGCTGCCTCTTTTTTTATTCTAACTGCAATAAAAATGCATTATGTGACAATTTGAGGAAAATATATCCGCCTCTTTTATAAATCAGCATTTACTATTTATTAATTACGATACGGTCGTATAATAGATCTAAAAAATCCATTTTTTTAAATCTATCCATTATTGCAAAATGAGAACAAATATACAACAAAATTAAATTTGATTTAATTTAAGCCACTTGAAATATATTCGATTAATTATGTTATATCTGAAAAAATGTAAGAGACAATTCGTTTAAATTAAAATAAAGTTTAAAATGTAATAACACTGTAGGATATAATAAATTATGAAACTTTCAGAAAATAGCTGCGTATAGCGACCACAAATTATGTTTTAAACATTGAACTGAAAAGGAGAGCTTTTTTAAAATAAAATTAGTATGTCGAGAAGGGATTTTCGATAGAGTCAGTACCGTCAGAATTGCTTTCGGCGGCGTCCACAAATGCTGTTGAAAGGTCACCGGCCAGTTTGCTGACGGATCCAGAGGTCACATCATACATGAAGATTTCCTTGTCACCCTGATCACCGCCGTCTCTCGGCCTGAAAAATCGCGACGAGTGAAAGCGCGTAGCGCTAGCAAATTCCTTGACTTTCAAGTAGATTCGCGAGATAGACCATGTAAATAATAATATACGACGAGAGAATCACATACATGTTAAAAACCTAGTGAAGCAAATGACTAGTCAACTAGTTGGTAATAGATACATAAGAATGTATAATATAAGAATGAAAGGACAAAATTACGAAGGAAATCGTGAATTCTTAATACCAAATTACAAGACAAATACATTTAATAACTGTAATTAGAAATAGATTATGAATTAATAAAATAAGAACAAATAACAAGTTCCAATATTTATAGATAAGAAAATATTTAATTATATGCACATACTAAAGAAATAAAGAAAATTTTAATTAATCAATAAAATGGTCTTCTTAAACCTGAATGTATATATAAGTTCAGTTTCATTATATTAGAAAAATATAGATATTATATAATATTATTTAAAAAATATATATAATATACATAATATATATATAATAAATTATATATAATAACAAAAAATATATATATATTATTCTATCCAATATAAAATAATGCAAAAAATCAGACAATTTTTCTTCTTTAAAAAGAACCATTAGAAAAATGAATATTAATAATTACTTATTATCTACACCGCAATAAAAATCTCGCAACGAGCCTCAGTCGACGTTAATAAAAAACGAATTATACAACAATCTACGCTCGTTGAGATCGATACTCACATGGTGACCAGAAGCACAACGGACTGTCTCTGCGGCTCGGTGCGGCTCTCCTGCTCGAGCCACTTCTTGTAGTTCTCCGCGGTGGGTTTCTTCACGAGTTGCTTGAGGGTGTCGCCGGCGAGAAATCTGACCGGCTGCACGTCGCCACCGGCCTTTCTGCCGCGCCGCTGCGAATCCGTGATAATCTCCTTCTCCTCGCCGCCGAGAAAGTCGTAGTCGACAGGTGCCAGCACCACGACGCTCGAGATCCTACGGCCGTTGAGCTCCGGCACGTCCGGTATCGGGAAGGACGCACCGCTCACTTTAAGCGGCAAGTAACGATTGTATTGAACGGGGTCTCCGTGCGCTCTCACGGTCACCGGCTCGAGCCGGGTCGCGTCGTCCCGTATGTGCGCCTCCGCCACGGCCTGGCCTTGCTCCGTATTCGGATCAAAGCGTACTACTTTCATCTCGACGCCGCCGGGTCGCAAGGTAGCCTGCTCGAACTTAGTCGAACCGCCATTGCTGGAAATGGTGACGACGGTGGATGACGTCTTCTTCGACGGCGGCTGCGCTGTCTTCGTCACCGGTTTCTTGGCGATCGCCGGCACAGGTTCGCTGCCGGCAGCGATAGCCGCACCGCCTCCGGCGCCGTAGAAATTCGCCAGCGCTTCCGGCGGCAGTTTCTCGATTGGTATGTCGCCGATCTTGTCGTAATCGAGAATCTGAATGTCGGCGTTGCCCAAAATGCCGGAGCTCAGCAGCTGCTCCCTGATATCGTCCGGTACTTCGTCCGGCAGGTTGGCGATGTTCTCCTGGATCTTGGCCGCCTTGTTCGGCGAGAGCGTAGTTGGCGCCTCGGTAGTCGTGGTGGTAGTTGTAGTCGTTGTCGTGGACGTCGTTGTCGGCAGGAACGTTCTGGCAGTCGACAGCGAGTTGAAGTCTTCGGAAGGGCTAACTGGCGTCGCGTAGATCTTCTGCGTGGGATTGTTCTGCACCGGTCGACCCCATATGGAATGCTGTTGAGAGGAGGCGATCTGCGGTCGTTGCTGCGTCGTCGGACGATTCTGCGAGAAGAAGCTCTGTTGATTGTTTTGATAGGTCTGGTGTTTCGCGTTTAATTGTTGATGTTGCTGCTGAAGAGTATCGGCGGAGATGTAACGACTCGGTGATACATTCGCGGAGACTTGTTGGGATTCGTGAAGAATATCGAGCGGTTGCGCTGATTGTGAGATATACTGGCTCTGAGAAATTTCAGGAAACGCGGTTGGTTGCACTACCGAGGGATTTGGTGGGAACGGACCGGGATGTAGCGGATTCTCTCTGATTGCGTAATGCTGCTCCAGTTTCGGAATAGCTTTGAAGATTTCGCCTGCCGGTCGTTGCGGTTGTTGAAGCTGCGGCTGATTGTATTTAAGCTGCGCGCGATATCGTTGTTGTTCTTGAAGAAGCTTCTGCTCCTGTTCCTGCTTCCGCCTACGTTGCTCCTGCAAACGTTGCAGCTCTTGAAATTGCTGCTGTTCTTGTAAACGTTGTTGTTCCTGCAATCGCTGCTGTTCTTGAAGTCTTTGATGCTCCTGTTGTCTCTGATGTTCTTGCTGCCTCTGTTGCTCCAACAATCTCTGCTGTTCGATTTGTCTTTGCTGTTCCAGGAATCGTTGGTGTTCTTGATGTCGCTGCTGTTCGTGTTGCCGTTGATGTTCCCGTTGTTTTAACACATCTTGCTGTCGTCGTTGCTCGTGATACCGCTGCTTCTCCAGTTCTTGCTGTTTGAACGGAGGTAGCGATTGTGGTGGAGGCTCAACGTTGAAGCTGTTTGGTCTGGGCAACGGCTGTTGCGGCGACTCCGAGTTAAAGCCTCCAGGTCTAATGGATAGCGACTGTGGGGGTGGTTCGGCAAAGTTATTCTGTGGTAACGGTAGCGGTTGATTTTGCAAGTGTACATTTTGATGCGACACTGATAAACTTGGCGGGAATCCAGGTTGTTGTGGATGATTGATGTTAACACGATGCGGCGGTGGGCCGAAACTGTTGAATTGTGCGCGTTGTTGCACTTCTGGTAAACCCTGAATCGTTATGGGATGTCGCTGGGATGATCTCGATGGCGATGGCGACGGATTTCTCAAGGGTTGCTGAGGCGGAAATGTCTGATGATGCGATGGCGGTGGTGGCGGCGGTGGTGGTGGCGGCTGTTGCTGATGTTGCTGCTGTTGCAAGAACGTTGGCGTTTGCTGTTGTTGCAAGAACGTCGGCGGCTGCTGCTGCTGCTGCAAAAACGTTGGCGGCTGCTGCAGCGCTTGCTGCTGAGGTGGAAATGAGTTAACGATACGTTGTTGCGGAAATGCGGGTAGTACTCGCGGAGGCTGCAATGGTGGCTGCAGCGGCTGGTACGGACCGTGCTGTCTCTTCGGCGATCCTGGAGATACTGTCGGTTTGCTGGTATGTTGTTGCGCACTGTTCCCCGGCGTCTCCAAGTCGCTGCGCTTATTGTGGCTATTGGGTGGTACTTGCTCGGTGCCGAAGGTCACACGAATGCCACTACCGCCAGAGTGATATACTTCGCTGTCGGGTCGAATAATAGCGCGCAGAGTCGTCGACGGTTCCGGAAGCGGCGCCAACGTCGCCGTCTGTGTCGGTTCTTCCGTATATGGTACGTGATTATCCGGTTTAATCTCCTCGTGTTCCTCCACCGGCGTCAACGCGGGAATCGGCGGGTCGTAGACGACGCGAGTCTTGTCACCGTAACCTTTTTTCTTCTCGTACTTGACGTAGAACACCTGAATAGGTTCCTTAGTGGGCCGTGGTTGAGGTGGAAGCGGTGGTGGTACCGGAGTCGGCAGAGATTCGTTAGATTCCTTAATAATGATCTCAATAATCGGCTCAGGTTCCGTTGGATAGTAACTTAGCGGACTCTCTTCGTACAGATCGTCACTCTTCGGGCTAGCTAAAGGATTATACAGAGGATCCCTTTGAGAGTACTGCACTATCGGTTCCATCTGCACGGCATATGGCGGCAAACGGCCGCCCTTTCGCAAGTGGAAGGCGAGTTGTTGACGCTTGTCGCGATTCTTTGACGACGAGTTCTCCTCCTTGGCGAAAGCCACGGCGACGAGGAGCGTCGCCGCCAAAAATACCTGGAAAAAAAAAAAAATTCGACGCATCGACAACAATTTTTTTATTTCATAAACCGCTTTAGCCATATATTGATATTTATAAAACTAATATTTATTGTAAAGTTTAAAATTTTTAATATGAGAAATAAATTTTTTTTAGCGCTTTGACAGAGTATTAATTAATCTTTTTAATTCGAACTGAGAGAAGTAGCACATGAGACTACGCCGTTTGACATAGTCCTATGCTAATGGATTGATGATGTCACCATTTTAAATCGATTAACACAACAAGCAAAAATGTAAAAAAGGGGGACTTTACGCGCTCTGATAACCGAGTAACCCGTTTAATAACCAGAAAACGCATCCAAGACCTTAACAGGCCTTGAATCGATTGGTATGCTAGCGAGAATCGAGGAACAGTTAACCTGATAAGCAATTCCCAGTTGGGATCGCGCTCTCGATATGGTGAGACCGACTTGCAACATATCGGACGTTTCTCGTTTCTCTGAAATCGTTCGGTTCCCAAACTTTTATTACCGAGAAATTGCAGATTTCCGGGTGTCTCATTAACGCAATTATTGACAAGATTAAATGACATATTTTCATTATTTTAATATTATTTTTCATAATAATGTAATAAACTAATTCAAAAATATAATTAAATCCAATCAATTTTTTATCATTCTTTTCCACAATTTAATAAATACATATAAATCACCATGTAAGAGAATGTGCTTCAATGTGCTCGATTAATTTTTCGAAGTCAGCCGAAAAGTGGGTGAAAGAGAAAGAAAGAGAGAATCAAAGTTCAAGACTGTATGGCGTCGCGTTTCACCTCGAGAATTCGGTGCCTCTCTCGACGCTGGTTAGCATATTCGAATAAGGCCCCGAGCATCTCTCTTGGCGCGAGATACGAGATGCGCGCGCATTTTCAAAGTCGCATTCGAAACTGCAGAGCCCAGCTGCGAAGAAAAAGCGGTATATGAAACCGATTTGAAACCGATGATGAAACACGTTTGCGATTATAAACGGTCAATTATCCGAGCAGAGATTATCGGTCGTTTCGTTGCCGGTCGCGTTCGCCGAGTTTTATTAATGCACTTTCCCCGTTTCACGAGCGCCGATACGCTCGCTGATTGCAAATGATAGAATCGAGAGGGTTTCGCGCGACACGCGCTTATTACAATGAAAGTACGAGCGGTCTTCGTCCTAAGAGGGTTCATCCCTCGCTCGCAAATACGCTCTCCGTTAATTTAATAATTACCAGCTTTGCGGACCACATCCTGTATAGTCGTTCCTCGTCGCTCTTCCTCGTTTGGTCTTCGCCGAAAGGGTCACGCACTTCTCTCACCGGCCGATTTTCGCGTTAAAGACGGCTGACTCGCGGCATGACACCGCTCGGGACGATCGTGCGTTGTCTTGCTGAACGATATCGAGCGAAGCCTCGCATGGGAACTGAGGACAGATCAAGCCCAGGGGCCTGTTTCTCCCTACCCGGTGCCACCACCACCTTGGGGCCACCGCTCCTCAAGAAGCTCCTCTCTAATATCGAAGACGTTGGAGCAGCACCTTTCTCTCCGGGCCCCCCTCGATGTGCACACGTTTCATTGGTATTTGTTGTATCCGTGGTGCATGTAGACACGTACATAAGCGAGAACGATGGAAAGAAAGAGTAAGAGATGAAAGGAGACGGAGAGAGGCAGATGCAGGCAGTATAGAGCGTATCTTCTTCAGAACGACGACTTTCTTCAAATCCGTCCAATCGAGGATAGTGGGGACGATTATACTAAACGCCATTACGCTCTTCCGCGACCTCCAAGGCCCATCGAAATCGAAACCTGCCTTTCTTTCTTCTCTCGGTGCGGTCTATTCGGTGAAAGAGCTAGGTCTCTTTATGCCGTCAATCCGAGCGAATACTTTCCCTATGGGATAACTTGCGCTAAGCTGCGATTTCCTTGAGACAGGTGATCGTTTCCGATCGGTTCAATGATTCTTGCACCTGCAAGCAAAAATACACATCGATACGATTATTGATAAGTCGCAAGACGATTAAGTGTTACAGTTCTTATTCTTGTGCTCAGTCTCTGTGATGGACACCATTAAATCTCGTCTGTAATTATATTATCATTAGCATTCTAGCCTTTGACTTTCCCTTGTGGATCTCTCGAATAATAGGTGTATTCACATTCATGATTTTAAATAGTGCAAGTCAGTTGCATATTACAACTAAATTCTCTAAAAGCGAAAGCAATTTTGATTAATTTTGCGAGATGTAAAAGTGGACAGATATTATTACAGCGGACAGAAATGATTCTTCATTCTTGTAGAATGTTTTTTACGAGTGATATTTCATCTTTTCTTTACGCGTGTGTATACTTTCAAAACTTATTTTTTATATAAACATATAATTATGTACCATTATATACCATTATATATACATTTAGAATTATATATTACCTTGTATAATATAATTGTATATTTATATAAAAAATAAGTTTTGAACATTTATATACGTTTAAATAAAATATAGAATATCGTCGTCGTAGAAAATATTATATAAGAAAAAAATGATAATTTCTATCCTTGCACTTCTTTTCTGCAAAATAACTGCTTTCGCTTTTAGAAATTTTATATGCACAACGCACATTTTTACATTATTTAAAAGCATGAAGGTATAATATAAATATTAAAAATAAGTTTTGAAAGATATCATTATTTATAATTTTTCTAAAGATTTCAAATAATGATTGGAATGATAATTAAAATGATTCTATCTATCGAGGCTTCTTGTACCTAAAGATTTCATATAGCGCAAGAGATTATTAGAATCCTGTTACGTCAACGTATGACAGATCTGACCTATAAATTACATGAAGCATTTTTCCAGGTATGATACGAAGGCGATCTGAGGTAATCCTCTTAGTCGCAAGAAATAATAGGAAATTGTATATAATCATGTTCGTCATTACGAAAGGCGCAGATCTAATGGAGCAATTGAACGAGATGACCCGCGGGAGAGCCTTCTTTCGATTGCAAAAGTGCTCTGCAAAAGTTCTCGCGTTCGCACTTGTGCAACCGCCTTCGTTCTAGATGAACCGATCACATCAAAACAGGTATAATTTTCTATCATCTTCCTGAACCTCTCCAAGAGATAGCCTTCGATCACTCGAAGGGGAAATTAATCGGGACGAAGCCTCGCATTACAAAGAGAGCATCATGTAATTTCGAAAGTTGCGGAAGAATCTATTCACGTTATCAGAAGTTAGGTCATTTAATATCGGCATTCATTAATTTTTTTGGCAACAGAGACGGTAATCCGATCCTGGCGGTGACGAGGAGCTCTCCGGTCTCTGGACATCTAGACGTCATCGGTGTCGAGATTGGACGTCGCGCGTCCTACTTGCTAACTTTCACTTATATACGTTGGCGTAAGAGGGTCCGAATAACAGCCGGCAGACTCGAAGATGATAAATACAGGATCCGCTGTTCGTCCGTCTGAGACAATCAGCAATTCGCGGCCTAAAACGATATTTTACGTTGATTTATCGTCATTTCGCTGAGAAACGATATCGTATACTCTCTTCTCTCCGAACCGAATGTAATCTCGCACGCAATAAAAACGATTTATCACTTTTCCGCGGCGCCGTAAGAGTCAAGCGGCAAGGTCCTAATTATTCGCAAGCTGTTTTCTCTATGGTATTTTAAGGAAATCCGTTCTCGAAACGTGATAAATATATATTGCCATAAAACTGTCCAATTTTTTTGTTGTAAAATTAATGTATTATGTAATTTTCGATATACATTTACACACAGAGAGAATTTTCTCATTGAAATTATCCTGAAAATCATGGTAATCGTGGGACAATATGATACTAGAAGAATTTTATAAGAATTTCTCTGATTAATATATTTACCACAATAAAAATATTAATATCTACCACAGTAAGATATAAAATATGTTCGATTAATTTTACTATGTACATGTATATTTAATTATTATATTTTTTATTCTGACAAATATATTAATCAAAGAAACTCATAAAATTCTTTCAATATCATAATGTCTCACGATTATCAGGGTAAATTCTAAGAGAAAATTCTCTCCGTGCGTTATTATATTTATATAATTTAATTGCTCAAAATTATATAAATTTCTATTAACTAAAAACCTATTTAAATTAAAAAACAAGAGCTAATAGGTATATATTTTTATTTGAAAGAAAAATGTGGCTATATGATATTCTTATTTCATTTGTCTTACATACATATCGAAATCGCGTTTACTTCATCTATAGATTCATTCTGGCAAAATATTACCGAAGACAGTACCATTATACAACAAGAACTAAACATTTGCCTAGTGACAAAATGACTTTTCCTGAAAAGATACTTTCTAACTGGTTTCTACAATAAGACCATCGCGATTATCTTTATCCAATTAAATAAAATGTTAGATTGAGATTAGCTCTATTGCAGGAATTTAACAATTTGTCGTCTAATATTTATATCTTACGTGTCGCACGCATATCTTATATTATGCTACGCAATTATTATACTTGCCATCGAGTCGCGTATTCACGCACGAAGAGCGTGGAAATTTCCTCGGGACGACTCTTGTCACGTCATCTTTTTCTCTTTTCGCGATTGCAAGACCGATCTATGTAACAGCGATGGCAAAAGATTACGCGAATTTGATTTGCCTAGTTCCCATGAAACTACAGATGATACGATCCTTCTACGAGAATGTAGTCGCTAACTTATACATATAGTTCTTTGAGAGCAGTACCTTCATGTGAGCAATAACGTAACTGTTGAAGAGTGAAAGTACCGTAAAGTGGGACGCTGCGGGAATAACGTTAGCTCTTATAATTAATAAACAAAGCCTGCAAACGATTCTCATCGTCATTCTGCATTCAATGTGATATTTTTTATGAGACCTTGCTATCCGATGCTCGGTTAATGATCGAGACCTTTTCCTCACGTTCGCATTTTCATAAGAATGTCGCAAGTACGGTTCTTATATAAAATAAAAAATAATAGTCAAATTTTGTAAATTTACAAAATGTCAATCATGCTACAGAATTTGTATTAAAAATTAATAAAGAGAAACAACATTTTAGGATAACATTATCAATTTTTAATTTTCTACTCTTTTTCTCATTTTAAATAGAAAATATTGCTTGTTGCTTGCAATTAAAAAATATCAAATTGTTTTGTTGCATAGCTTTTTTAAAAAGTTTACTTCATTCATCGTTATTTACTCTTACCAATTTAGTATTTTTATTATAAATATCAATTATCTCTTATATTTAAAATTTATTTTATTCATGGAATTGATATATACATTTTTATTTATAATAAAAATGCCATGGTTAAAATTTATTTATTACTATATATAATTTTTGATCTATTTATTGTGATTTGAAATTTTATTAGAAAATCACATTATTTATCATAGATAGTATAGAATATTTAGTATTAAATTATACTTTGAATATCATTTTTGTAACTGTATATGAATATGAATGCTTATTGTCGGAATTATTTGTTTTTCCGTTTATTTACACAAAAATACTTTTGTTTCTATTTTTAATTCTAGTGACATACAAACATGTCATTTCAGAAATCCTATCTAATCTATACAGTGATCTAAATCATTATGGAAAATTCTCGCTCATCTTTTCCAACGTGAGAAAATTATTTCATAATCTACAAGGGTGTTGCACGCTATGAATGCGCAAGTTTGAACTAATTAAGAAATGGTGCCGAACCGAAACTGACACGCGATGTAATACTCGTAAGATTTTTGTCTCTAAAAATAATTTTATGAAACAATAAACATATCATTTTTAAATTGAGTTTGAAATGAAGAAAAGTTTTAACATAGACATTCTAGATATTCATGACTATCGAGTAGATATAAGCGGAAAGTACATAACTACGTTATATAATTACGCACTATGAGACGAAAAATAGCTTTAATTGACGTTATGCTCGGTGCACTTTCTATTTTAGCGCATGCACTTTGCGCTGCAATGTCGGTGCAGCCTTGTCGGAAAATCGTTTCTATTATCTTTTTCTAAATTGATTAAAAATAATATATCGCAATTTTCTAAACATCTCACTCTCGATATCACAATTAATTTAAATAAATCATAAAAAGCACGATGAATAATAAGCATAAACTTTCTCTTCGATTAAATCACTCATGCTAGCAGTGAAGTGTTTCTATTAGTGAGGAGTCCTTAGCTGCAGCTTTTATTTAAATTATGAACGATACTGTTCGTTATTTTTACAAGATTAAAATAAATTGCAAAACAATACACACACAAATTAGAATATGTTTACTAATATGTAAACTATTATTATTATATGTATAAACAAACTAAAAATTATATATAAAATTCATACGCAGAGAGAATTTTCTTTTAAAATTTTTCCTGAAAATCATGGTAATCGTGAGACAACATGGTATTGGAAGAATTTTTATGCATTTCTCTGATTAAAAATATTTATCATAATAAAAAAATATTAATATCTACCACATTATAAGATGTGAAATATGTTTGATAATTTTACTATGTAGTAAAATTTACTATGTACATATTAATATTTTTTATTTTGTGGTGAATATTTTTAATCAGAGAAAAAACTTATAAAATTCTTCCAATATCATATTACCCCAAGATTTTTCATATATATTGTATCATGATTTTCAGGAAATTAACTTCTAAGAGAAAATTCTCTCTGTGTATACATATATACATAAATTATTTTCTCTTTATTTGCAATAAATTCATGTAGCCAGTTTTATGATAGATAACGTGACTTTCTAATAAAATTTCAAATATAAAAATAGATCAAAAAATTATATATTATATAATATATCAAAATATTATAGGTTTTAATCATCATAAACAAATTTATTACGAATCCATGAATAAAATAAATTTATGTAAAAAATAGATAGAGAGATAAGTTTTATATGAAATAGAAAAGATTAGATAGACAAATAACGCGAAATATATATAAATTTGAAAAAAAAAATAGATTAAAGTTACGGGTCAGAACAATTAGCTCTATACATATATACCGTCCATTTCGACACAACAATGGCTGGCCCCGTAGTTACGTGCACATGTGCAGTCTGCTCGAAAGTTCGCGTAACGATCCAACAAATCTTCAATGTACTAGATATATACAGCTGGTTATTGGACTCGTATGTTGTGGTACGTAATTCAGTAAAAATCAGCTTCGACGTTTATCCCGTATTTTGATTTTCCGAACGATATATCTCCCCTTTGATCTTAACCGCATGAATGTATTGTCTGTAAACATGATATATATATACGTACATTTTTTTATGTGCACATCTCTCCTCTATCATTTCAATATATCTTTGAGAAAGGAATGATTAACGGGAAAATATCTCGTCTCGTAGGATTTCTTCCAGGAACAATTGTGGGAAAGGCTGCCGAATAGTTGGAAGAACGTTCTGCAAGACGTGTCACCTGAAGAGTTCGGGAGATGGTTAGCTAATGACATCTCGTGGTGAGTGTGCGTTTCACTTCGGTCGATAATGCACGTCTATATAGATGGGAGTGCTTAATAAAATTAGATGCTTTACACCTCTGCGATAAAATGTTCGTCAAATATGCCGATTGATTATTGGAGAATTCCTAGAGTCTCGATAGGGACTCCAGGAATTCTCTATTCGATAGCCAATCGATGTCATATAAACATATCAGCTGACTGTCAATGATTATATTTTTATACGTATATCACATGGATTAGTCATATTATTAAAGCAGACGTTTTGATGCAATTTTCAGAATTCTTTTTTACATATGGATTTATATTTGTTTTGTTCTGCTTGTATGTAATTCAATAATGTAATTTATGTTTTACAATTAGCAAACGCGTATGGCCGCTGTCATTGCTTGCGCTTCGGCAGACAACGAAAGATTTGCAATTAAACAGAGATTATCGAGATGACGAAAGTATTTTACGATGCGACAGAGCAAAAGAATTCGAATGCAATTCGAAGAATTTTATCGTGGAAAATAAGAATGACATACACGTCGCTTTGAAGAAACATAATAATCTCTTTCTAAAACATGTTAAGATAAAAAAACGACATGAGATACAACAGATAGCACAGGTTCAATTATTTTTAAAATAATAATTTATACTAGACATAAATTACTTATGTATTATTATTCTTTATAATATTTATTTTATAGATATGTGCAGATTGCGCACAAAAATCCAATGCAAGATGTATTGTGGATATTGGAGCAGGAATGGGTCACTTAGCTCGGTCATTAGCATTCAAACATAACTTATGTGTAATATGCATTGAACAAGATGCAGAATTGTCACAGCAAGCCAGGTAATTCAATATTATTTTTTCAATAGCTTCTTCAATTATTTTTAACAATTTTTGCATGCTAATTTTACAAAATATTATTTCTTTATTATTAATTTAACACTTTTATTTTATTGACAGAAAATGGGATCAAGAATTATTAATCTCCTTATCTAAACATTTGCCTAACTTGTCAGTGAATTTTCCACAACATGTGTCAATCAAACTGGAAAGTACTAATTCTGATCAATCTGAGACAATTAAAGATATACAAAAATATTTTCCAAGGATTTTAATCTAAATGAAAAAAAATCAGAATTTGGCATTGTGGGATTACATCCGTGTGGAGATCTTGCAGCTACATTATTGAAGCTTTACACATCTCAACATGAGACAAGATTCATTTGCATCGTTGGATGCTGTTATATGAAATTAACATTGGAGTATGTCTTTGAGATACCACAGAATATATATATATATATATATATCATAGTTTTGATATTACAGTTATTAAATAAGAATAAAAAAATATTTAGATATCCAATGGATGTATCAAATGGGTATCCACTAAGTAAATATCTGTTATCATTTTCAAACTACAAGTTGTCGTATACAGCATTAGAAGTAGCATGTCACGCTATCGAAAGTTACTGTGATAAACTGAAAACTGGGAATTACAAAGATTTAATAGTTAAGTATCAGATATATTCTAAAATGTCATTGAGCTGTTATTAAAATATGCAATGTTTTAGGTGCACGCTTATAGAGCTGTCTTGGAAACTATTTTAATGAAACAAGACAAACAATTATGTCACACTCAAGTGAGGAATGTAAAGGTGACAAATTCTATGACATTTAAACAGTTGAGTAAAAGAGAATTTAATGTATTATTGTATTGTAATTGAACATATATATATGTTATTACGACAATTAAATATGCTTGTATTATTACAGATATTGCATGGCTGCAACTGCAAATTTCGAAGTGCATCATCAAATTGAAGATTTAGATTTTCAGGATTCACAAATAATGTTTTATCTAAGTCAATGGAAGCATATTGTAATATTCGGCGCATTACGAACGATGTTGGCGCCATTAGTGGAAACTATTGTATTATTGGACAGATTTCTATATTTATCAGAAAATCAATTATCTCCCGTATTGAAACCTATCTTTGATGCAAGATTGTCTCCTAGAAACTTTTTATTGTACTCAATGAAAAATATCGAACAATCACTTTATATCTGAATCTTATTGCTTCAAAAAATTAATTGTAAAATTAAACATTTATTTCATGTTTTTTTTTGAAAATTAAATATTGATTTCACAATTTTATATAAAATAAATTCTGTCCTAAAGTTCTATCTTTTCTACAATTCAATTCAGAAATAAGAATGCTTTTAATACACTTTTCGTACAAATTCGATCAAAATTAATATAATTGCGTATGATTTCTTGTAATATCTGTGCGTAACAATCGCGTGCACATCTTTGACAGAAGAGTTCTTTCTACAAATCAACCTGCCAGATTTGATGCTGTATTTTCGCGCCTGAATATACAAATCTCGATACACTTCCATTAATTCCATATTCAGTAAATAAACAGATTAGGAACCTTAGCCTCGAGAAATGCAATCGTATGACGCGCGGCGCGCCAAATTTCCTTCATAGAAATCGATGATACTGGCGCGCGGCCAATGGGAGCGCGCGCGGACGACAGCGCGAGCCAATCAGAACGCGCGACGCGAAACTCGCGAGACGCTGGTTCGCGGAGCCACCAGTAGGGCGCGCAGCGGTCGGCCGGCCGTCAGTTCGCACGAAGCGTTGACGTTCATCCGGCGAGATCTAGGCACAGTTTCCCTTAAGCCGCTCTCGCGCGTTTGTCTGTTCTCGTCGCGTCGTGCATCCTCTACCGATTATTATTTTTCTCCTCCTCTCCCCTCCCCCGTTCGCGCGCACGAGATCGTCGGCACGGTTGTGCAAGGAACTGCGAGCGGTATACACACTATATACCCTCGTGTCGTCGTCATCATAGTCATCGTCGCAACCGTAGTTTCTCGTTCGTCGTCGTCGTTGTTGTCGCAACGTCGAGTGCTCTAATTCAAACGCGTCTGCCCGGTACTCAACGCAGGATGGCATTCAACGGAGACGGTCCGCACTCGAAAAGACAGCGACTCGAGGAATCCGGACATAGGGTGAGTGCCCGCCAATTATTATTATTATTATTATTATCATCGTTCTCGTCGTCTTCGAGCGTCTCGTCGCTGGGTGCCCTATGCCCTCGCGAGCGCGTCCGTTCGTGGACGGACGCGAGGGAAGCCGCGTCGCCATTTATCGTGGTGTAATGATCATGGTCGAGAGAGAGAGAGAGAGGGAGAGAGAGAACGCGGCGCGTGTCTGAGCGATTTCCGCGAGCGACGCGCGGGGCGCCATTTATCCGCGATTCCGATGCACACGTATGCATATGCACGCCCGCCCGGCGATCTGCGCTCGCTCCCGATAACAATGGGGCCGCCGTGGATTCGCGACAGTCGAGCAGCGAACCGACGCGATTGACATGTCGATTTGTCCGTCTGTCTTTCTCGGTCCGTCTGATTCGCCGCGCCGCGCCGGTCGTCTCATCGTTATTTCGCAAATGTCAAAAACATTTTCCGTCTCTCTCTCTCTCTCTCTCTCTCTCTCTCACTGTAAAAAATATCTCGTATGAATTAATTCGTGGAAAATGTGTGTCAATTATTTCCGAACATTTATTGTGCAATTTTTTTTAATCGGCTGTCATCGTATGGTGAAAGATAGTTACACTTCTTTCTCGATAAATTTTGTACGTATCTTTGTATAGCTTTATGCTTTTACATTCTTAAACTTATGCAAAATTTTGTAATCATGCTGCAAATGATAAAAAATAACGAGATTAATATTATATATTATACTCATATTTCGTAAATGAGGAATTTAACATTCTTGTCGATCATTTTAAATAAAAGCAAAAAAATTTTTAAATGCTTATAATAAATGCTGTCTGGTATTGCGAATATTGCAGTTTTATGAAAAAAGGCATTACAATATATAAAACAATCTCGTTTTAATTTTGACAAAAAGCTAAAAGATATTAAAAATCGCTTTCAGAAAATAAAAAGCAACTTTTACACGCTAACGTTGTTAATCGATAATCTCTATCCAATTTTTATCTTATCTAAAAGATATATGCAAGGCGCCCCAGATTTACTGTCTATGAATTCTTTTACAAACTTAAAATCAAGTTTTACATAAGTTTTCAGCATTAGTAATTTTTAAATAAATAAATGAAAATAAAAATATTGAAATAAAAATGCACTTTTTGTAGTTATGCTTTAGATGTATAAACGAATAACAAGATTTTATTATATATAGTATAATTTGCATTAATTATTATCAAAAGTTTTATTATGAAAATTTTATTTAATATTGTGAACATTTTTTAATGATAAATATTAAACAATTGTAAGAAAAATAACTAATTTTTTTGTTAATGGACTTTGAATAGAAAAAAAATGTGTAGAGTTTATGTATATGAATAAAGTGACCTTATGTAATATAATTTAAAATGATAATTACATTCTTTTATAATAAATGGCGTATATATAATTTTAATTTAAATTTGTTTATTACATACGGGACGAGAGAATTGTGTGCATATTCAAGATCAGTTTAATTTTCACAGACTGTATCGGAAAGTTATTAATTATGTTCATATTTGTTAAATCACGACAATTTCACTCATATTTTATTCGTTTAAATATCACGTAAAATATTTATTTGCGTCTTGTTTATTCTTTTAAGTTGTACAAATAATGGAATGGACACGAAACATGTTTATTCGAACGCCTTTTTGTTTTGCAAATGCCTTCGAAAATTATCAACTTCACACACAAAAAACTTAAAATATTCCTTTATTTTTCTACGTATTTAACATCCATTCAGGAGATTGCAAGAAAAACTAAAAATTACTCTAATTATTAAGAGATATAATGACGACAAAGAAAAATTGTCAAATTTAGACGATAAAAACAAAACTATATCTTGCAAAAATATTGTCAGGTTCCGAATTAAAATTTTGAAATTTGTGCTCAAATCTACCCCACAGCTTTATTAATAATAATATTTTTTATCTTATCTAAAAAATAGATGCAAGGCGCCCCAGATTTGTTATCTATTTATAAATTCTTTTACATAAAATTCTTAAACACATAAAATCAACAATCTCCACTTGATTCCTCTCGACCAATAGAGCCAAACGCGATGTTATTGCGACAATTATGAAAGAAAGAACATTTGAAAAAGGAATTTGAATCCTATGGTTGGGATCTCAAAAATTCCCCTTGTTCCTAAACATTGAGAAGAATATTTATTCGTGAGTGTCTGAATAGCTCAGCTGGAAGAGCAGTCGCCCGGCAAGTGGTAGGTCTCGGGTTCGTGTCCCGATTCCAGCCGACTTTCGGACCAATATTTTTCTCGCCTATTTTCTTTACAGGGGATGTTAAGAGAAGGAACAAGGGGAATTTTTGAGATCCCAACCATAAGATTCAAATTCCTTTTTCAAATGTTCTTTCTTTCATAATTGTCGCAATAACATCGCGTTTGGCTCTATTGGTCGAGAGGAATCAAGTGGAGATTGTGGCTTTAAAAATTAAAAGAGCTGACTCAATAAGTATTCTCATTATTTTACATAAAATCAAGTTTCTCATAAATTTTTCAGCATTAGTAATTATTAAATAAATAAATTAAAATAAAGAATAACATTGAAATAAAAAACAATACATTTTTGTACCGCAGTACAACCACACTGAAAAAGATTTGACTAAAAGACAACTAAATCTTTCAACTAAATTTCTATTTTGTTATTATTGAACATATATTAGTATTTAAGTCAAATATACGTTTTGTCAGATTTAATATGTTGCATTTAATTTAAATATTTTATATGTTTAATTAACAAAATAATATTTAGTTGAAAGGTTTGGTCAAATTAACAAATCTTTTTTTCAGTGCATAAGAATCCAATCTCACATTTAATTTTGCGTTCTAATTAATTAATCTAATTATTATCTTTATCCTGAATACCCAAATTGTTTGGCGCATGTAATGTGTATCACCACACACAGTGTGGTTAAGTATCGGCGTCACGATGACGACAACCTGTTATCCAGACGACACTGCTCGACCACGTCGGCAGGTCGCGTTATCGTTGTCGCAAAATGAGCAACGTGAGGATGATGTATACGTACAAAACGAAGTTCGCGCGCGCGCGAACTCGCGCGCTTCGTGGTCGATAATTCTGCACGCGTTATCACGGCGCGCGATGCACGACATATCAGGCGATGGACGTTCCCTCGAGGTAATCGCAATGTATCGACGAGAGGAGGTCGAATATAATGGGCGACAGGATTTCCGATTTATTTTTGCCCCGTAAAATCCCTTCTCCACGATCGATAAACGCTGCGAAGAATCACACTTCATGAATTATTATTATATTTTTTGCCCGCGGACTCTTGATTTTTTTCCTTCTTTTTACATACCTCTTTGCTTCTCGCACTATAGTATACACTCTATACAATTACTCCCGCCTCCCGTATTTCCGGTTTATCGTCTGCTTTGAATATGTATATTGTCGGGATTCGTGAAACGCGGCGCAAACGTCAAAAGAAACCTTTTCATCGCGATGCAACTTTGTCCCCATTGAGTTTAGAGTGCATCCGGGCTCTGGTGTATATAGTACATCGTCAATGCAGCAACTGGTCGCCCGAGTAATATCGAGTTGAGTACAAATGATTCGGTTGTGCTAACGCATAAATCGACTTTCGTTCGCACTGTTACCACGCGCCGCACGAGGTCCTTTTACGTCAGTACCCGTCGTTTTGCGTCAGATGCAGCACACTGTAATATGTATATGCGCGCATTGCAAATCTCGCGGATCAAGCATAGGCAAATAAAATGTAGAAAAAAGTAATCATCACCGAGCAAAAATTTAATTGTGTCACGTTTAGAAGATTATCGCATATTTCACGATTATCGTATACATATTTACGTCGCAGATTATCAAGGCAAAATACAAATGGTTTGTTCGCACAGTAGAGTAATAAAAAGAGTTACTCTTGAACACAATAAAATATCAATTGAATACAATAAAATTCTTATTTAATATGAAAATTGTAATTAATCAACATTTTCAAACAATTCTCGTATTTTTTTCGTAATGTCAATATTCTAAAGAAAGATATATTAAAGAATGCATGAGTTGTGCGTAAACTAAAATATTATTATTACATAGTTTATTATACAAACTAAATTGCCTGTAGAAGTTTAAGATAATGCATAGTTTGCCATAATTTAACTTTAATATAAAGATATCATAACGGCAGTGTATTCAGAGGAGATTACAGACTTGCATAAATGTATTAGACTAACTTCCTTGTGCGTATACCCAACGGGGATCAACAGACACATCTGCGAAGTATTAATTTATTTAAAGCACTTTTCCACAAAATTATTATATTATAGTCTAATATAATTCCTTGTGTTTACATTTTCCATAGATTCTAGTTATATATATATATATATATATATATATATATATATATATTTTTTTTTTAATATATTTCTAAGTGAATATTGAAGTTAAAAATATTTTAGTTAATATTCTACACATATACATATATTAAATAAATCATCTATCATTTATGATAAAAATTATAACGTTTGCTTCTGTTATAAAATTATATTAAATCAATATTCATTAATTTTATTGATTGAGAATCTCGCAGTGAATCTCTCGCACAGAAATAATTCACAATCAGTCGCGTTATAATACGATATTTCTAACTGATGTATAGATGCATCGCTACTGGTCGATGTCTCGATCAATAATCGATGTTTACGACTTGCGATAACAGTTAAGGTCATTGTCGTGATGATTACTATCTCGCAATCTTCCGTCACCATCGATAGCTGTTGCAAAAACTCCATTGATTTAACAATGCATGTTTTACGTTATGCATATGCATGTTGGCTGACGTTTTGAATATCATTATTTGCGCATTAGTACATTGATGTAGTCGTATAGCTAGAATTCTAACAAAATTTTTTTTATTATAATGATCAATATAGGCAAGCTCTCTATTGTCACTAAAATTGTAAGGCATCTAAAAGAGTTATTCCT